ATTCAACTATTTAACTATAACTATGATTGAATCTCAATGCCAACTTTAATCCTATAGAAAAAGGCTGTCTTTAGGGTTTTCCCGGCATTATTCGAATTTTCCTCGCCGTAAAAACCATCCTTGGACTTTAGCGAACATTTTAAAAGAAGAATTGGCCAGCTAGGTTTATGCGTTGTTGAGTTATGCGCATACCAACAGATTTTGCGATTTATTTTTATATTATAGATAATGTTTTACACAATAAAAGCCTATAATTTACTGCAAAATTTTATATTACATAAACATTAATTATTATTAAGCATATATCAATAAACTATTTTTACATTTATGATGTTGTAATATCTTAATTCAAGATTCCACACTAAACTATAATAAAAATTATGATGAAATGCATGTATTTTTAATTCTAATACTTAGCAATTAGGCAAAACGAACAATTACGACTCTAAATCCGTTTTGCTTCTCTTCTGTTCTTTTGCCGCTTATTTCGACCATGACAACAATAAAATACTTATTTCCCAGGATTATTCTTCGGATTTCACATCGTTTTGTGTATATTCTTCATTTTTTTCTTTTTAAATCGCACACACGAAATTAAATGCAATCAAATGCAATAAAATGCAATTTTGCAATCGCTTGAATCGCACTCGAAGCACATCTGTCTAAATTACGCGCATGTGATGTTTATAAATAATTCTTGCAGGTTGTAACACGATGTCAATAGCAATAGTCAACAAGCGCATAATAATGAATAATGTACTTATATGATAATAAAACGTGTTCGTTGTTGTGTGTTGTGTCATAAACTTGACTTTCTTTTCGGTAGTTTTTCTGCGTTTTGATGCGCTGATGAATAAAATAGCAATTTGTAATATCGCAATCGGCGTAATCGAGCGCAGCGCGTCCGATCACAATGCATGCGCAGGTCAACAAACTCGACAATTAAACTAATTATTGTTTTACCAAGCGTAACGTAACGTAAGAAGGCAGGTATGCAGGGAGCATATGTTATAATGTATTGTAGTAAATGCAGAAAGTGATATTTTTGCACTTATAACTTAATTTTATATACAAAAAAAGAGAAAAAAGAGAATTTTAGACATTTTATAATTAAGTACAAAATTGTGAATTTTCAGGAAAAAAAATTATAAAAATGAATCGCAAAATATGTTGGTAAACGCATAACTCAACATCGCCTAGACCAAATGGGCCAATTATTTTTTTAAAATGTTCGTTAAAGTCAAAAGATGGTTTTTACGGCGAGAAAAATTTAAATAATTGCCGGGAAAACCCTAAAGACAGCCTTTTCTATAGGATAAAAGTTGGCATTGAGATTCAATCATAGTTATAGTTAAATAGTTGAATCGAAGATGGCGCGCTGAGGTGCATTATTAGCAATTCTTTATATAATTAATTTCTTTAAAATAAAATGGCGAATCTTATTGATAGAATTGACTCATACTATGTCTAGAACAAGAGAGTAAAAACGAATTACATTTTTATTAAAACTAGTAAAGAATAAAACATTATTTATAACATTTTTTAATAAATAATAATTATTATTTAACAATTTTTTGCGTTTTAATAAGAATTATAACTTATTTACAATTTCCATGATAAATAGTTTAAATAAATTCAGAATATAATTAAAACTATTCTATTTTCGTTTCCTAAGTAAAATCTATCTTTCTACAAAAAATTATCAAAATTGGTTCAGTCGTTTAGGCGTGAAACAAAAACAAACAAACAAAAAACTGATTTTTACTTCATTCAACCACAATATACCGCTCTATAACTGCAAATCTTTATTAATAAGTAAAACAAACAAAAACCAACAAAATAAATTTTATGCCACCAACTTACATTTTACTCTTTTTTACATTAAAATAATTTAATACTTTTCTATAAAACGAAAAGCGATTGATTTTTTTTTGCAATAAAATTACATAACACTAATATTAACTTTAAAACTTAATTGAAACGCTGTGGAGCGTTGACGACGCTGATTTTTAAACTTCGATTTTATCGCTTGTGCAAATCTTAAATGATTAAATGATTGCACATTACACAGTGCACAGCGCGCAGAAATTAAAATGTCCTCACACAAAGCACACAAAAGACCAGTACCAATAGTTTACTCAACACTCGATAAATTTATTAAAATATATACGTGCAGCAAATAAATAATTTGTGAAGTAGTACTATGTTGCAACTGGTGTTGTATCACATTCATCAATCAATGAAGACACGATTTAATTCGGATCAATAATTATCTTGGATGACGACGAACAAAGATGTATGACGAATAAGAAAATTAATAACTGCTGCAGACTACTTACTTTCTTTTCCTAGTGCTTTAATTGGTTTACAAGTGTTTATGGTGATAATAATAGTGCTGTAACTCATAATAAATTGTCATGCTTTGGTTTAAATGTTATTAGTTTACGTTGAACATGTGTTAGCGTGAAATAAATAGAACAAAACAAAGTAAAACAATGTATAACAGTGATTTATTTTATTGTCAAGTGGTAACTTGTTCATAACTTATGTAATTGTTAGAAAATCTTTTCTTTCATGTGTTTTAAGGTTAAATTTAATTAATAATTGTTAGTATAGGTAAATTTTCTACTTTTTTATCAATAAAGAACATGTTTTGTTGTTTTTTAGCAGCAAGTACAAAAATTTTTGTAAAAAAATCGCAAAATCTGTTGGTATGCGCATAACTCAACAACGCCTACACCAATTTGGCCAATTATTTTTTTAAATGTTTGTTAAAGTCCAAGGATAGTTTTTACGGCGAGAAAAATTCGAATAATTACCGGGAAAACCCTAAAGACAGCCCTTTCCTATAAGATAAAAGTTGGCATTGAGATTCAATCATAGTTATAGTTAAATAGTTGAATCCGAGATGGCGCGCTGAAGTGCATTGTTAGCAATTCTTTATATAATTAATTTCTTTAAAATAAAATTGCGAATCTTATTGATAGAATTGACACATACTATGTCTAGAACAAGAGAGTAAAAACGAATTACACTTTAATTAAACACTACCGGGTCAAAGTCGCGGGCAAAAGCTCTTCTAATATAAAATATATTTTGAGGTTAAATTTATGATACATGTAAATATTTCTAGTAGTAAATCCTATTTATAGATGTCACTAATTCTCTTTTCTCATTACTTGTGGCGATAAGGAAGAAGAAGTAATTTCATTTTGTTAGATAAACAAGCGTTTTATAGCGGCAGTCACTTTCAGTTTTATTAAGTTTATGAATTATTGCGTTGTATAACTGCATTATCTAAATTTCATGGTTATTTCGCCGCAATTAAAGGCCTCGCATTCGCCACCAACGCTGACGAATGTCAGACGGAACAACAAATTGAGCGGAACATGTGTTGAGTTTCTCGCTCATCGATCACCGAAAGCGATCAGAAGTACATCATATACTTGTGTGTAACTACATAATAAATGTGCGAATATGAAGGTGCTCATCTTCGACGCGTCTTCAAGGTATATCCTGTTGCGCTCGAAGTAAACGTAAAAGGATAATTGCGTTTGAGGTCGTTAAATTTATTAAAAGTCTATTGGAAGATATAAAAACGATTTAATTTTGAACATGAAAAAATGTTTTTTTGTTGTTAATTTGGAAAATAACCTTAAAAATGTACTAGAAGGTAATTTAATGTGCTGAAGAGTAAATTGGGTTGCATTTTTAATTGGAAATGAAATTGAATAATTAAGAATATAGTATTACTTTAGTAGGTATTTGATAAACATGATTTAATTAATAATAATTATTAGCAATGTTTAGTTTTTTATGGTAAATAACTTTAAATATTCATAAACAATTAAAATTTATTAAAAACTACCTTTTCCTCGTGACTCCGTCTCGTCTGGGTAATAAAAATGTAATTCGTTTGTCCTCTCTTGTCCTAGACATAGTATGTGTCAATTCTAACAATAAGATTCGCAATTTTATTTTAAAGAAATTAATTATATAAAGAATAGCTAATAATGCACTTCAGCGCGCCATCTCGGATTCAACTATTTAACTATAACTATGATTGAATCTCAATGCTAACTTTTATCCTATAGAAAATGGCTGTCTTTGGGGTTTTCCCGGCAAATATTCGAATTTTTCTTGTCGTAAAAACCATCCTTGGACTTTAACAAACATTAAAAAAAAAGAATTGCCCAAATTGGTTTAGGCGTTGTTAAGTTATGCGCATACCAACAGATTTTGCAATTTTTTTATATTATAGAGAATAAAAAAAATCGAAATAATTAAAAAAAACTAATATTTCGTTAATATTTTTATTAAAGCAGTTTTAAGTTGGGAACAAATTGGCATGCAAGTAAACTTGGTTGCATACCTTTTAAAGATAATAGTTTAATTATAATGTTAAAATTATTACACGCTGTCAATATGCATAAAATAAACGCATTTTATTAAAAATAAAATTGTTTATTAATAGCTCCCACATTAGACTCGCGTAAAAATAAAACATTAAACGTGAATTCACGTTTATAACAATCTGAAGGTTTTTGTATCTCGGCAAATCCATTTCGCATTAATCGACGGATATCAAGTCTTAAGAACATAATTACAGTCCATCTTTCATTAACCAACAATTACAAAGCATTTATTTTTACACTTTTAAAGCAAACCGGAAGCAATTAACAAACAAAAAATATTAATAAATTAATATAACAATATTATTAACATTAAAACATTAAAAGCATTTGCAAAAAACATAAATTTATGCTTATGAAAAGATTGAGTGTGATTTTGAGATTGAGATTAATAATTGTTGACACGGTGATCTACAATTAAGTGGTGTTTGCGTAGTAGGTACGAGTATACGAATGAATTTGAGTTTTCGCCGTTTCGGTCCGCTGAAGACCACTTGCACTTACCTGTGCGCCGTGCGCTGATGATGATGATGCGAGAGAAAGGGGACCCGCGCCATGCCAGCCAAGGTTCATCTCTTCGTATAAAAGATGCGCGCCGAACGCTGCAAGCATCGAGTCACCTTTGACCAGCTCGAAGAAGACGGTAGCAAGCCAAGCAGTGGCAAAGTGCACTGCAAGTGGAAACCAATAAACATGAAGGTGTGCATAAAATAAAAAAAAGTGAAAAAAGTGAAAAAATGTGTTTTTAACTAAAATTTAAAAAAATTATTAAATAAATAATTAATAATAAAATATTTTGTTTTAGGTCTTTGTTTGTGTGTTAATCTTGGCTGTGGCCACAGCCCATGGAGGATTTAGCGGCTGGTCTAGCGGCGGTGGAGGCGGTGGTTATGGCGGCGGCGGCGGTGGATGGAAATCCAGCGGAGGAGGCGGTGGATGGTCTTCAGGCGGCGGAGGCGGTTGGAAATCCAGTGGTGGTGGCGGCGGTTGGTCCGGCGGTGGCGGTGGCGGCGGATGGAAATCCGGTGGAGGTGGAGGTGGATGGTCCGGCGGTGGCGGCGGAGGTCAAACCGTGAAAATTATCAAAATCATCGTCCCGTCCAGCGGTGGTGGTGGACATGGAGGCGGTGGATGGCAATCAGGCGGAGGCGGCGGCGGATGGCAGTCTGGAGGCGGTGGAGGTGGATGGAAATCCGGCGGAGGTGGCGGATGGTCTTCCGGCGGCGGTGGTAGTGGATGGTCATCGGGTGGCAGTGGAGGCGGATGGAAAATCAGCAGCGGCGGCGGTGGCGGAGGATGGAAATCCGGCGGAGGTGGAGGATGGTCTTCGGGCGGCGGTGGCGGTGGATGGAAAAGCGGCGGAGGTGGCGGTGGCGGTTGGTGGTAATCAACTGGAAACCCAAAACCCAAAACCGTGAAAGATGAGTGATATTTTTTTTTTAACTTGCATGGAACCAACACAAAAAAAAAAAGATTAAATTATTGAAAATGTGTGTAAATAATAATCATTTGTAAAATTGTACAAAAAAATGTAAAAACATATTTAATAAAAACTTTAATTTTAATTTTAGTTTTTTTTTTGGTCAAAGTTCTCATTATTTGCATTTTTATTTTATTTTATAGACTGGAAAACATCGTTGAACTTGAAACATGATAACTTATCGAGTTATTATTAATTAATTTATTCATGTTCAATGATAACACATTATTTTCCATAATAAAGATTCATAATTAATATGAAAGTTGCAGTTTTCATAATTCAGTTGAATATTGGTATTATGTGCAACACAACAGATGTAAAATGTCAATAATTAATATTTTAGTTGCGATTGTTTTGATTTTAATTTTTGTTAAATTTGTTTTTTGGGTTTTGAGTTATCGTGATCGTCTTGCAAAATGGCGACAATTTCCTGGGTCAACTTCATGGCCTGTTATTGGACATTCTTTGGAATTTAAAACACCAAAAGGTAAAAGAAATTTATTTATTGCTATTTTGGATTAAATTCAAAATAACAATATAATATTTATTATTATTTGTTTTATTATTATTATTATTATTATTATTATTATTCCTATTATTATTATTATCATTATTATAAAATGTTCAGGCGCAAGCTCCACCCCGTGACTAAAATCCGTGACTAAAGTATTTTAGTCACGATCATGGCCGTCCGTGTTTAAAGTACTACTTTTTGTGAAAAATTGGCGCTTTAAAAATGAAAATAAAAAAAATCTTTTAAAATCGAGTACAACTTAACTTATAATAACAAATCAAATAAAAATTGGTTAAAATTAAATTTTGAAGTTTTTATCCTATAATTTTGGTTTTATTTACTATTACTAACCTTACTACAAGATTTTTGTATGTTTGGTTGCAGATATTTTACCACAAGCTTTGAAATATCAAAAACAATATGGTTTGACATTCCGTGTCCAACTCGGAAAAGTCCACACTTTATTCACGGCAGATCCACGTTTAAGCGAAATAATCACAACCTCACATACGTTAATCAAAAAATCGCTCGGTGTAACCTTCATGCGCAACTGGCTTGGAGAAGGATTAATCACCGCAGACAATCCAAGATGGAAGATACACCGTCGCCTCATCACTCCGACATTTCACTTTAAAATCTTGGAGGATTTCGTGCCGATATTCAATAAAAACGCTAAACATCTAGTGAATTTCATGAAAGACAACCGAATGAATGAAGAATTCGATGTTTATGAAGATATTGTGTTGTGTTCATTGGACGCCATCTGTGGTAAGATACAAACACTACATTTTTATTTATTTTTATATTTATTATACGCATTATTATTAGAAACTGCGATGGGAATCTCAATTAATGCGTTAAAAGATGGAAATCAGTCTAATTACGTGAAAAGTGTTAAATTCATGGGTAAAATCCTTATGAGACGCTCATTTTCCTTCTGGAAACAGTACGACTTCCTGTTTAATATGTCATCCGAACGCAAACAAGAATTAAAAATGATAGATCACATCCGTAAAATTACCGACAGCGTAATTAAAACCAGAACTGAAGAGTTTCGCGACAGAAACAACAAAAAAAGTGAGGATTATTTAGGAAGGAAGAAGCACGAAGCATTTTTAGATCATTTGTTAGCTGAATTGGAACAAAATGGCGGAATAATGTCCCATCAAGAACTGCGAGAGGAAGTAGACACGTTTATATTCTCCGTAAGTCAAAATACAACAAAAAATAACCTCAAAATTAATGTTTGCTTTAATTTTTAATTTTTAGGGTCATCATACTGTATCTTCAGCTATATCTTTTGCTATTCACTTCTTGACAAAGCATCAAGATATCCAACAACGTGTCTACGATGAAATAATTCAAGTTTATGGGTCAGAAAGTGAATTAACCTTTGATAAACTAGCAGAATTGAAATATTTAGAGTTGGTTATTAAGGAAACATTGAGGTTATGTCCGTCAGTTCCGTTACACTCACGTGTCATGACAGAAGACGTCCATTTTGGTATAAAAATATAAAATTAATTAATATTTATTTAATTTATTTAAATTGTTTTTTTTTTGTTAATTTTTAGATGGAAAAATTATTCCGAAGGGAGTGCATGTTGTTTTGTTTCTTTATGGTTCTCACAGGAATGATAAAATTTTTAAGAATCCAGAACAATTTGATCCTGATCGATTTTTAGATGATGATTTAACGAAAAATGCATTGTTTGCTTATTTACCGTTTAATGCAGGTCCTAGGAATTGTATTGGGCAAAGATACGCAATGACAAAGATGAAGTGCATTCTGAGTATACTTTTGAAAGAATTTAAGTTTACTAAGGACGAGAATTTTGAAATTCAACCGATTGCTGAAGGTGTACTGAAAAGCATCAATGGAGTTCGTGTAAAAATTGAACTTCGCTAAACTAGTATATTACGATATTTTTTCTACTTCCACTCTATTTCCACGTTTTGCTTGTTGTATTTGAACTTTTTTATAAACTTTGAGCTGCGTTTGCACACTACTCAAAAATTTAAGGTTATAAATACATGCGAATTGGTTTGACTCTCGGCGCATGGCATATCATATGGTGTTGTGTTGCACCGTAAGCAAATACACAAGCTCTAACCCGTGACTAAAGCCCGTGACTAAAGTACTTTAAAATTTGTGTATTTTAAAACTTTTTTATAAAACTAAAAGTCTGTCAGTCAGTCAATAGGCAAATGCGCAGACGCAAACTCCAATCCGTATCTAAAACCCGTGACTAAAGTACTTTAGTCACATCTTTGGCCGTTCGTGTTCAAAATACAACTTTTTGTCTCTAAAAACCGTGAAAAAAGTCACGCTTTAAAGGTGGAAGTAGAAAATAAATATTTACTTTCTAATTTGTTTAAGTTAAGTTTAAGGCTTAAACTTTAAGCAAAGAATGTCAAACATAAAATTATAATTACATCACAACACTAATTTTAAATTTGGAAATTGAAATTGAAATAAATGGTTTAATTGCGTACAAATTGAATATAATACGAGTTCTTTATCTTTGACTTTTGTTTACTTTTATGTGTTTTACATGCTTTATTTCTTTCGCAATGTTTGATAAACTCGTATGTTCATTTAAAGCAGAATAAAAGTATTCTTAATGAATGAATGAAGTTCATATCAATGCATTATATTATATTATTATTGCACTTTGACACAATTAGTTAATGCGATTAATCTTAATTATGAACGTTCAGTATATTTCCATTGATTAAGTCTTGAAGTTCAGTAGTTTCAATAGCGAACATTTGAACGTCGATCAACAAGGCAACAATAATGTCGTTTCTTGCCATTTTAATTTCTACGGTTTTCGTTTTACTATTTGTTAAGTTTCTAACCTGGTTTTTGAGTTATCGAGATCGTATTAAGAAATGGAAAGAGTTTCCGGGCCCGAATGCTTTGCCGTTGATTGGAAATTCGGAAGGATTTAGGAATGCAAAAGGTAAAAATTAATAATATAGTAATTATTGTACAAAATAGTGATTGAGTGAGAAAGCAAAATTTACATTTAATAAATTTTTGTATAAACATCAATAACTTTATTTGAGACAAGCTTTGGCCCGCGACTTCGTCCCGATAGTGTTTAATAAAATGTAATTCGTTTTTATCCACTTGTGCTAGACATAGTATGTGTCTATTCTATCAATAAGATTCGCAATTTTATTTTAAACAAATTAATTATATAAAGAATTGCTAATAATGCCCTTCAGCGCGCCATCTCGGATTCAACTACTTAACTATAACTATGATTAAATCTCAATGCCAACTGTTATCCTATAGAAAAGGACTGTCTTTAGGGTTTACCTGGCAATTATTCGAATTTTTCTTGCCGTAAAAACCATCCTTGGACTTTAACAAACATTAAAAAAAAAGAATTGGCCAAATTGGTCAAGGCGTTATTGAGTTATGCGCTTACCAACAGATTTTGCAATTTATTTTTATATTTTAGATTAAATCGTTTATAAATAAAGTTGTAACTAGTGTATATTTTTTCTAGATCTTCTACCAAACGCAATCGAATGCCAAAAACAATATGGCTTAACATATCGTGTGCAATTAGGCCTGAATAATTTTCTAATAACAGCAGATCCAAGATTAAACGAAATTGTAGCCACGTCACACACACTTCTTCAAAAGTCACTAGCAATCAAATTCCTAAAAGTCTGGCTGGGAAGTGGAATGATAACCTCCGAGAATCCAACATGGCGCATACACCGCCGCCTCATTACTCCAACATTCCATTTCAAAATTCTCGAAGATTTCGTGCCAACTTTCAATAAGAATGTCAAACATCTTGTAGATGTTTTCAAAGCAAATCGATTGAATCAAAGATTTGATGCATACGAAGACATTTTACTGTGTTCATTAGACGCTATTTGTGGTAAGATTTTTAACATTAACATTATTTAAACATTACTTAGTTTTTGCATGTGATTTCATTTATGGAGTTTTCAGTAAAAATGTAATTAATTTTTATTTTCTTGTTCAAGACCTAATATGTGTCAATTACATCAAAAAGATTCGTAATTTTATTTTTTTAATGAACATAAAAGCTTATAATGCATGTTAGCGCCACTAGTATTCAATTATTCAACTATAACTATGATTGAATTGCTTTACAATTTTCATTCATTATTTAACACCTTTTAAATCGTAATTTTTAATATTTTAATAATAATTCTGCTATTCTGGATGTAAATGAATCCAAAAAGTCATAGATCATCAAAATTTCTCCAGTCGTTCTTGAGTTATAAACGCTGTAACTAACACGACGTTGTTATATGTACATATAGATAAAAATACTATAAATGTTTTATTTTTATTTTAAAGAAACTGCAATGGGAGTCTCAATCCACGCATTAAGAGACAGAAATCAACCGGATTACGTTGAAAGTATTAAATCCTTAGGCCGACTATCAATTGAAAGATCATTATCATCATGGAAACAGTATCATTTTCTATTCGGCATGTCCGTTGAACGGGAACAAGAAGTAAAAATGATGAATCACATCCAAAAGTTAACAAATCATATGATAGAAACTCGAGAAGCAGCGCTTTTTAATAAAAGCGCACCAGAAATTAATGATAATTCTGAAACAAAAAAACGCGTTGCGTTTTTGGATCATTTGTTGTTAGCCATAGACAAAAACGACAAACTTATGTCGAAACAAGAGTTGGAGGAAGAAGTAACAACGTTTCTTTTCGCTGTAAGTCAAGTTATTTATGTTTCAACTAACTAACAGTTAAAATTTTAATTTTTTAAATTTTATATTAGGGTCATGATACTGTTGCGTCTGCAACATCTTTCGCTCTTTATTACTTGGCAATGCATCCAGATATGCAACAACGAGCACACGAAGAAATCTTGGAAGTGTACGGCTCAGAAACTGAATTGACTTTTGATAAACTAGCAGATTTAAAATATTTAGATGCTGTTATTAAGGAAACATTGAGGTTATGTCCATCAGTGCCTATACATTCACGTGTCATGACAAATGATTTACCTTTTGGTAAGTTATATTTTTTACTATTTTTGAAATGTTTCTTATTTTAATCACAGCGTGCGTTGTTTTATAGACATGTCTGCCTAAGCACACGCTATAAAAAGAAAATATTCGTATATTAAGTAACAAGTGCGCTAAACAGCCCTTTATCCACGTTTAGCAATGAGATGAGATATGATATTTTTCCTACTTTCACTTTTTTTAAGATTTTGCATTTGAACTTTTGTATTTGTAAGCTTCTCTCCGTGACTGAAGCCCGTGTATAATATTCTTTAGCCACGGTCTTGGCCGTCCGTGTGTAAAATACTACTTTTTGTGTCTCAAAACCGTAGAAAAAGTCGCACTATGATGCAAAAATAGAAAAACAATTTACTAAATGATACAATATACAAAATGATTAGATTTAACTTAACTTAACGAAATATTTTTAATAATATCATTTTTTTTACGTTTTTTGTTCCTTTTAGATGGTAAAATCATCCCTAAAGGAGTTCATGTTGTTTTGTTTCCATATGGTTCACATAGAAACGAAAAACTGTTTCCAAATCCGGAACAATTCGATCCTGACCGATTTTTAGACAAAAATTACGCCAAAGAAGTCTTGTTTGGTTATTTACCATTTAATGCCGGTCCGAGGAATTGTATCGGACAAAAATACGCAATGATTGCTATGAAGTGCTTCATGGGAGAGTTGTTGAAAGAGTTCAAGTTTACCAAAGATGAACATTTTAAAATTCAACCAGTTGCTGAAGGTGTACTCAAGAGCATGAATGGTGTTTGGCTTACAATTGAAAAGCGCGATTGATAAATAGTTATAAATAATAATAAATAACGTATACTATAATAATTTATCCTAATTTTGCAGATCGCAACAGCTTATATTGTTATAAACACGGTTTCTTAATTTGAAAATAAATAAATCCAAACTATAATTCTTTGTTATAGTTTATTAAGTATCAAGTGGCTAAACGGGAGTTTTATTTACGAGGTTGATTGAGGGCGAGGCTAGCAAACGTTTAATCAATCGAGTCTTTAACAACGTTTGGCCACGTGATGTTTACGTTATTTTTTCTACTTTCACTCTAGTTTCACATTGAGGTTTTTGTATTTTAACTTTTGAATATTAAATTATCGAAATTTGCTCGCACACTACTATCAAATATAACGTTATGAATACTAGAGACCGACGGAAATTTCGGTTTCGGTTTCGGCCAGTTTCGGCCAAGAATTCGAGTTTCGGCTTCAGTTTCGGTTTCGGCCAAAAATGGCCGAAACTTTCGGCCGCACCGAAACTCACTTTTCGTGAATTGTCGTGCGTCGCTCGGTTAACTTCGCGGCTAATGGCGGTCGTTACTTGCCATCTTAGTTCGCTCATATTAATACTACATTAAGTATCAAGTGACTAAACGAGGACTTTACTCACGAAATGGATTATGTATCTAAAAAACGTGGAAAAACTGGCGATGTGTAGGTAAAAGTAGAAAAATATGTTTATGTAAATTAGTTTCGGTTTCGGCCGAAACTGATTGCAGGGCCGAAATTTCGGTTTCGGTTTCGGTTTCGGCTAAAATTCACTTTCGGTCGTACTCTAATGAATACCATACTGCGCGCCGGGCCATGTGACGCGTCGAGACATATCGCGTTGCTCCGACACGAGCAACAGCAGCGCCTGCTTTGACGTATTTGACTGACGTCGCACGGCATTGCATATGGTCTTGTCCTACACCGTAGGCAATTGCGCAGGCGCTTTCTCCGTCCCGTGCATAATGCAAGTACATAATGAATATTATGTACGGCTTGGCCGTCCATATATAAAGTACCACTTTTTGTGTCTACAAACTGTAGAAAAATTAGTGCTTTATAGATGAAAGTAGAAAAATATTCTTTTGGGCCATTAATTGAATTGCAATGTGCTCTTTTCTTCACTTTTTATGTTTCATTAGTGTTAATTACAAAATTATTACTCTGTAACTTTTTAATTAATATGATAAGACAAATGTGAGTAGACAATGAACCATTACATTTCTAAAACATACAACAAATGAATTATTACTGTATAAATCACGATAGCCTATATTATTAAAGAAAAGATCACAAAATCCACTCATTACTTTCTGCGTGCCCAGTAACCAAACAATTCATACACAATCATCCACTACCGATTTATTTAGTTTACGAAATACTAACAAGTCATGCCATGAGAATTAATTTCGTATCCAAGGTCAACTACTTCATCAACACATACTACCAACGTATTATTTAATACAAGCATCATTACATAATACTAAAAATATAAACAAAACCAGTTTTTTATAACAAAAAAAATTTTTTTTTTCATCATTCTTCTCATTTCTCTTCAAATGTTATTACCTACAAACAACAATAATTAATTTTATTTTACTCTATTTATAACAAATTCTATGTTTGTTTATAATACACACACTCTCTCCAAAAAATGCCTCGTCATCCACTCGATTTAATTCTGATGACTTGCTCTCAGACATCCCAATCAAACCTGATAACGTGCCTCCTATTACAACACCGTTGATTTTTGCGTAAACTTTTTTCACGACTATAAAATAAACTACGCGCGAAATTTGTTGTTAGTTAACCAACGAACACTCAAGCCAACGGATATAACTCATTACATTTCACAAGGCTACAAAGTTAATCAGGTTAATAAGTTCAACTTAGTAATAAAAATGTCGACGTTAGGCATCTTAGTGTTTGCCTTTTGGTCGATAGTGTTTTATAAATTCGTGAATTGGTTCCTAAAACGAAGAGCACTCTTCAAAAAGATTGAATATCTTCCTGGACCCAAAGCGTATCCTCTGGTAGGAAGCGTGTTTAATATAAAATCATGTGAAGGTTAGTAAAATCCATTCACTTTGAGGTTATGGTTATTTTCAACCTGAAAATTTGTTTTGTTTAGATTTATTGCCGGTGTTGATGCAAAATCAACAAAAGTATGGATTAACTTACAAAATGCAGCTGGGACCTGATCCCTATGTCTTCACATCGGATCCGAAGTTGATGGAAGCATTGACTTCTTCAAGCACACAAATAACCAAATCACAAGCGTATAAATTCCTGAAAAACTGGTTGGGTGACGGATTAGTTTCCGCAGCGAATCCCAGATGGCGTGCGCATCGCCGCATGATTACTCCATCCTTTCATTTTAACATTCTGAAAGATTTCCTCCCGGTGTTTTATAAAAACGAGTGCAATTTAGTTGAGCATTGGAAGAAAGCTCTGGGTAATGATACGAAGTTGATTGATGTGTTCGCTGATGTCTCCAGTTGTGCTTTGGATATTATCTGTGAGACTGCAATGGGTTTATCGGTGAATGCTCTCAAGGAAGGTGAACAGTCCAAGTATATGAAAAGCGTGCGATTTTTAGGTCGTACAGTCATAGAAAGAACTTTTTCGTTCTGGATGAGATTTGACGCCCTCTATCGGTTTTCGCATTGGTACAAAGTTGAAATGGACAGCGTGGGCCAGGTGAAATCTACTACAAAGGATGTGATTAAGAGGAAACGCATCGAGGTGCATGCAAATGGCAAACCAATTAGAAGTGAGAGTGATATTGGGGCTAAGAAACGTATGGCATTTTTGGATTACATGATTACAGCCGCGAAAGAAAATGGAAGCACAATGACTGATTTAGAATTAAGCGAAGAAGTCGATACAATTATTTTCGCTGTAAGTTTAATTTTAAAGGTTAAATTAGGTTAGATTTACAATGTGTTATATTATAGGGTCATGACACTACTGCTACTACATCATCTTTTGCTCTGTATTATCTCGCTGCCAATCCGGAAGTACAACAAAAAGTCTACGAAGAAGTTATAAGTATGCCGGATGAGAACATAACCTATGATCAGTTAGCTAACCTCAAATATCTTGAGATGGTTATTAAGGAGACCATGAGGATTATGCCAACGATTCCGATGTTTTTCCGGCAATTGACTGATGATGTTGTTTTTGGTAAGTCTTAAGTCCTAAATCTTACCTATAAATAATTAAATTACTAAATATAACCTAATATAATTGATTTATGTAGATGGTCATCACTTCCCGAAGGGATTGAACATGGCTTGTTTCGTTTATGGTTCACACGTCAATCCGGATGTGTTTGAGCAACCGGAAAAGTTTATTCCGGAGCGTTTTACGATCGAAAACATGAACAAAAGGCATCCGTTTGCGTATATTCCGTTTAGTGCTGGGCCACGTAATTGTATTGGGCAGAAATTTGCAATGGTGGAGATGAAGTCTATGCTGGCTGTTCTAGTCAGACATTTTAAATTCACTAAAGCGGCGGGTGTAGATATACATCCGATTGCGGAAGGTGTTATGAAGAGTACCAATGGGGTGCAGATATTGGTGGAGACAAGGAAATAAAAATTAGATAATTTTACTTATGAAGTGATTGTACAATGTTTGTATGTGTAATTTTATAGGTTATAAAAAATATATTCTTATATTCTATAATATAAAAATTAATCGCAAAATCTGTTGGTAAGTGCATAACTCAACAACGCCTACACCAATTTGGCCAATTCTTTTTTTTTTAATGTTTGTTAAATTCCAAGGATGTTTTTTACGGCGAGAAAAATTTGAATAATTGCCGGGAAAACCCTAAAGACAGCCCTTTTCTATAGGATAAAAGTTGGCATTGAGATTCAATCATAGTTATAGTTAAATAGTTGAATCCGAGATGGCGCGCTGAAGTGCATTATTAGCAATTCTTTATATAATTAATTTCTTTAAAATAAAATTGCGAATCTTATTGATAGAATTGACACATACTATGTCTAGAACAAGAGAGTAAAAACAAATTACATTTTTATTAAATACTACCAGGACGAAGTCGCGGGTAAAATTAATATTAAAAAAGAACGGTTGTTTGTAAAGTAGGTTTACGATCGAGATGTTTACGTGATAACGTCTTATTGGTGATATAAGTTTTTTGTTGCAATTGTTGTAACACTTCACTTGCACTTCACATTTTGTTTTACTGTTAAACATTCAACGAAAACTTAACCGCACGAGAAAATCTCCATTCGTTTGTATGCCGCTAGAGTGAGAGAGACGGAAGATCGGTTCACTCACTACGAACGCTATGCCTGCCTCCGCTCGTGTGGATTCCGCGTGACAAGTTTCACGGAATGACTGGTAGCGCTCGAGATGAGACGGGAGATCGGTCCGTCTCTCTCGTTATAACAAGAGGGGGCATACCTGCGATCGGCCTTGGGAGGCCTCGTGACACAAGTTTCTGAACATGTCACCCGACTAAAACGATTTTAAAGACGTTATCACGTCAATAAATAGAATTTGCTTGATTATTCTACAAATAATAAGAAAATTAACAAAAATATGCTTTATTAATACACTAGGCAACCAATTTAACACTTAGCCAACAAAATTCAATGTTTCTAAAACTATCTAAATATTGTTTTGCTTATAATTTAAGTTTACCATCGCTGAACAATGCATGCATTTCGTTTAAATGTGCAATTACATTATCTACGATGCATTGTGCTTCCTGGTGAGTGGGCACAACACTTTTGTCAGCTGTGAGCGCAAACCGAAAGTTGCCACCATAAGTATATATTACAAAATGGAGACCGCAATGCGGTGAGTTTGGCAGCATAAAGATAAAGTCTTTCACAGGTGAACCAGAAAATAACGTGAATTTCTCACATCCGGGTAAACTTGACACTCCAAACGTCACTGGGACATTCTCGCAAAACATGCGCACAATTGGTGAGGGAAGTGTTTGGCATAAGTTCTGAGCAACCCAATAATTAAACTAAAAATAAAAACATAAAAATAAAGGTCAATGAAAAATGTCAAATTTATATTATAGGTTATTATAGGTTACCTGTACGTCAACACATTTCTTAATTTGATCATATTCCTTTTTAACGTGTTTTAGGCGTGTAATCAGTTTACAGTCGCCTAAACCAATGGGCATGTGAAAAGCTCCGCATGAAAACCGATTTGTCATAGTAAAATTACCAACGCCATATGAAAACGAATAAATGGCGGGTGAAAGCACAACGCCACCGATGACAGTTTGCGGTATAGGCAACCCATTCTACAACAAAACCAAATTAAGTGTTTAAAAACTTTTTCAACAATAATTACTTACTTTTTCATAGTGATCGTATAAACTAGATGTTATACAAGTATTAACAACATCTAAAAACGTCACTCCTGCTAATCCTCTTCGTAAATCTCTTATTTTACTCATACATTCTTTATTTTCATCGCTATACCAAGCAATGTATTTCTCTTCAGATAGATTATAACCTCTCAATGCGTTGTCATCTGTCAAACCCGACGGCCATTCTTTTAACCTATTAACTTCCGGTGTTAACTTCCCAAGTGGAATATCAGAAAACTTCCTTTTCGATGCACAAACACTCAGAGAGACTTCAACATCACCAAATATACTAACAAACAAATTCATGATGGCTTTACCATCACCCAAACAATGATGCAATCGAAATGCAACTAGTTTCAATCCATGTAACACTGGTGAATCCGCGTTTACATCCGCCATGTTGTTATTAACACTCCCGGAAAACAATATCACTTGCATTAAGGCATGCCCGTCATCCGGCATTGATTCTACATCATACTTTTGGAAAACTTCCGATAGATGGCGTTTATCTTCAATTGCAACATCTTCACTTGTTTGTAGAATGAAATCTTTTGGTTTGAGGTGGTTTTTGTAGAAGTAGTGATAACCTAAAAACGATGCACGAGAATAGAAAAGTTTTTTGTGGTCGGACTTCATCGCTGATTTGACCATGGCGATTGTTTTACGAAATAGTGTTTGCATATCATCTTTGGTGTCAACCAGGAGTAACACATTAGGTATGCAGTTCGTTTGGTTGCAGCATATCGAATCTAATCCTTCCATGAAATCGATGAAAACATCCGAGTAGAGGTTTTGGAGAATGTATCTTACCAGTTGTTTGTAAAGGTAACACAGGGAATATAAGGTTAGAAATATTGGGGTTAGGATCATAGATGTAATCAAGGATAATAATATTGTGAATGGAAATTCAAAGTTTTGTTTTTCTAAACTACTCTGAAACCCAAAACATTAAACGATTAGCATTTTAACTTATTTTAAATTTTTTAAATTTTGAGGTTAGAAATTGATTTTCTATATATTTAATGTTAGTTTATGATGATTTTATTGACTTACCACTATCACAATGTAAATATACATTGATATTTGTAAAATCTCCATGTTTTTATGAATATTTTCTTATTTTTCTATAGAATCACATCAAAATGGCGTCTGCTGTACACATTTTCTAGTTTTTACTTGTTTCACAGTCGGGAAGTCAATCGGAAAACGTGTAGCGTGTATTTTTAGTGTCTGCTTTCCTTGAAAACCGCAAAACTCGCCAAATGATCACAGTTAGCCCACATTTATTAAAACTATTTCGATTTTTACTTCCACTTTATAATTTATTTTATTTTATTAAATATTATTGGGCTTGTTTTAGTTGCTGGCTGTGACACAGCACAATTGGAACTATTTGCTCGTGGAAAACTAATGAAAATGAATATGTTTTGCACGTGATTCAATTTTTGGCACGAGATGATACAAAAAATTATTTTTGGTCATTCGCTTGTCTCTCGGACGCGTCAGCAATGTTTACAAACTCGGGAGACTTGACTTTTATTAAGTCAAGGACTCGCAAAGCATTCATTTACATTAAAATGGTTTTATTACAAAATAACAATATAAAAATACAAAATGGCGGAATAATTTATCAGTTATGATGTAATTTGTTTCAATTTGTCTAAATTATGCATAAAATCTTCAGCGATTTTTTTGACATCTTCAGCCTTGGGAATTACAGCTTTATCAATAGTATAAGCAAAATTTAGACGGTTTTCATATGACGTTATCATCAATGTAACACCTAAAAAATATAATTTGTGTTTATGTAAATTTATTGATGGTTTTAAAGTAGTTTTACCTGTTTCTAACGTATTAGGATCAATACAAACGAATTCCTTAACCTTCAAACGTCCGAAGAATTTTAAACTGTCACAACCGGGAATATTACTCACCACCAAAGTAATTCCAAAGTTGGAAAAGAACCATTTTTGTAGAAAAAATGGTAAAAATGTTAAAACGACGGTGCCTTGCCAACGATTAAACTAAAATCACAAAGCACGCATTACATAACCTCAATTTACAACTAATGTTATTTTTTTTATTTACCCAGTAATCAATTGAACCATTCTTAAACATGTGGTATACTTGTTTAACTTTATCTAAACGTCTTAATAGCGAATTTGCTTTCATATTCTCGCCTAAATTTAGCGGTAGTCTTAAAGCAGCTGCAGAAACCTTCGTTTTCATTTTATAGTTGGAAAATGTGCCGTAAGATGACTCTTTTAGATCCGATGGCATCATAGGCAACAAAAGATACACATTCTCAGGTAGATTTACCTTCTCTTTCTCAAAATGCGCAGATAAACTCTCAAGAAAACACGTTAGAATCACATCCACCGAGTATACATTGTTGCCTACTTTGCTGAGATTCGTTTTCACTTCTTTAATTGTTTTTAGGATATACGGTGATTGTTCTGTGCACCATACAACGTGTTTGTCTCCGTTTGATTGACACATTACGTTTGAGTCTGGCGTGTCAAAAATGCCATGCATTGTTATGAATGGATCCGTTGTGAAGGTTGCATCTAGTGATCTAACCTCACTTTGAAGAATTGACTTATAACTTGATTTATGCTGAAAAAAGGTAAGTAAATACAAAAATCATGCATGATTTTATTTTATTAAAGTTTATTTAAGTTTCTGACGTTGAATAAACTTACGTGTGTTTGAAAATCAGCTGTAAACATGTCAAATAACGTAATAGCATCTCCAAACACATGATGAAAACGTATAACCATTGGATAAGCATTGGTTCCTTCAAGTTTTTCCTTGCTGACACGTACTTCCCACATACCTGCGTCATTTTGTGGCATTTCCAGATTACTAACCTCACTTACAAACCCTCTAAGTTCTTCCATTGATAAAATTGATGACTTCCGTCCAGTATTACAATAAAACGGCTTGAAAAATGTTTCATTCGGCCATGTTTCCTTTCGTAAGTAAAAATAACCAAATTTGTATTGCACACTGCATCGCAATTTCAAAAACTTTTTTTGTGAAAATATCCTGGATATATTCTGCACGCACAGATTATAAAAGTCATCACCAGACAATTGCGTATCTTCGGTGTCTTCCAGAAGAAAAACGGTTGTGATTATAGCACGACTTCTATTGGATTCAGTCGCAAGGAAAACTGTTTCAGTTCCGTCTAACATATCCACGTAATTCGGTACAGTATAGGCAACCCAACATGCAACTAACATTTTTGCACTTCGAAGCAGCCATGTTGTAATGAAAACAATCGGCGATAAAAGTATAGCTAAACATTTAACGATGTTGATGTTTATATTTAGCGCATCTTTAAAACCATACTAGAAATACAATAATATACAATAGGTTATAAATAATGTGTAATAATGTTAAAATACCTTTAAAAACGCATAAATATAAATAGTAACTTTGACATGTCCATAAAATTGATCTAAAACACATACAAATGTTAATTAATAAAATTTTTTTTATAAAATTTACTATTTAATACTTACTTAATAATTTAACACGGTAGTGATTAACGCTGGGATGTAACGAAAACATTTCGTGTGATGATAATGAATGTTTTTAACTTTATGTAGATATTATTATTACAACAACGCTTTTATATTGTTCAATGCTCAGACAGATTGGAGCACTTCAAGACCGATAAATAAATGTAGTTTGAGTAAATATCAAAGTTCATAATGGTAGACAAATAATGCGAATAAATAACAAATATTACCGAGGCCAGTGGCGTGCAATTTATGTAGTAAAGGTGGAGTAGTATTCCAGCATAAATCAAATTAATAACAAAAGTAGACACTTAGAAATAATTCTGGTTTGCGTTCATGTTACAGTGTAACACGGTAATTGTTAATTGATCAAACATAATTAAAAGTTATTTTTAAAATACATAGACTTATATAATTGGTTACTTAATTGGTTTTCGTTATTTTACGCACGTAGTTTTTATTTTTATTGCAAAATAGAAAATTATAATAAAAATGTTTTACACTACTTTAAAATTTCTTCCAGAGTATTTAACTTATGCATAAAATCAATTGCGATGTTTTTGACATCTTCAACATCGGGAATCACCGCTTTGTCAATTGTATAAGCAAAATTCAAGCGTTTTTCATACGATGTTATCATCAAACTCACACCTAATAAAAAAAACAATTCTTTGTTATTTGGGTTGCCTAACTAATGAAATAAACTGTAATTTACCTGAAATTGAAGTGTTTGGATCAATAAACACAAACTCGTTGACCTTCAAACGCCCGAAAAACTCTAAACTGTCACATCCGGGAATGTTGCTCACCATTAACGATGTGCCATATCTTTTTATGAACCATTTCTGAGCAAACCACGGCAGTAATGTCAATACCACTGTGCCCTGCCATCGATTACACTAAAATCACAGAATATTATGACGTATATCATTATTACACAATAATATAAATAATTTTTTTACCCAGTAATCTAATGAAATGTTTTTAAACACATTGTATTCGTGTTTTATTAGATTTAAACGTTGAATTAATGTATTATCATTGAAATTGTCACTTAATTTTAGTGGTAGCCTCAAAAAACCAATCGAAATCTTATTGTTCATTTCGTAGTTGGTCACCCTGCCATACGCAGAGTAATTACCATGCGGTGGCATCATAGGCAACACAGTGTACACTTTATCCGGTAGATTGATGTTCATTTTATTAAAATATGATGTTAGGCTTTCCATGAAGCATGTAAGAAGCACATCAACCACATTGATATTATTATTATAGATGATTTTTTGTTTTTGTTTGATTTCTTTAATTGTGGATAGAATCTGCGGTGTTTCTTCAGTGTACCACACTATGTGCTTGTCTCCGCTTGTTTGGCACAAAACATTTGAGTCGCGTGGATCTACGAGGCCATTCATTGTTATAAATGGGTTCTGGGTATAAGTAGCGTCTAATGACCTAACCTCTACTTCATAATTTTGTTTTAAAGTTGATTTATTCTAAAAAATAAACTTTTATGATAAACAAACGTTGGATAGTTTAAAATACTTGCTTGTTTTTGAAAATCAGTTGTAAACATGTTGAATAACGTAATGGCGTCTCCAAAAATATGATGAAAACGTAAAATAATTGGATATGCATTGGTTCCTTCAAGTTTCTGCCTGCTAACACGTGCTTCCCACATACAGGCGCCATTTTGTGGCATTTCTTGATTGCTAACCTCACTTACGTACAATCTCAATTGTTCCATTGTTAATTTCTTCTCCTGATGTTTAATATAAACATTATTCATGTTATTATCTGTATAATGCACACTTTGATAATCAAAATCTTTGAAACAAGTGTGAATTGGCCAATTTTCTTTCTTGAAGTAGAAATATCCCAATTTATATTGTACACTGGCCTGAAGTTTTCGAAACATTTCATTCTCAAAAATTCTGGTAATGTTTTCCACACAAAAATCGTGAAAGTCATCACCGGATAAATGTTGGTTTTCTTTGTCTTCTAAAATAAACAAAGTTGTTATAATTGCACGACTTTCTTTTGATTCCTGTCCAATGAAAATCGTTTCGGTCCCATCCAGCATGCCAATATAATGTGGATCTGTGAAGGCCACCCAACATGCAATCAATGTTTTGACAAGCTTTAAGAGCCATATTGTTGTGAATACAATTGGGGCCAGAAGCAAGGTTAAACACTTCAAGATGGCATTGTTGCAAAATGGAGACTTTTTGAAGATATACTAAAAAGTAAACAATATGATAAATTATGCATTATAAAACTATATTGTGATGAAAAACCTTTAAAATTGTGTAAATGTAGATTGAAACTTTAATATTTCCATAAATTTGATCTGAAACACAAAAAAAACATTTAAAAATGTTTAATAATTAAAATTAATTAACTTACTTAATATTTGAATCCGATAATAATTAAAATGTGCATACAGCCAGAACATTTTAAATAATTTTAAGTTTTCTACTGTTTACAACTTAACTAAAAATGTGCCTTGGCTAAAAGCCGATGTAACAGCCATGACGTTTCGCTGACGAATGAAAACTTCTTGCAATCGCACGAACAAAACGTGGACCTTGCGTTTGTCCGCACCTGTAATTAGTAATAATAGCTTAGGTAAACATTATGCGAACTTCAAAAATACGATAGAAAATCTTAAGAAGACGCATAACGTTTTTATTTGTTTCTGCACAACTTTAATATAACAGATTATTAATACCAATATTTTCATTTCAAAAATCTAAATATACTCACATCAAATTATGCAGTTTTTGTTCTTTGTAAGTCGAATAACAGAAGACAAGATTTTGTTTTAATGTGTAATCTTTATACAAAAGAGAAACTTTTATTAGTCTTTTTTACGTGTTCCTACCACGTACAAAAATATTAGTTTAAGTGTACAGCATTCATTCTTGTATAATACTTGGTGTACCGACTAAGTATATTTACTTTTACTTTTGTTTTATTGCTTATTACGCTCTTGCTGCGGTTTTTATTGCATAAATTGACGATTTTTTGGACATTAATTTTTATTATCTGATTATTCAATGTGTATACATAACAACCAAACAAAAGCTTCTTACAAAGTGATTATTATGCAAATAATAAACGTATTCCCAAAAGATATCTTCACAAAAGTTTTATTTAATTATTTAATTGGATAATTTAATATTTACTTATGGTAACCCTGTCGTTGGTACCCAGTGTCGCTTGAACACGAATTTTGTTAGGTTATGTTGTGAAATTCCCGATTCTGAGTGACCGCGTAACTTGCGCAAGAATCAAAAAATGGTTTATTTGCGTTGTAAATATTGAAATAAATAAACCAACACGAATTTGTTTATTGTCAAGCATTGCGAATTGCGCAAAATGGCCGAGACATTCTTCAATCCAGAGCGTTCAGATGAAGATCTTGTAAGCTTAACCCTAAACATGCATTTATTTATGTTTATTTATTAAAATTTGCTTTAATTGTTAATAGATTAGCGAGTGGTACAATAATGCCCTTATGGGCGATCCCACCGAGGCCGCCAATAACCTGCGTAAGATACAAGAAGTAATCCTGCATAAAAATCCGGCATTATTGCCGGAATTCTTTTCAAATATGCTGGATTTTGTCACATCCAAAGATAATGAAGTTAAGAAAGCACTTGTTGGTTTTATTGAAGAAGCATGGTAAACAAATTTTTAATTCCGTATTGAATAAGTGATTGATTTGTTATATTTTATAGTAAAATTGATGAAGTTTACATTCCTAAAGTAATGCTCACATTACTTATTTTATTAAATGAGGGCACAATTGCTATCCAGAAGAGGGTTGTACAGACCACAATCACTCTCTATAGAAAACTATTAGCTATATTATGTGTGGCTACTGAAATTAGTACTGAATTGGAGCAAGCATGGACACAGATGAGTGAAATGAAGACAAAAATAACCGAACTGATTGATTCTGATAATGATGGAGTAAGAACTAGTGTGGTGAAGTTTCTGGAAGGTGTAGTTCTCTTACAGAGTTATCCAGATCCACATGAGAGTAATAAAAATGATTTTACTTTGGAGAATATTCCGATTAGTTTAAAAATTGCCAGAAGGAGAAAATTGGAAGAAGAAGCAAAGTAAGCAAAATATAACATACAAGTATCCAACAATAAAAATATGTTTTTATGCTGTTTTAGTTCAATTTTTGATGAATTATTAAAATTCAACAACTCGTCACACATCAGCAATGCCAATTTATTCGTCTGCATTGGCGCATTAACAAACATAGCTAAAAACCGCCCGGATTTTATGGGTTTAGTTGTGAATGCGCTTGTTAATCTAAGCACAAACCTTCCACCTACTTTGAGCACCACACAAGTGGCATCCGTGCGCAAAAAGTTGAAGTCCGAGATGACAAATTTGATCAAACATCCAGCCACACAGGATTTCCTAGAGAAAATCACGCCGCGTTTGCTTGATTTAGGCAGCACACCACAAGAAATAGCCAGAGTTTTACCTAAAGTGGATGAGAGCAGGAAATACAACAAGAGGACACTACCCCAGGAAGGCGAGAATGATCCAAAGCGTATTAAACTTGAAGATAAGTCTTCCGAGGAAGATAATTACACGAAACAACAACGTGCTATCACAATGAATGAAAACTATTTAATAGAAAAGTTAACTCTGCCTACAGCTTCAGAAATCGTGTTGAAAGGCTTACTAGAATTACCTCAGAAAATGCCGAATAATTTCAAAGTTGATTATAACGAAGCGTTAAAGAAAGGAAAGCCTGGCGAAGTGAAAACGGTTGCAAGACTGATGGCAGAGCTATTTGTTGAGAATGGCGTAGGTCCAGGGAGTAGTATAATTGGTAAAGGCGTTCTTCTTCGCAAACAGGAAGATATTAAAAAGAAGCGACCGCGTGAGGATGATGATGAACAGGAACCGCAGGTTTGTAAACATAATTTTCATATATTTTTTATTTTGTAGCAGATTGCAAAGTAATATTAATACAAATATGATTTTTTTTATTATTTAAACAGAAAGAAAAAGAAAGGAAGAAGATAAAGGTTCCACGCGTGAAAATTCTCAAACTGCATGAAATTACACGCCCATTGGAACGTACAGTGAAGGAAGACCTCCTCTTGGGTGCTGTTAGACGTCTGTTGAGTACAAATAACAACACACAAATCCGACAGAAGATAATTACGGTTGTCGCGGCAAGTTTCAACGAATTTGTGCGCGATGCAGTCATGAGTTATGTCCTCGACAATCTCAAATCCCACATGGATCTTGCCCTTGGCTGGCTGTATGAAGAATACAGCATTTTGCAAGGCTTTACGCGCATTCCCGAACTCCGCAAACAATCGCGTATTGAACAGAATTATAACACTTTGTTATCATCGTTTGTTGCATCTGCGGATAGCGATTCAGCAATTGTACAACGATTATTATTAGAAGCGCCCTTGATTACCGATCATGTCTTGACTCAATTGAAACAGATCTGTAAAGAAGAGGCGTCATGCGAATGGGCTACGAATTTACTGCGTGAGTTGATTGTCCGTCGACCAACTAGGCAGATTACGTTTCTAAATACACTTCTGGATAACATAACATATGAAGTGCAAGAGGTACGGGATCATGCGATTGGGCATATTGTTCAGTTGCACACTTGCATTGAACTAAGGCAACATATCGAGGATTATGTTAGAAACAAAATGGAGTATTTGTGCGAGCCGAGTCCGCCAGAAGTTCTCTTTGGGTTCAATCAGGGCCGGCTGCAGGCTAGCGAAACATGGACGGAGGATATTAGCAAAGCTTGTCTGGAAGCTTACGTCGCACTCTTGCCGTCAAATCAATCGTTGATTCATGATTTAGCTAAGGTTTACGTTAAAACTACCGCGGATGTTAAAAGAGTGATCTTAAGGTATAAATATAAAATGTTCATTTTGATATTTGAGGTTATGTTCTTTAATCTATTCATTGCAGATTACTTGAAACGCCAATACGCACCATGGGAATGGAGTCAAACGAGTTATTAAAATTGGTTCAAGAGTGTCCCAAGGGTGCGGAAACGCTTGTAACTAGAGTTATTCATGTTTTAACTGATAAAGGCCCGCCGAGTGCGCAGCTTGTAAAACGCGTTCGTGAATTATACAATACACGTGTCTCTGATGTGCGGTTTTTGATTCCGGTATTGAATGGTCTTACTAAACAGGAGGTATGCAGTTTTATTAACATTTTGTAACATAACGTAACTTTTCATCTTGTAATTCACAGATTATTCAAGCGCTGCCGAAGCTAATCAAACTCAATCCTGTCGTGGTGCGTGAAGTCTTCAATCGTTTGTTAGGCGCGCACGGTGAATGCTCCATCACACCCACAGAATTACTCGTCACGCTTCACCTGGTTAACAATGACCAAGTTGATATCAAGACGCAGATGAAAGCGATCACAATGTGTCTCAATGAAAAGAGCGTATTTAATCAGGAGATACTCGCGGTGGTATTACAACAGCTTATGGAACAGAGTCCATTGCCCACGTTGTTGATGCGCACGGTCATTCAAGCACTCGGGTTGTTTCCGCGTCTGAGTGGATTTGTCATGAATTTACTGCAAAGGTTGATCATAAAGCAAGTCTGGAAGCAAAAGGTTGCTTGGGAGGGTTTTGTAAAGTGTTGTCAACGTACAAAACCGCAGAGTTTTCCGGTTTTACTGCAGCTGCCTGCCGCGCAATTAACGGAGGCGATGGAAATGTGTCCTGAATTGAAGGAACCTTTGAAAGAACACCTGCTGGGTTATAACGAATCACAAAGGGCTCATGTACCACAATCAGTGCAGGAGATATTCTTATCTGGACAAACGGTAACACCAGAAGTCGAGGTTAAATCACCACCTGTGGTAAAATTATTTTTATTTTGTTGTTATTACAAAGGTTTTAACAAAATAATTTATATTCCAGGATGCACATCAGTTTGATATCCCAAGGATAGATTCTGAACCTTTGCCACCTGGTATGGATTAAATATTTCGAAATGTGTTTTTTATAATTTTCTAGGTTATTGAAAATATAATTAAGAATTTTGTTGGTTTGAAGGTATGTCTATGTGCATTTCTGATAGTAGTTGGTGCAATTGCAGGCTATTTGCTTGTTTTTGTGATCACAGAGATCCTTTGCATCTCTCTCACATCTTTCCGGTCCTTCGGCGAAACGCACGCTCTTTATACGACAAGCTCCATAGGGTAACTCGTAGGGTTGTACCATCAAAGGTTCTGCTTTAACTTTTTCTTTCTTCATTGGAGGTCTGTCCAATCCGATTGGAGTAGGTGTCTCACATTCCGGTAATTTTGTAGTGGCGCACACCTCTTTGTGTTTCGCTAGAATAGCATCATAATGCTTCTTCAACGCTTCTTCTTTTGTATCTATATGTTTCGGCGTAAATTCACTGTCGCCAATATCCACACATTCAACTGGTTTTATATCCCCAACATGTACATTATAAGCACAGTCTAAGTTAACCGGTTTGATACCGTGTGGTGGAACAGGCGTTCGTCGTTTGATGGACTCCTCGTATTCTTCAACAATCTTATCCATTTTAGCTTGCTGGATGACTTCGTCTGGATTACCTGCATTTGCTGCTTCAATACACTTCTCCATTTCGGTGGCTCTGATTTCGATTTCCCTTCCAATAGCATCTCGTTTTTCTTTCTTTGCGACTTCATGCTCCTGTTCAACTTGTTCTTGCAAGTCATTGTCAAGCAATCCTTGATTAAACATGTAATTTCGCAAGTTCTCAACAACCTCACAGGGGAACTTCTCAGGATTCTTCTGCATGTATCTGTATGTGTAGAGATCAGCGCCGATGACAATGAATCTTTGCTGGAAGACTGATATTACAGCTCCAATGTAAAAATCCACGGGTGTATAATACTCGGGATTCACCGGGTCGGAGCCAGGCTTGATCAACATTGTCGCTCTTAGGTATTTACCGCCCAGAATACCCGAATTAATAATCGGCGGTTCGTAAATCGAACATGTACCATCTCCAAGGTTATATTTCAGAATAAACTTGCGGATTTCATCTTCCGGATGAACGAGATCAAATTTAATTATGTACCGCAGATATTTATTCGCATTTGTAACCTGGCGAATCACATCTTTTTTGGGGACCTTTGGAATAATCCTAAGGGTGCTTTCTAATGAGTCTTCTAAAGATCCAATGCCCATCACGTGCGGTGGCATTTTGTGCACCACCTTTGGTTTTTTAGGCATGGACACATCAATCGCAGGCTCTTGAGTATAATTCAGAACCTTTGCGAAGTAGTTACGCGTGAATTTATCACAATCGTACAGAAGCATCCTCCTGCCTAGGATAAAGATGGTCTCGCCAACACGGAAATCCTTGGGTTGATAAAATTCAGTGACTTCATTATCACTCAACTCAAGATATATGGAAGGGAAGTCATCCGGACGTTGTGTCCAGATTTTCGGAAGTTTTGTGCGACGTAATAATTGTGGAAAGGGATCTCTGCCTTCCATATCTTCCATTACTTCTTTGACGGAGACGGTGTCGTCGCAGAGGAAGTAATAGACTTCATAGGGACGTTTTTCTCCGTATTCGCTCTCGTCATCCCACAAGGCTTTGAATTTCAGTATTTTCCCGTCGTATTCTAGGAACCGGCGGACTTTATCGTCGTTTTGGTGAGTTTTGTGGGTAGTAACGGCGGTTTTAAACTTGCGATCTTGTGTGTACGGATCTGGTGGCATTTCTTCACGTTGGGCGAGCTCCACGCCTTGAGATGCCAAATATTCCTGCGTAAAATCAAATTTGCTTTAATCAAACTTTATATGTAATATATAACGATGGCGCTAAAGTGCACAGCGAATGATGGAAGTACGTTTAACTGACTACAAAATGACAAATAGGCAAATGCGCAAGCGCAAGCTCTACTCGTGACTAAAGCATGTAACTTTACAGTATGTGATTAAAGTACAACTTTTTGGGTCAAAAACCATATAAAAATGGTGCTTTAAATGTGGAAATAGAATAAAATAACTTATTTACTCTCGTGAAGTTGTCACAGTCCACTGTGTGATAAACAATGCCATAAATACAAATGTCCCGTCCAATGTTCAAGTCCTTCCAATGAAATAACGTCCCATCTTCATATTTTTGTATTTTGCCTCGCGTTACCAATCGTCCTTGATCATATCCACTATTCTAAACAGTTAAAACAAAGATATTAAATTATTATTATTTGTTTTGCATCTATATAGATACTCACTTCAGTTTTTGGTTCGATTACAGTTAAAGTATCATCTTCCAAGAAATAAATAATGTTTACTTGTCGCACCCGAAAAAATTCCCACGGAGACTCAAATACAGCTTGTTTAAAAAATGCTTTAAATGTTAAACATTTCTGATCGTAAAGAGCGTAATGCGGCATAAATGTTTTTGGCGGCATGGAGCGACATCGGCCGTACGTTAGCGTTGGATCGTAGTGGATAGCGTCCAATTTATTGAAGTAATTCACTGAATTCACATCCAGTTCGGATTTTCCGATGCCACTGTAGTTGGTCCTTGGAAGTTGATAGCCATTTACAATATTAAAAGTCTGTGCCAAGTTAAAATTTTGTTTCTGCAAGAATAACCATTTTTAACATGGAATATATAAAAATATTACTATCATAACTCACCGTGGGATCTTTAAAGGTAAATCCGGGCAGTTTTGGTAACCCTGCCATTTTTCGAAGTACTTATACCCAGTTTTATTTTAGTGCTATGTGATTAACTTGTAAATAGTTAAAAAATTGGCGTTTCAATATCAAATAAGAAGTGTAAAGTGACAGAAAACAGTTTTCACGTATTTGTGAGCATTTCCATGGTAACTGATCAATCAAAACGATTAAAAAGCAATGCTGTGTCCTAGCAACCAAAGAAAATTATATCAATGAGACAGTAGGTAGTTTTGAAGCACTGCAGCGCCACGCAGAAAAACTTTTTTTTTCATGTTTAGGGCACCGTATGATGGAAGCGGTATAAGTGACTTGATTCAGGGCACCGTATGAATGTAACGGTGGATTTGGATATTAATGAATATTTAGACAATTTTTATTAACCAAAATGATATAGGTATTTAATTTCAAGAGCAAATTACTAAGGAAGTAAAATTTGAATGTTTTTATGCTTTTTTGTAGTTTTTGAAGAGATTTGATGTAATTTTATAGAAAATATGTGATTTTATGACGAATACCTTCATTGACTATTTATGCAGTGTATTATGTTTATTTATAGCAAAATTTATGAATATTTGCATTAAAATTGCAATATTTAATTTATTTATTTTGAATTAATACGTTCTAGCGACATATACATTTGAAGCTTTGAGTTATGTGTAAAAATTGCTATTTGTATTGATAGGGTGGTGCATGCGCAGTTGCGTGTACGTGTGACACACGAGCACTGCCATTTAAGTGCGTGACCATACACTGACGCATAGCCAATCACTCACTGCCTCATATGCACGCCACACTTTTTGATACACTTTGTATTTTCTTGAGGTACTCCAAAGTAACCTCAGATGGCGCAATAATGCATGTTTCGCTAAAAATATTCCTGCGAGTGAATGTCGGCGTGCCCAGTTGTTGAGTAGCCGGCACGCAACTCTTACTTCGTGCGATAAGTACTAATACTTGAATGGATATTTGTGTTTTGTGTTGTAAATTCGTAATACCGCGTTATATTTGCTGGAATTTAGTGTTAATAGACGGGTTTTTGTCGCTAAACATTTATCGCGTGTGTAATCTTCGGAATTCAATGTTTTGTGTGTTTATAACAGTTTCGCGTGTATCTGCGATCGCTTGCCGTCGGACGCCACTCGGTCATGTTGTGTGATTGTAAATAATAATTATGGCAAATAAGACAATTTATAAGGCAAAGTTTGGGGTCCTCTGGTACTCGGATTCATTTCAATATTGTCCGAAATTGTATAGTATAACTAATGTTTTGTTTCTTCTTAATTTCAGTATCTACTCGCATTTGATTTTCGGTGTTCGATACACTGGTGAGTGAAATTGAAGTCTTTATTTTGAATGTTACCATAAAAGTCACCTGAGCATTTTATTTTGGTAAAATTTTACTCATGGACTCATAGTCTTCCTGCAATTTGATTAAATGTGAGGTCACATTTTCCACAGAAAAATAAAATTTGGAAATTTAAAGTTTTTATTTTGAATGTTGCTATAAAATGTTCTCCTGATCACTTTATTTTAGTAAAATTTTACTGTTGGACTCATAGTTTACCTGTAATTTGATCAAATGTGATAATAATTTTCAGCAGAAAACCCAGTTGAAATTTATAATTTTATCTACTCAAGTTGTAACAAAACATTTTTACGAGCCATTTATTTTAGTATAAATTGTCTTTATAATTCAGTTGGAATTGTTCATTGCTAAAATAAAAACCTAAATACCTAGTATAGCAATGCATGTTCAAATTAAATATCACTTAAATATTTGATGTAAAATTGGTCAATCAATCAATAAAATTAGCATAAGAAATAATAATTTCATGATTTCAATTTTATTGTTTTATTAATTTTATTAATCTAAATTCCGGGAGCATCTGTAGCATTCATAGATGGCACTAGGATGTACTAAAAATCATAAAATCGAGTTATACGACTTATTTTTATATTTATCGACAAACGTGGCCACGAGAATAATTTTGTATACAGTTTATCAGCGATTCGATATAAACAACTGTTTATCGCATGTGTCCCGCGCGCCGTCTTCTGACGCCGCATCAACTTGCTGCATGCAGCATATTCTAGTTTAGTTTAGATCGCAGGTATCGTGTCTATTGCAAATCGTAGCGTAGCGTAACGTAGCGCAAAGCGTAGGTAGTCTTATCATGTTGTGACCTTGTTTGCTTTGCTGAAGCACATCTAGCAATATTTTAATACTTTGTCTTATAGAGAATTTCTCATAGATTAATATTTACCGCTTTTAGTTTACGAGATATTCGCAATTGAATGAATTGGGTGAAAAAAGAAAAATTGCACTTTTTAGCACTTTTAGTCACGTTTTTTTGCCCTTCACCCCACGAAAATCTTTCATCATGAGAAATTAGAATTACACAACTCGAATTTTAATTTTTGATTATTTTCAATAATTTTAATTGCAGAACTACTATCTGTAGCATTCATGGAATTGTGTTTGTTTGGCCGTGGGTCGTCGTTGCCATCCGCTTTGCGCATCTATTGCTTTTACCTGCGGGGTTCATACTGCAAGCACATTGTCTTATTGGGAACTGTCATATCGTTGCTTGCGCTATCGATGGATTGCAGCCAGTTTCGTGCCAGTCGCTAGCGTATCTAGACGTATTTTGCGCGACTCATCGTTTTATCGGACTTTTATTTTCTATATTTACGTTGTATTCGGTCATCAATTGACTATTTAGTTCTACAGTGTTTTGTTAATGGTTAATTGGGCGTTTACTGTCCATAATTTTTATTTGTTTGCATTTGATGTTTACATTCCAAATGCATATTGTTGCCATGATGTTTCTTGTCATTAGGAAGTCCCCTCGTACTTGAGTAAGTAACTTATATCTGACTTGCGCTACTTAGCAGAATGTTTGTTTTCGCTGATGTATGAATATAATATTATATTGTATGCAATGTTTTTATTTTAACTTATGTTTTCTTTTCATTGCAGTACTTGCTGTGCCCTAGCAATTCAATGAGCACTGCATTGGTAAGTTTATATAAAGTTATATTATTCGGTCAAATGTGTTATGACCTGCGTGTTGCAATAGCTCGCGAATTAAGGGTGCCTTGTTTATTTTAAATGCGGGTAATATAGAAAACGAAGGAAACGACAACGTTTGCCCGTTTTTCGCGTTTTTCAAAACACGCGGTGGAAAACAGGCCATATGTCGGGGATCCTTCGTGATATTTTAGCTTTTTATTTATTTTATGATAGTACCAGAGTACATTTTTAAAATGCACCCCGGAACCCTTGCGAAATTCGGTCGTAACAGTCGCAAAATGGCCGCCACAATTTGGCCTTTTCTGGCAATTTTCAAAACACGCGTTGGAAAACAGGCCTTGTCTCGGGAACCCTTCGTGGTATTTTAGTTTTTTCTTTATTTTATTATAGGGCAAGAGGGCATTTTTACAATTCATATTTTTACAATTAATTTTAGATATATTATTATAGAAATTAATTTTGAGCGTAAAACACCCACAGATGCATACTGCGATGGAAAATGTACTCGAGAATCGCCTACCACAGCAACCAAGGAACACCTTCTGGAGAGCAGCTGCGTTTCGACGTGATGCGATACTTCTATAATTTATCGCATATCTTGAAAACACTTCTTGCGTGCCCACATTATTTTTTATACCAGTACAAATAATGCGCCCAGACAATGACACAAAAAGAACTTCCTGCATTTTACACCACAAACGCATTCATTTAATTCACTTATAATTAGAATTGTATATATTTAGGGACTTTTGACGATTGATTTGATGAATGCTTGTGGAATAACACGCAGTGTAAACTCTTTATAACTATAATCACTACGATTAGTTGGTTTAAGGACGGATCATATTCGTCCAACCATTTGCCACAAACCAACATTCTTGTATATATTTTAGCGTCATAAAAACGGTTATCAAGAGTTTACATTGTATTGCATATACGCCTCACGACTTTTACTGCATTGTCTTATTGCTTCTCGAGCTAATGGGACGACTTTGCGTTTTATTTGCTGTAAGGGAATTTGGTAGTTGCAGCACTGTTGTCTAGCTTTAAGTCGCAAAAGGGACGTCTATAGAGGTTTTAATTAAATTCTCCGTGAGGTTGTATTAATTTGTTGCGGGAATGACGCATTGGTAAATTCGAAAATTGTTTTTTTGGCATAGATCGCGAGAGAGGCGGCTTAGATATTTCTGCGCGATCTTTAGAGATGTCAAATTAGAGTCGACCTGCAACCCGGGAAAATTTGCATAAAAGGGTGGTTTGCACGCGATCTAGGCGGTGTAGTAACTTCAGCGTGGCGCCTAGAGATGCGGAATTAAATTCTACGTCGGGTGGTATTTAATAGTTGCAGGAATTCGAGCAGCAACCCGCGAAAATTTGCATATAAAGGTAATTTTTCAACCCTTTTTCGTGAAACGTTTGTGTTTTTTCGGGTTTGCGCGCGATCTAGGCGGCGTAATAACTTCAGCGTGGCGGCTAGGGATGCGGAATTAAATTCTCCGTCGGGTAGTATTCGTTTGTTATAGAAATTCGAGCTACAACCCGCAAATATTTACATAATAGTAATTTTTCAACCATTTTCGTAAAATGTGTTTCGGGTTTGCACGCGGTCTAGGCGGCATAGTAGCTCCACAGTGACGTCTAGAGATGCGGAATTAAATTATGCGTCGTGTGGTATTTAATTGTTGTTGGAATTCTACCTGCAACCCGCGAAAATTTGCATGTAAAAGTAATTTTTAAACCCTTTTCGAGAAATGTTTGTATTTTTTGGGTTTGCGTGCGATCTAGACGGGGTAGTAGATCCACAGTGACGTCTAGAGATGCGGAATTAAATTCTCCGTCAGGTAGTATTTATTTGTTGCAGGAATTCCACTTACAACCCGCGAAAATTTGCATATAAAAGTAATTTTTCCACCTTTTTTTTGTGAAATGTTTGTGTTTTTTCGGGTTTGCGCGCGATTTAGGCGGGGTAGTAGCTCCACAGTGACGTCTAGAGATGCGTAATTAAATTCTACGTCGTGTGGTATTTAATTGTTGTTGGAATTCTACCTGCAACCCGCGAAAATTTGCATGTAAAGTAATTTTTAAACCCTTTTCGTGAAATGTTTGTGTTTTTTTGGGTTTGCGCGCGATTTAGGCGGCGTAATAGCTTCAGCGTGACGTCTAGAGATGCGGAATTAAATTCTCCGTCGGGTAGTATTTAATTGTTGTAGGAATTCGACCTGCAACCCGCGAAAATTTGCATATAAAGGTAATTTTTCAGCCCTTTTTCGTGAAATGTTTGTGTTTTTTCGGGTTTGCGCGCGATCTAGGCGGCGTAGTAGCTCCACCGTGACGTCTAGAGATGCGGAATTAAATTCTCCGTCGTGTGGTATTTAATTGTTGTAGGAATTCGACCTGCAACCCGCGAAAATTTGCATATAAAGGTAATTTTTCAGCCCTTTTTCGTGAAATGTTTGTGTTTTTTCGGGTTTGCGCGCGATCTAGGCGGCGTAGTAGCTCCACCGTGACGTCTAGAGATGCGGAATTAAATTCTGCGTCGTGTGGTATTTAATTGTTGTAGGAATTCGACCTGCAACCCGCGAAAATTTGCATATAAAAGTAATTTTTCAACCCTTTTTGTGAAATGTTTGTGTTTTTTCGGGTTTGCGCGCGATCTAGGCGGCGTAGTAGCTCCACCGTGACGTCTAGAGATGCGGAATTAAATTCTCCGTCGTGTGGTATTTAATTGTTGTAGGAATTCGACCTGCAACCCGCGAAAATTTGCATATAAAAGTAATTTTTCAGCCCTTTTTCCTGAAATGTTTGTGTTTTTTGGGTTTGCGCGCGATCTAGGCAGCGTAGTAGCTTCACTGTGACGTCTAGAGATGCGGAATTAAATTCTCCGTCGGGTTGTATTTATTTGTTGCAGAATTCGACCTACAACCCGCGAAAATTTGCATATAAAGGTAATTTTTCAGCCCTTTTCGTTAAATGTTCGTGTTTTTGGGTTTGCGCGCGATCTAGGCGGGGTAGTAGCTCCACAGTGACGTCTAGAGATGCGTAATTAAATTCTACGTTGTGGTATTTAATTGTTGTAGGAATTCGACCTACAACCCGCGAAAATTTGCATATAAAGGTAATTTTTCAGCCCTTTTCGTTAAATGTTAGTGTTTTTTAGGGTTTGCGCGCGATCTAGGCGGGGTAGTAGCTCCACAGTGACGACTAGAGATGCGGAATTAAATTCTACGTCGTGTGGTATTTAATTGTTGTAGGAATTCGACCTAGAACCCGCGAAAATTTGCATATAAAGGTAATTTTTCAGCCCTTGTTCGTTAAATGTTAGTGTTTTTGGGTTTGCGCGCGATCTAGGCGGGGTAGTAGCTCCACCGTGACGTCTTGAGATGCGGAATTAAATTCTGCGTCGTGTGGTATTTAATTGTTGTAGGAATTCGACCTGCAACCCGCGAAAATTTGCATATAAATGTAATTTTTCAGCCCTTTTTCGTGAAATGTTTGTGTTTTTTCGGGTTTGCGCGCGATCTAGGCGGCGTCGTAGCTCCGCAGTGACGACTAGAGATGCGGAATTAAATTCTACGTCGTGTGGTATTTAATTGTTGTAGGAATTCGACCTTCAACCCGCGAAAATTTGCATATAAAGGTAATTTTTCAGCCCTTTTTCGTTAAATGTTCGTGTTTTTAGGGTTTGCGCGCGATCTAGGCGGGGTAGTAGCTCCACAGTGACGACTAGAGATGCGTAATTAAATTCTCCGTCGTGTGGTATTTAATTGTTATAGGAATTCGACCTACAACCCGCGAAAATTTGCATATAAAGGTAATTTTTCAGCCCTTTTCGTTAAATGTTTGTGTTTTTGGGTTTGCGCGCGATCTAGGCGGGGTAGTGAGTTCAGCACGGCGCCTAGAGATGCGGATTTAAATTTTCCGTCGGCCAGTATTTATTTGTTGCAGGAATTCGATCTGCAACCCGCGAAAATTTGCTCTTTCGTGAAATGTTTGTGTTTTTTTGGGTTTGCTCGCGATCTAGACGGCGTAGTAACTTGAGCATGGCGTCTAGAGATGCGGAATTAAATTTTCCGTCGGGTAGTATTTATTTGTTGCAGGAATTCGACCTGCAACCCGCGAAAATTTGCATATAAAGGTAATTTTTCAACCCTTTTTCGTGAAATGTTTGTGTTTTTTCGGGTTTGCGCGCGATCTAGGCGGCGTAATAACTTCAGCGTGGCGTCTAGAGATGCGGAATTAAATTCTCCGTCGGGTAGTATTTAATTGTTGTAGGAATTCGACCTGCAACCCGCGAAAATTTGCATATAAAGGTAATTTTTCAACCCTTTTTCGTGAAATGTTTGTGTTTTTCGGGTTTGCGCGCGATCCAGGCGGCGAACAAACTTCAGCATGGCGTCTAGAAATGCGGAATTAAATTATCCGTCGGTTGAATTTATTTGTTGCAGGAATTCGACCTGCAACCCGCGAAAATTTCCATATAAAAGTAATTATTCAACCCTTTTCGTGAAATGTTTGTGTTTTTGGGATTGCGCGCGATCCAGGCGGCGAACAAACTTCAGAGTGGCGTCTAGAGATGCGGAATTAAGTTCTGCATCGTGTGGTATTTAATTGTTGTAGGAATTCGACCTGCAACCCGCGAAAATTTCCATATAAAAGTAATTATTCAACCCTTTTCGTGAAATGTTTGTGTTTTTCGGGTTTGCGCGCGATCCAGGCGGCGAACAAACTTCAGCGTGGCGTCTAGAAATACGGAATTAAATTCTCCGTCGGGTAGTATTTATTTGTTGCAGGAATTCGACCTGCAACCCCAAAAATTTGCATATAGGGGAAGGGGGCAAAGTGGGCCCTTTTCGTGAAAGTGGGCCCCTGAAATTCAGGTGGCTTAAAAATTGAGGGGCAAAGTGGGCCCCTAAAATTTTGATAAATAAGAGGGAAAATAACTCACATTAACAAATTCGAAGTAAGAAATGAAAAAATATATATAAGCAAAAATGGATACAAAGGTAATAGCAAAATTTTTATGGGCGGGGCCCACTTTATATTCTGAATTTTTTATTTTGATAGATGCGGCTTATTAATATTGAATACTGAACAAGGATGTAAAAATAGGGTAACGAGTGAAAAAGGTAAACAAATCCCTTTTTCGCTTATGGGGCCCACTTTGCCCCCTCTCCCCTAAAGGTAAATTTTCAACTCTTTTCGTGAAATGTTTGTGTTTTTCGGGTTTGCGCGCGATCTAAGCAGCGTAGTAGCTCCACCGTGTCGTCTAGAGATGCGGAATTAAATTCTCCGTCGTGCAGTATTTAATTGTTGCAGAAATTTGACCTGCATCCCGCAAAAATTTGCATATAAAAGTAATTTTTCAACCCTTTTCGTGAATTGTTTGTGTTTTTCGGGTTTGCGCGCGATCTAGGTAGCGTAGTAGCTCCACCGTGACGTCTAGAAATGCGGAATTAAATTCTCCGTCGCGTGGGATATAATTGTTGCAGAAATTTGACCTGCAACCCGCGAAAATTTGCATATAAAGGTAATTTTTCAGCCCTTATTCGTGAAATGTTTGTTTTTTCGGGTTTGCGCGCGATCTAGGCGGCGTAGTAACTTCAGAGATGCGGTATTAAATTCTCCGTCAGGTTGTATTGCAAGTTTATATTATGATACCGAAAACCAATACTAGAATTATCTACCTAGTGTCCCCACTAGATATTTACGTCGGCTGACAATTCTCTTTTCTGCTTAGTTGGTCGTGCGCGGTGGTGTCGTGAACACGTGTTTTGTTTGTGCGTCTATCTGCATAGTTATTAATCGGGTTTCTTGAGATGTTAATGTAATAGTAATATAAATAGTAAACAATTATTGAATTGTCGCCCATGAAGTCTGAAAGTGAGTGGTTTTATCCCAAACCCCTACTATAGAATTCTTGCAGGTCTATGTTCGGTTGTGTGTTGCGTAGTAGTGTGCACATGTTTTGTATGTCGGTCGGTTCTCGTGGCGATTTTTCACGTTTTTTTGGGACTATAAGTCGGTAGTTTAATTAATATCGGTCAGCACGGATAGAATTTAGCATTGATTGATGTATGCGACGTGTAATTAGTAAGTTATCGCGTCTGGAAGTATTAATTAAGTTGTTTTTTCAATGTGCGCACGTGTTTTCAGTCGCCCGTCGGATATCTTTCGTCGTTACGAAGCATTCTTACTGGATTTATAAATTTTTGTGCATTTTTTAAATAATTCAATCTTGGAAATATACCACGATTGTTTTCCGTGTGGAATAATGTCCGTAATTTTTTTTCCGTACCAGTTTGTGAAGATTCATTCAAGTAAGTGTAACTTGTAACTTAAGTAACTTTTGTAGGTAACGTTGAACACATGTACTTAAATTTCATTTAACAGAATTGAATTTGTGTATGTACTGTCTTGATTATATGAGTTTGAATAAAATATAATTTAATCGTATATTTTGAAGCAGTTATCTCTCTGTGTTCCTATGGTCGTTTTCAGAATTAGATTTAAAGATCATATTTGATTACCAGTGTTTGAAATGCGTGTAAGTGATATATAAATGTTATTGTTTTTAAAAAGCGGAGATAAAGAACAACATTTATACCTGAAACAAATCGACTTTGATAAGTGAGCGTTGTGGCTCAGGTGGAGTGTGCATATGCTAGCATGCTCGAGGTTCATGGATCGAATCTCGGCTGTAGAAGGCAATTTTATTAAATAATGAGAAATTTAAGAAATTTGGGTTGCATACCACAAAAATTCAGGATTTAAATGTCAGAAATAACTTGAAAAACAGAGTACGACGAAGCAAACATAGGAATAAGTAGAAGATGGTGGAGGAGGACTAAGGAAAAGGAGTAAGTAGAGAGAGAATAAGGGAAATAAAAAGAGAAGGAGAAAGAGTACAGGAAGAAGAAAGAAGATAGGGGTGACGGAATTTTTAAATTTTTTGGCACGTGTCGTTATAAGACAGTCTACAGGTCGATCGCCCACTACTTCGATGCGTCCATTGCTCCCGGCCCATCCTACAGCTGCGATATCTCTGCGCTTCATCCCCGAATTTCTCAGGCATATCAACAATTTTTATGGTGGGGATCACCCCCAGAGAGAGGGAACTCCTTATAAGGACAATCCTTATAAGGTCTTGTTCAAATATTTCTAAATTTTAAGTCGCCTCAAGAGAGGTGACACTTAAAAATATTCTTACAAGTTCTGACCTATAGCTGAAATGAAAGAAGGAGCACACAAATCACACAGGATACCTTAACAATTTTTATAGTGGGGATCATCCCCTGAGAGAGGGAACTCCTTATATTATAAGGCTTATAAGGACTTGTAAAATATAACTTTAAGTTTTAAGTCGTCTCGAGAGAGTCGACACTTAAAAATATTCTTACAAGTTCTGACCTGAACCTGCAATGATAGAAGGGGTGCACGAATAATACTACTCACAACCTCTTTTAACATTTCTTTATTAAATAAAAGAACGTAAAATACATATAAATTTCAGGCCACCATCTTGAAACAAGTCTTACGACCTGCGTTTCACATATGCACATAAGTACCAAATTATAAACAGCGACATACTACAGGATTATGAAATAACAATTAACACAGGAAAATTAATATACAGGGTGTTGCAAAACAGATAGTACATTGCAACAATACATTTTCTCCACTTTCACCAGGATGTTAAGGAAAAGTGATATACTGGGTGACACAGAAAGAAAATATAAAGTTTAAAAAGTAAAACACCCGGACAATTAACGTGGTCAGTGACAGATTGGAAATGAAGAAAAACGAGTATACAGGGTGATACAAAAAATTACTAGATTTAAAAATAAAATACTGCGATCAAGGGAAAACACCTGGAAAAACTAATGTAGTCAAGTACTGACTGGAAATTAGGGGGAAATAAATATACAGGGTGATACATAAGAAAAATTTAAACATTTAAAAATAAAATCCCACGATCAAGCGGAAAACATACAAAATGATCAATTTTTATAAATTTTTGTTCATCAAGAAAAACCCATATACAGGATGTTACAAAAAGGAAAATGAGACTATGTATTAAAAAAATCAACAAAATTAACAGCTACAAAATTTTACAAATTTCCTAATGAATATGGAAAGAAAGTGAAAAGAAGGCAACACATCATAAATACAACTACAAACTACTAAAACAACACTAAAGCGGGAGAAAATATCTAAGAAAAGTAAAAGTAGAGAAGGTAGGATGATATATATATATATATATATATATATATACAATTTTTTTAAATGTTTATATTAATTAAACACTATAATGAATTTTATTGCATTTTGAGATTTCCTTTGCGACGCGATCTCTTGATCCGGCTCAACCATAGAAAAGTGCTGACCAACGGCATGATACACGATTTGCGTTAAGATATTTAAATCGCATTTAAACGCATCAACGCGATTACAGTATTTTGAATGCAAAGGAACAATCAGAGCTGAGACGAACAGTGAAAACCACATTCTGAGGCAAGATCGAAAACGCAGCCGACGGCACGCGACAATTTTAACTTACGAGTATTACGGTACTCTCACTACATGCGACTAATGTGATAATGATGTAATAATATTTAAAAACTTACCGGGGCAAAGGGCAATCAAAGGAAGCACTGAAACAGGAAAAAAACACGTGTGTTAGATTATGAACTGTGCTGCGCCGCACTTATTAAGTCTACCCGTCGGATAGTGTCTTGTATTATACGCAATATTTTAACCGACAAACGCACAAATATAAACCCATCGTTTCACGCACAAGTTATTATACGAATTCCTGCAACAATTAAATACCACACGACGCAGAATTTAATTCCGCATCTCTAGTCCTCACGGTGGAGCTACTACGCCGTCTAAATCGCGCGCAAACCCGAAAACCACAAACATTTCACGAAAAGGGCTGAAAATTTTCGTTTATATGCGAATTTTCGCGGGAAGCAGGACGAATTCCTGCAAAATTAATACCATACGACGCAGAATTTAATTCCGCATCTCTAGACGTCACGGTGGAGCTACTACGCTGCCTAGATCGCGCGCAAACCCGAAAAACACAAACATTTAACGAAAAAGGGTTACTCTTATATGCAAATTTTAACGGTTTGCAGGTCGAATTCCTACAACAATTAAATACCACACGACGCAGAATTCAATACCGCATCTCTGGACGTCACGGTGGAGCTACTACGCCGCCTAGATCGCGCGCAAACCCGAAAAAACACAAACATTTCAGGAAAAAGGGTTACTTTTATATGCAAATTTTCGCGGGTTGCAGGTCGAATTCCTACAACAATTAAATACCACACGACGCAGAATTTAATTCCGCATCTCTAGACGTCACGGTGGAGCTACTACGCCGCCTAGATCGCGCGCAAACCCGAAAAAACACAAACATTTCACGAAAAGAGGTTACTCTTATATGCAAATTTTCGCGGGTTGCAGGTCGAATTCCTACAACAATTAAATACCACACGACGCAGAATTTAATTCCGCATCTCTAGACGTCACGGTGGAGCTACTACGCCGCCTAGATCGCGCGCAAACCCGAAAAAACACAAACATTTCACGAAAAGGGTTACTCTTATATGCAAATTTTAACGGGTTTCAGGTCGAATTCCTGCAACAATTAAATACCACACTTTGGAGAATTTAATTCCGCATCTCTAGACGTCACGGTGGAGCTACTACGCCACCTAGATTGCGCGCAAACCCGAAAAAACAAACATTTCACGAAAAAGGGTTACCCTTATATGCAAATTTTAATGGGTTGTAGGTTGAATTCCTGCAACAAATATATACAACCTGCCGGAAAATTTAATTCTGCATCTCTAGACGTCACGGTGGAACTACTACGCCGCCTAGATCGCGTGCAAACCCGAAAAAACACAAACATTTCACGAAAAAGGGTTGAAAAATTACTTTTATATGCAAATTTTCGCGGGTTGCAGGTGGAATTTCTTCAACAATTAAATACCACCCGACGGAGAATATAATTCTGCATCTCAAGGCGCCGCGCTAAAATATCTGAACCGCCAAAGTCGCGTGCAAACCCAAAAAATACAAACATTTCACGAAAAAGCGTTGAAAAATTAGCAAATTCTAAATAAGCAAATTCCTGCAACAAACGAATACAACCCGACGGAGAATTTAATTTAATTTTTAATTAAACTTTTAAAAAGTTTAAAAAGTGAACTTTCAGAGCATATACAGGGTGTTGAAAAGGAACATTTTAAAATTACAAATATGGGCAATATTCACATCATGACGAGAGAAATTTATACGGAGACAACTATATTTTAATATGAATTCAAAGATTTTACCCGGAAATCATCGGAAAAGTTGAGTAAAATGTGCTACAAGAATAAACCACTTACATTTTAATATATATTGTGAATATATTTATAATTTCATGATACCATCAACTGCATAAGGTAACGGACGGGTGCAGCATAGAACATCCGGCGTAAAACATACAAATCAGCAGACGGCAAGCGACGGCGCGTAGCAATAGAGTCGGCAAATACGATAAAAATAACTATTTCTTTGAAAATATTAAGATATACGGAGACTAAGATAGTGAAAAACTATTCAATGTTCAGGACGTTAGATCAACAAAGAAACGTTTTAATTTAATGATGCTAAGGAGTACAATTCGATTAAAAACGTATACATGTTCAGCGAAAAGAAGAACGAGTCGACGGTCGATAGCAAAGTGACCAGGTGAACCACATGAATATTGTGATTTTAATAATCCTATGATAATTTAGTAATACAGTGTTGTAATAATTAAATCAAGCATGCTATTTTCGGAAACGGGGCTATGAATTCTGATAAAAATGCGACCACGTGTTTGTAATCTGCAAAATTAATATCCCTCAAATAGAATAATCAATTTAAGTTAAACCGCCTTAACTTACAGCGAAAAAAAGGGATTACACACCTACCAATGCATTGATGAAGAGATTTTAGATCCAGAAATATATCTTATCAACTGAAAACTTGCGCAGACTGACACTTACTTAAGAACACTCTAACCCGCACAACTCATCAAACAAAACAGCCACACATACTCGTTGCGAATATCTTGCTGTAACGAAAAGAATTCAAGACGATTAATTGAATAATAGAAGTCTGAAAACGCGTGGCGATTAGAGACGCGCTCGCGGACCACGCGGTGATTCGACTGCCGTGTGCGCTGCTCGTAGCCAGATAGAAGGCAGGTACGTTGCGATAATACGCATCAGTCGAACAAAAAGTTCTTTATACACAAACGTACTTGAGAAGAGAAACGTAGTTGTGAAGCAGAAACTAAAATTAACAATATTGCAGAATACACATACACGAACTCTACTTTTACTCTCTATAAAATAGGCTAGTTTAAATTGAAATCTAAGGAGAGAGGTACTTAATAATTTTTTCGACGACTATAAAAGTGTAGAAAATTCTCTATCAAGTAAAAATATAAAATATATAAAGTTCCTGAGCTAAACGGTCCAAAAACAATTTTATAAATACGAGTCACTTCTACCGCAACTCTTATACGGTGCCCTGAATCGAGTCACTTCTACCGCTGCCTTGGTACGGTGCCCTGAACATGAGTCACTTCTACCGCTACCTTCGTACGGTGTTTTGAACACGAGTCACTTCTATCGCCACCCTGCTACGGTACACCGAATGAAACTCAATAAAATCAACAAAAAAAATTAACAAAACCCCTTTTCGCGCTATCAGAATCCGATAAATAATTTGAACATTTCACAAAGGTTTTCCGCAATATGATTCGTTTTCCATATTAATAATTCGAGGGCTATTGCAACACGCAGGTGAATTGTGATAAAACATATAACCGAATAATATAACTTAATTATAAACTTACCAATGCAGCGCTCATCGGATTGCAAGGGTACGGCAATTACTGTAATTAAAAGACAACATAAGTTAAAACCAATACATTTCATACAATATGATAATATTTATTCCCACATGGGAGAAAACAAACTTTCTGTGCTGAGTATCGCAATGGTCAGATAAAATTAACTTACTCAAGCACGAATAGGTTTCCGATTGTTCTAGCGACCAACCACGTCCCACAATAACCGACAATAAAACCGCAGCATTGTAATTTGAAATATTAACATCAAAAGCACAATTACTTATTAAGAAAACACTGCAGATGCATATTACGACTAAATCGATTGATGACCGAATATAAAGCAATCTTTGAAAATAAAAGTCTGATAAAACGAACGCGTTGCGCGATATACGTCTGGATACGCCCGAGACCGGCACGAAACTAGCTGCAATCCATCAATAGAGCATGCCGAAACTGCGCACGCAAGGATGCGACAGTTCAAATAAGATTCTGTGTCTGCAGCATTAACCCGGCAGGTAAAAGCAATAGATGCGCAAAGCCAGCGCGTCGATGCCACGCGATCTTGTCCGTGAATTGCAATAGATCCGCAAAGCCGGCGGCGCGTCGATAGCACGCGATCTTACGCACGAATTGCAATAGACACGGTTCCTGTGATAAGAACTAAACTAAAATGTGCTGCATGCGACAGCGCGACGAGTATCTTACGCGTAGCATCTCGCACGGCGAATGCGATAAGAAAGTGGTTTCTACACAAACGCTGATATGACTCAAAACAAATACAATTCTATTTTATGATTTTTAGTTCATGCTAGTGCCATCTCTGAATAGAATTTACGATGCGACAATTCACAATAAGACTCTGTGCCTGCTGCATAAACCCGGCAGGTAAAAGCAATAGCAAAGCCAGCGCATCGATGCCACGCGACCTTGTGCGCGAATTGCAATAGCCGCAAAGCCGGCGGCGCGTTGATGACACCCGTGGTAATACAGTAGGTAAACACGATAAAATAACTAGTTACTTGTAAATATTAAGATATATGGAGACTATGATAGCGAAAAACAATTCAACGTACAAAATTTTATTAGATCAACAAGAAACGTTTTAATTTAATGATGGTAAGGAGTGCAATTCGATTAAAACGTTTACATGTTCAGCGAAACGAAGAACGAGTTGGCGGTCGATGGCAAAGTGAGCGTGGTCAACCACATGAACATTGTGATTTTAATAATCCGTAGGTACTTTTGTAATACAGTGTTGTAATAATTAAATCAAGCATGCTATTTTCGGAAACGGGGCTATGAATTCTGATAAAAATGCGACCACGTGTTTGTAATCTGCAAAATTAATATCCCTCAAATAGAATAATCAATTTAAGTTAAACCGCCTTAACTTACAGCGAAAAAAAGGGATTACACACCTACCAATGCATTGATGAAGAGATTTTAGATCCAGAAATATATCTTATCAACTGAAAACTCGCATTCACATTATTGCAATAACACACATACACGTAATCTACTTTTACTCTCTATAAAATAGGCTAGTTAAAATGGAAATCTAAAAGATGAAATCCCTTAGCTTAATCATTAGCTTAATCATTTTTTTCGTCGATTATGAAAGTTTAGAAAATTCTCAATCAGGTAAAGACATAAAATAATTAAAGTTTCTGAGCTAAACGGTCCAAAAACACTAATATTTTATGAATACGAGTCTCTTCTACCGCAATCCCTTGAATGGGAGTCACCTCTGCCGCTACCTTTGTACGGTGCCCTGAACACGAGTCACGTTTACCGCTAGCCTAGTTGCAATTTTTCAATTTTTAACGATTTATTCCAATTGCGAATATCTCGTAAACTAAAAGAGATAGAAAGCAACAAATCGCAGAGTTTTAATCTACGGACAATTTTCTACAAGATAGTTAAATTGGAAAACTAGGAAATGAAATTTTAATTCATAAGAAAGAATGGGCGAAAATCGGACATTTTCATTTTCTATTATTTTAATATCTTTTATTTCGGAAACTAAAAGCGGTAGAAATTCGCGGTTTGAAAATTAATAATATACTGAAAATTCTCTATAAGACAAAATATTAAATGTGCATGTTGTACCTCAGCGAAGACGACGCGACGACTGCCCGCGAACTTGTGCGTGAATTGCATTTGGCACGATACATGCGAACTAAACTAAACTACAAGACCAGCAGAGCGAGGCGTGAAAGGATGGCAACGACAACACATGGCAGTCTTGTAGCGATTCGCACGGCGATAAGAAGGTGTAAACTGTATTCAAACAAACACAATTCTCGTGTCGAACATGTCTATTTAATTATTTCTAGTTCATGCTAAGGCCATCTATAAATGATACACGTACTAGTCCCATCATTTTAATTAAGTTTTAAAATAATGATAAATTAAAATTCGATTTATGTAATTTTAAATTCTTATGATGAAAGATTATCCGTTTTATACATTAAATATTTAAATGATATATAAATGTTATTAAGATGAAATGATGAGGAATATGTCTCATCGAATCTTACCAAATAAAATTCAACAACATTGCAATACAATTAAACGTAGAACTAAACTAAAATCTAAGTACACGGCAAACAGTTTCTTTAATAATGAAATTATTTTACTTACCGCTTATGGAAGACGGTATATCGACGGCAAGTTGGCGAATACTGAAATAAATGAGAAACAAAAGATTAGACACAATATTTACCTGATAGCACATTGATCCATGCTCCTCTGTTGGTGACAAATATGTTTTTCACAAGTCAATTAATTATTAGCGTTCACAAAATATCGCCCGACTGCAACGGACTCACGAACACGAGAATAAATTAAACAAGCAAAATTTAGAATTATGAAGATTACACACGCGGTAAACAGCTGATAAAAGATCAAACACGTTTATTAACACTAATTATCACCGGCGACCAGGAAATATAACACAATTTACCGAACTTACATCAAAGAATAACAAAAGTTGAAAGTGTGGAATGTGTGTTCGTCGTTATCGCTCGGACTGAACAGTACAAAATTCTCTCGCTGGAATAACATATTTCGAGGTAAACCTACATCGTAACGCCATCTGAGAATACTATATAGTACCTCACAAAACAACAAAGTGTTTCAAACAGTGTGGCGCGCATGTGTGTCAGTGCGATATTGTCTATGAGGCAGTGAGTGGTCACGCACTTAAATAGCAGCGTACGTGTGAGACACGTACACGAAAGTGTGCATGCCTCACCCTGTCTAAATGACTAGCGAATTTACACAAAAATACAATAAGTCAAATCTAGATGACGCATGATGTTCAAATTCAATCTATCAAATAACAAACACAAATCAAATGTAAATAGATTTATTGTAATTATGATAGTCATAATAGACTTTGTCCTGCGCACTCACACATACATGTCACGAGTGAGTGCCGAGAAATCGCCTGATCTTATATTTCTTCGAAATAATAGAACCTAGCAACATCTTGACTGATATTAAAGACATATCTTAAGTATCACGCCGATTCGCGTAATCTCACACGGACATGAGTGGTTTACCGACGCATTTATTCTCGCCAATAATTTTTAGTTTCAATAAATATAAAGACGCATTTTCAATTATTGAAACACAATAAAAATGAGTCAGTTAACTTTTAACAAATTATTTATTGCTATTAAAACCTTTGGCACGACTGGAAGGTTTTAAAATCACCAATTATCATTAATTAATTAAGGGCAAAAAGAATTGGTAAGAAGTCACTTAGCTCACGCTCTTTATCTCGAGAATACTTAATAAATTGCGGCTTAATTAAGAATTATAGAAAAATGTAGCTCATTTCATTGATACAAAGCGTTGATTTCAAATGTTCTAAAAAAAAACATAGAAATATGATTTCTTAAAATTTTCGCAATAATAAGAAATTCTATTTTTAACAAAAAATACTTCAAAATTATTTAATCATACCAACAGATGTATCCACTTGAACAAAGATACCAAATTGATATAAATGGACATTCACAGGAAGCAACGACAATATTGCATATTGTGTATTACCACTGACGAATTAGGTGAGTCTTTTATAAAAGTGTTTGATTAAATTATTAATTTTTAAGATGGGAACAACATATTAAACTATTTAATATTTGTTTTAAGATTTTGCTGTAATCAAATATGGCTGACCAGTACATGAATGCGGTAGAAGACAGAAGTCTACAAGATGCAACTAATGCGAATAGCGAGACACCGTTGACAGGGACATTGCAAAGGAGAAATCTTAAAATAATTCAAAAACTGCTCAAAAATGAAGGAGATGTGAATGCAGTTGATAAAGATGGCAACACAACATTAATGCTTAAATCGATGACAGGACATCATGAAAATGTTCAAGAACAGATCAAGAATAATGCAGATGTGAATAAAGTTAATAAAGATGGCAACACAGCATTAATGTTGGCATCGAAAAAAGGACATAAAAAAATTATTCAAGAACTGCTGCAGAATAAAGCAGATGTAAATATAGTTAATAAAGATGGCTATACAGCATTAATCTTGGCATCAATTGAAGGACATCATGACATCGTACAAGAACTGATCAAGAATAATGCAGATATAAATGTAGTTGGTAAAAATGGCGACACAGCGATGATGAGGGCATCATTGAATGGACATCATGACATTGTTCAAGAACTAATCAAGAATAATGCAAATGTTAATGTAGTTAATAAATATGGCCACACAACATTAATGTTGGCATCGATGAAAGGACATCATGAAATTGTTCAAGAATTGATCAAGGTTAATGCAAATGTGAATATTGTTGATGAATTTGGCAACACAACATTAATGTTTGCATCGATGAACGGACATCATGAAATTGTTCAAGAACTGATCAAGAATAAAGCAGATGTTAATGTTGTTAATAAAGATGGCGACACAGCATTAATCTGGGCATCAAGGTTTGGACATTATCACATCGTTCAAAAACTGCTAAAGAATGATGCAGATGTGAATATAGTTAATAAAGATGGCAAAACAGCATTGAAATTGGCATCGAACAATGGTAATCATGAAATTGTACAAGAGCTGGCAATACACTTTGATATTGCAAGCTTGGTTAATTGTGCTAATATACCATCTCTGATTGTCAAATCCCTAAAAAAATATGCGAAAATGGTTAAAAGATTGTTAAAATAGTAATCACAGTGCTGTTTCCAAAAATGACAAAATATTGTTTTAATGGATAAGTTATTAACGGTGCCATCTCGAATACACCTTCAAATTGTTAAAAAAAATTGCAAACTACAATGAAGAGGATAAAATACTGAAACACCGCCATACCACGTTAATCAACAGCATAAACCACAATTATCTTGGTGTTTTACAAATATTTGAGGGAAGCATTGCAGAGAAGTTTGTTTTATATATGTAATCAATTCAGATCAGGACAAGTTGCCATCGTCACTTCTATGTTATATACAACTGCAAAACAACTTTTTAAATAAACTAAATAGCGTTTTTCTACTTCCACCTAATTTTCTGCATTATCCGCACATAATAGGATTGCCTTAATTTGGCATTCAACATGTTAAGTTGTCAACAGTTTCCGTTTTTTTTTTACTGATTGAATAATTTTTATATAAAAATATGATAAAGTCAATTTCAATTTTTCAATTTTGATGCCCAGATTAATGCTGTGTCGCCATCTTTATTAACTTTATACACATCTGTATTATTCTTGATCAGTTCTTGAACAATTTCATGATGTCCGTTCATCGATGCAAACATTAATGTTGTGTCGCCATATTTATCAACAACATTCACATTTGCATTATTCTTAATCAGTTCTTGAACAATGTCATGATGTCCATTCAATGATGCCCTCATCATCGCTGTGTCGCCATTTTTACCAACTACATTTATATCTGCATTATTCTTGATCAGTTCTTGTACGATGTCATGATGTCCTTCAATTGATGCCAATATTAATGCTGTATAGCCATCTTTATTAACTATATTTACATCTGCTTTATTCTGCAGCAGTTCTTGAATAATTTTTTATGTCCTTTTTTCGATGCCAACATTAATGCTGTGTCGCCATCTTTATCAACTTTATTCACATCTGCATTATTCTTGATCAGTTCTTGAACAATTTCATGATGTCCTGTCATCGATTTAAGCATTAATCTTGTGTTGCCATCTTTATCAACTGCATTCACATTTACTTCATTTTTGAGCAGTTTTTGAATTGTTTTAAGATTTCTCCTTTGCAATGTTCCTGCCAAGTTTGTCTCGTTATTCGCATTAGTTGTATCTTGTAGAGTCAACGCATTAATAGTTAACACTATTTTCTAATCCCAAAATCCCAAAAATCCTATGCCGACCCAAGTGCGACTACAACCACCTAAAACTTGCAAATTAACACCGCAACATGCCGACGCACAAACTTCAACTATTACGACGGGCCTAACTTACTTACTACTCAAGACGGTAGTACTCAAACCGTAGAAACCGGAAACTTCGTACATTAAATCAAACTTCGAAGGAAATACAGTCACATAGAAACTGGCTACTAACAATACAAGGGTAAATATTGCTATACCTGTACTAACACTGCAAACAAAAACGATTCAAAATTCAAACAAGATGTAAGTAAATTTGGTTGCATACGTATAACTTTAGATTCTCTCATTTATAGTCAACTGCGGAGTGAATCGTTAGTTTCTGCTTCACTTGCGAAATTCATTCAAGCGCGAAAGAAACAATAAATCACTATATTCATACATGCAACGAGATGAATGACAGATGATATGTGAGACACACACGAAGCTTGTGTTGAAAATATGCGCCACCGGAAGAGAACAAAAATGAAACGAGTACGAAAGTCTGATGCAGTCAATAGGAAAATCGAAACTCGACACATGGCACACAACAGATGACGCAAGACGCGCAATGTTAAGGACTCACAACGCGGAACGTAAATATTATCTTTTCTTTTAGCAAACAAACAAATTATTTCCTTCATAAAATATATCAAATTAAACATGCAAAATTGTAACTTTTTTAATGAATTGTCTTTAATCAATATATATTTATTTATTTGTGATGTTTGTTTTTAGCAAAACTAGAAAGAAAAAATGCGGCATAAATCATTCGTTACGCGACCACGTCGAGCGAAAATCCTGCACGCCACGAGTTGGAAATTCGTATTCCGAAATGTTGGAGCACGACGGACGAGCGAGGAGAGAGCAAAGTGGAATGTGGACTAAAAGGCGAGGATTGAAGGGCAAAACATAAGAAAAAGAAGCGCGGGTATTTCCAGGGGTTGCAAAGACTCAACGATTCAAGGTTTCTACTCGCACGTCCACGTCTCTGCCATTTGGTGATTCGGGCGGATTTATTTCGCAAGCAAGAGGAAATTCAGCGAACATTTTCGGCAACGATCCGATGGATTATCCTCACTGAAGGTTTTTTTTCCACTCAGTCAGCAAAAAAATCATTTTTGCATTCAAATATGAAGTCATATCATGTTTTGCACATAGTCAAACAATAAAATGAAAAATTTTAAATTTAAAATTAATTTACAGTAAAAAAAAGATGAGTGAGATTGACATATGAATTCAATAGGCATACTGACAGAAAACGAGTTGGAGAAAGCTTTTGTGCACGCAATTAAACCCGTCGCCCGTTCGATCGTCCATACGTCCGCAGGACAAAGGACAACAAAAGAGGAAATCACCGAAATCGTTATCCCCGCACCCACATCAAAGACGTGAAATCCATCTCGCAATTCACCAAATTTATTGTACGTATATCACTCTATATTTACTTTTTGCCAATTTATTCGATTTATTTTGTTTGGAAATAAATAGTTTTGCAGATTGATACATAACTGAAATGTAAATACGCGCGTGGAAAATAAAGTAGAAAAATCATCGTGACCGCGAAAAGCGAAAAGTCAGCAGCATTCAACGCTGCCGAGGCCCGAGAACAAAATAAACGCGTAGACATCGCACATCACATCTCGCAGCGTTATTTATAGAATCACGCGTGTTCTCTCTGTGTGTACGTGTATAAATATCGCCACATTTCACACACACACTGCGATTACCAACACACAAACGTAGCCGGCAACAAAAAGAAGAGCAAAACACGTGAGGAGAACAACGAACAACGCAAAGCCAAGCAACGCGAACGAAAGCAAAGCGAATCAATGCTGGCCAAACAAATAACGGCTGGTATTGATACTAAATGAGAAGATAATCAATTGTATGAAATCGTTACAGCGAATAAATTTAACTTTGATGAAATTAATATAAAAATGAAATAAATGTGAATAAATTATTGTGGGTTTTTCTTAGTAAAAACAATTTAAACCATCATTTAAACAATTTTTGCTAATTTAACACGGAAATATTCTTATACATGTTTAGAAAATTTGTAGTTAATAAAAAAACTTCTGTCAAAGTTTGTTTTTCTATTTTTTATAATTTCAAATTATTTTTACCGAGAATTTTCTATTAATCCATGCTTAAGATAAACTAAAAAAAATATATTTTCCACTATCTAATCAATAATGTTGAATTATTACTTACTGAAGCATTAATTTCAATTAAAAGTACATTTCGATTCGAATCATATTATATCTGTCACCATCTACGCCTTCCACTTGTTTCTAAATGAACAAAACATTAAAAACAACAAATGTTAATCAAACAGGAAAAAATTTACCCATTGTCACGCTATAATCGTGATGATTTATGACATTCAGTGTATTTTGCGTCACACGGGAAATTGCAACAAATTTATTCGATAAAACATTGCTGACACAGCTAAAATGATGATTACCCACGTGCAACAACAGCGCTTTTCCATAAAAATACCAATATCACACCGAAATATTATTTTCAATCGCTGAGAACTAAGGTTATGGTCACCACTGATGTTTCTATACTTTGAAAATATTATATGCAACCAAATAATCACACAATGTTGCGTCTAAATATACTCAAAATTGTTTCCACGCATTTGACGATATTTTTGCGCAATTTCAACGCATTTCTAAGTAATTCCTCACTCCTTTGTGTACCGTGTAAGTTGTGTTTGCATGCATGATGCATGAATAACAGCGTAAACGTTGGAGAGGTTGAATTGGCACGCGGTGCACACACGCGACGCGCTGCAGTCAGCGCGCGCCGGTCCTAAACATATCATCGCCGCGAGTTTTCCACTTTCCACCGCGGGGGCCGCCGGCCGGCTAGTCGCGGTTTTCGCATTCGCGCGGCCGCACGCCAATACACAAAACCCAAACGCGCAGAGCACCCAAAAATCTGATACGGTTGTGCGACGTGAGAAAACCGATTTTAATAGAGGCGGGGTAATAAGTGGCGCTATTTAGCTATTTAGTTACATAGAACAAAATTTTTGGCAACGTGACTAAAGTGTACGCAGTGCGTGGACGCGTGCCAATTATGTGACATTTTTGTAATAGACGCTGAGAAAAAATTTTACCTACATACACGTAAACACACCTGTTTTTTAAAAATATCATTTTTGGTGTGTAAAAGTCGAAAAATTGCGCGCTTGATGAAAAGTTTCAATGGTGTGTGGGCGTGCATGGCGCAGGCGCCGGGCTAGGAAAGCTCCCGGGGGTGAATCGGCCGCCGCCGCCACCACCGCCGCCCAGTGAGCCAGCGACGAGCAGCGTGAGCTTCCTGCCGGCCGGAATCTCGCTCCGGGTGCGAATCGATACGCACCGCTCACCGAACGGGGCGCTCTCACGTGTGAAAACTAACCGACGAAAAAAATTTCATCCCCCCACATAAATACCACATCATAAAAATCCGCAAGTGTAAATTACGAAAAATAATAATGAAGTGATTTATCTATGTGCATGTGTGCATGTGTGTGTGGAAAAACGTTTAAAATTACAAATAAGTGCGCTACGGATGTGGACGACGTCGTGCGAGTGCAATAATAGGAATAACGCAATTACACGAATGATTATTAGGTAATTAAAAGTTAATTGCGCGCGGCAATGCCATACACCGCATAATGCATTGCTGATTTATACTAATTATTCGCCTTTGAACCGAAAAATTATTGTCGTATATTTATTTATATGTTGAGTAACATGTGACTGCGAGCTAAATTAAGACCGGGTTTATTTAGCTGAGGCGATTTTTGCAAACACCAATGGCGAAAAATGCAATTTATTTAACATTTTGAATGTTTTACAACTTCCAAAAATTTCCTCCAACTACAGTTAACGACATAGATAAAATTCCGCCGTTACGTAATTACGTTCTACGCGCTTTATTATCAATAAACAAACACATGTTGGTGCCTTCGAATATTCCATACAGTATGTTCAACATGTCATATGCAAGAAACTAAATTTATTGCAATTTTTAACAAGAGTATAAACAAATAAATTTATTCTTAAGATTTGTGCCAAAAAAAAATTATTATATAAAAATTTGAGGGTCAAACATCTGACATAATTTCCAAAATGAAAGATGTAGTTACGCAGCAGTCCAAACATATTCAGCTTTCGATGAAATGTACAGACATTAAATGTCCATAAAAAAAACACACGACTCTAAACACACGTTGTGTAGTATACGCGATGATTCTTGTTAGTGTTTGCATTAAAGTAGATTTCAAGATTCAAGGCTTCCACTACGGACTACGACGACATTCATTACTCATCACTCTCACCCGGTCGCGATGTGCGTTTTCCACGTTTTCGCGTTTTCCGCGTTCTCATTAATTCAGCGCGCCGTTGATAATGATGCGCGACGCGTCGCGTCGTCGCTCGTCTTATTAAATATTGTAAATATTTAAAACATTATTATCTCGGGCGCAACCTCGAATAGAACTAACGCCATAATATATAATGCGGTGCGATATGGGGATATGGTAATGGAATAAACAGCGGCGGGAAGCATTAGCGAATTAAGGCGAGGAATCGCGCGCTACCGACGAAATATACCAGCGGAATTATTTACGTGGGACGCGTGTTTACGAGTTTATAACTTGCGATACATCTTGAGGCTAGTTTTCAAATTAGAAATGGCAGCTGGAATGGTTTTTTTTCAGCGTGTGAGGCAAGAAGGTCTAAAATTATCAAGAGTTGCTTTTTGCGTTGTTAATAATTACTGCACAAGTAGGATCAGCAAAGGTAGTCAATTCAGTATTTACTTATATATAATACTAGCTTTTGCCCGTGACTTTGTCCCAGTAGTGTTTAATAAAAATGTAATTTGTTTTTACTCTCTTGTTCAAGACATAGTATATGACAATTCTATCAATAAGATTCGCAATTTTATTTTAAAGAAATTTATTATATAAAGAATTGCTAATAATGCACTTCAGCGCGCCATCTCGGATTCAACTATTTAACTATAACTATGATTGAATCTCAATGCCAACTTTTATCCTATAGAAAAGGGCTGTCTTTCGGGTTTTCCTGGCAATTTTATGAATTTTTCTTGCCGTAAAAACAATCCTTGGACTTTAACATACATTTTGAAAAAAGAATTGGCCAAATTAATTTAGGCGTTGTTGAGTTATGCGCTTACCAACAGATTTTGCGATTCATTTTTGTATTATAGATAGATTCTATTTGAAATAGTATTAATTGTACATCCAACAATTTGTTAAAATTACTTTTTATATCTGTATCTCTAAAAAGTCATTGTTTTTTATTAAATTTTGAAAAATACTTATGAACAATTTAGTAAAGAATGTAATTTTAAACGAATTATTTGTGATGTGCATTTAATTTATACATAATTAATATTAACCCTTTTGTTTGCCAACAATACAGCGACGCTGGACAAAATTAATTGGATTAACTTATTATTGTTTAATTAATTAGGTATTTATAAATTCAACGCGTTCAAAATGATTATTTGACAGTATACATCAAAAGATATTTATAGAAACCAAATTTTTTGAATCAGCAAAAATTACAACATCAAATAATATTGATTAAGTGAAAAACAGCAAAGATACAAAATAAAAAATGTAAATTTGAGGAAGTGCTAATTGAAATTTAGTTCCGCAATTAATTTTGCTTGGTTTTGTTTTGTTAGTGAAATTTTTAAAATATCCAAAAATATATTTAAAATTCAATATTCGGAACTTTGGTAGCCGCGGCCGCATTTTATTAAATTTCCCCGAATTAAATATAGACCCCCAATTTATTAGCGTTTTGCAATGTTGGCAAGCCCGAACGCCGTTAATTTTAGTCTGCGTGCGTTATTTACGTTTTGTCGCTTAATCTTCCATCCCACACGATACGCGCTTTGATTGCAACCCGAAAAACACGAGAATTTCCAAGAAACTCACAAAATATGTATTAATGAAAACCACAAGCCTAACACGCAAAAACAACCAGACAACTCAAAATAAGTTCGAAAATTTAAACTAAAACTTGTTAGAGCAGCAATAAAACTCTATTTTTAGACATTTTGTAATTGGAATCCTTAGAAATTCATCTTGCGTCGCACTTAAATTTAAATTTGTGCCTGAGATAATTTTATTAATATTCACGGGATTTTCTGCTCCAATTCTTTGCGTCCTGAATTCCTGTCTGAGGTCTGAGAGATGAAGTCTGACCGCAAGTGCGGTAAAAGCTCGCCGGGCTTTCAAAAGTGGAGGCGTTCATTAAAATCATTAAATATTAACGAACACTTAAGTGCCGCTGCTCCAACTTTACTCGCATGAAAGAAAAAAAAATTAAAATTTATATAGTTTTAGATCGTAAATATTTACAAATGCCAAAAATTCCGTTGGAGACATTCAAACATGACGCAAAAAGTTTAATTTTAGACAAATTGGATCATATTTACGTATAAATACTATAAAAACTCAGAAATGGTAATAAAAATCATGTTTTTCTATGTTTTCAGGAATGCGCCAGAAGAGATTAATTCCTAACCTCAAAAACCACAATAAAAATGCATTAAAATTTTGATTTCTAACCAAAAAATTCATAAAAATGGCGACGGATCACAAAGATTCCCTCGTGCTGGGCAAAATGCACACGCGGTGCTTCCTCTGGAGCGCATTCAGCGACCCATACCTTGAGAAACTCTACCAGAGCTACAGCATCAAACAGAAGCGCGCCGGCATCGAGTGCTTCCTCATCGCCGCGATCCTCTTCGACATCTACGTGCTGCTCGTGCCGAGCGGGCAGGACGCGTGGGTGTTCGCGGCGATGAGCGCCTTCCTCACCGCCAACTGCTGCCTGCTGGTGTGGTGCAAGAAGGGCGTGCGCAAGTGCGCGATATGGCCGGCGGTGCCGCATGTTGCGTGGCATCTGGCGAACGCACAGCTGCTGGTCAGTTTGTTTCTCAAAAAGAACGAAGTGACTTCGCGAGATAGTTTGGGATGGGCGCTGCTGCTGGATTATTTAATCTACGTGACGCTGCCGTTACGGTTGCGGTACTGTGTTATACTCAGTATTGGTACGTGCGCGATGTATTTGGCGGCCATTATTGGACTGGCGAAGAGTGAGCTGCATGTTTGCCATCAGGTGAGTGAAAGAAACTAACTAGCTGCAAACTAATATTTATATCTACTAATTTTTGATTTTTTGTTGTTATTTTATACTAATCGCCGTAGATGTGTAGATTCCAACAATAAAATTCGCAATTTTATTTTTAAAAAAATTAAAAATGCAAATAATGCACTTTAGCGCCATCTCTGGTTTAATTATGTAACTTAAACAATGATTGAATCACTATACCAATTTTCATCTCTTATTTAACGCCCTTCAAATCATAATTTTTAATATTTTAATAATTATTCTTCTATTCGTGGTGTAGACGAATCTATCAAATGATAGATCATTAAAATCTGTCCATAGGTTCATGAGTTATAAACGATTTAACTAACATAACTTTGTTTTATATATGTAGCGCCACCTACACGCTACTAGCACTTACTAAAACTACCAACCTAACTATTTGCTCAGCTATTGATTTAACGATTCAAAACATTTCTTATGATTTTTTCAACATTTCCGTAAATTACGCAACTAAACCGTGAAAACGCGAGAGTTTGATGTGATGTCGTGAGGCGTATTAATAATGTCAGTCACGAACAGAAGCGTACGGCACGAGAGAATGTCATCGGTCGTCGGCGTACGCGAACTTTTGCGGCAAAATAATTTGTCGCGTTTGACGTTTTAGTTTGGCTGCCTGCGTTCGCATTCAGTCGCAGCGTGCGCCCGTAATAAATTTCCATTTCGTGCACTTTTACGAGTGTTTGATGCAGTCGTGTTGTTCGACGGCCGCCGGGCGTACTAGACGCAGAAGCGGCGCTCGCTCCTTGCGCCAGTTTCACCCTCCATTACGATACGTGCACACATATTGCGCTGAGCGCTGAAGCCGAATAAAGCGTGCGAGGTTTTTAGTGCTTTTCATGTTGCGACAAACGAAAATTGATGTGCATACATATTCAACGGGGAAAATTGAACTTGATCGTGCGATATGTTACATTTTATACTTTGGTATAAAAGTTTGTAGGTTTAGTTACTTTTTAATGAAATTTTGTATGAATTTTACTCAGTATCATAGATTTAAATTAATATCTATAAATTTTACATCTGAAAGTCAATAAAGCACCACTTTTTGCAAGGTTTCAAGACACGAAAAGTAGCAAACGGCCAAAGCCGTGATTAATGTACATTAGTAACGGGCTTTACAAAAATTCAAATATAAAAACCTAAACGTCGAAATAGAATGAAGAAAGAAAAATAACGTGAACAACACGACGGTGAATGTTGTTACACGTGGTTAAAGTGCCGCGTAGCGCACTTAATACGTAATATAATATTTTTGTATTTATATAGATGAATTTATGTTTGTATACGCAAAAAATTACCGAAATTAATTTCTATTTTTAAACAATCTAAAAAAAATTTTTAAAGTTATTACAATTAACTAGTTTTTGCCCGTGACTTCTTGTTTAATAAAAATGTAATTTGTTTTTACTCTCTTGTTCTAGACATAGTATGTGTCAATTCTATCAATAAGATGCGCAATTTTATTTTAAAAAAATTAATTATATAAAGAATTGCTAATAATGCACTTCAGCGCGCCAACTTTTATCCTAAAAAGAAAGAGCTGTTTTTAGGGTTTTCCCGGCAATTATTCAAATTTTTCTCGCCGTAAAAACCATCCATGGACTTTAACGAACATTTAAAAAAAAGAATTGGCCATATTGGTCTATGCGCTGTTGAGTTAAGCGCTTACCAACAGATTTTGCGATTCATTTTTATATTATAGATTTAGTAAATGTAAATAGAATTCTTGAAAAATTCGTTATAATAAAAAAAAGTAATTTCAAACAAAATAACACAACTTTAAATAAGAAAAAATAATAATTTAATATTCTAAAATCTCCACATTTTAAATTTGACTTGTTATTGTTTCTATTTAACAATAGTATCAAATATTTCTGAGCCTGTACAGCATGGCGTAATCGATAGCCTGACGGCGCACTCGCCGGGCTATGAAAACGAGTCCATTAGACTCGTTAATCTTTAATAGATTAAACGATTAGCGTCCGCCGGCGACGTCGCGCGATTGAATCACTCCCGATCCACGGCCGCCGGAATTCATCCGACGAATGCACGCCGCCGCCGCCACCAGCCGCACGAACCTCCACGTCGAGTGTACAATGTCTAAATTTAGTGCCACGCTCTATTGATCAACGGCGGCCGCCGCCGGCGAGTACATTTACACCTTTTGTTACGCCACCGGTGGTGCTCTCGCCATACTCTAACAATACTTTTAACCCCGAGCAAAAATTTTACATTAAATTTTATTCACATAGCAATTCGCATCGCTATTGATGTGAAATTAATTAATTATCAGTACCATGATTACGCTTGCCATTGTCGATAAATAAGTTATGAGCGCGTTCGCAATGCCACGTTTAATTAATTAATTTGCGCAGATTCTGGGAAATTGAATTTGAACGACTAGTTCAGTTCTATAAACTCTAACATCACTTGCACTCTGCGAACGGGTCGTAATTTAAACCTGTTATAATAATTGAATGTTAATTTGCATATAGACGCAAACTTTGCAACTTCTCTCGGAATATAATTCGACGATGAGTATTTAACAACAATTTAGAATTCAAACTATGAATTATTAAGCAAATTAATGAATTTGATTTAACTAAAAATATAGTCTAAAAATAATCTGTATACAAATTAAACTTTTTTTTCTACTACGTTTTTTAAACACAAAAAATGGTACTTTAAACACGGCCAATGTCGTGACTAAAGTACTTTAGTCATGGGGTGGAACATATAATGCACTTTAACGCCATCTCGGATTCAATTATTTAACTATAACTATGTTTAAATCTAATACCAATTGTCATCCCTTATTTAACACCCTTTAAATCATATTTTTTTTATATTTTAATAGTTATTCTGCTATTCGGAATAAAGAGAAATCTAATAATTCATAGATCATCAAAATCTACCACACAGTTCTTGAGTTATAAATGCTGTAACTAACACGACTTTGTTTTTATGGCTTAAGCCTAATTTTTACCTAACTTTTGAACTTTTTTTCAAATTAATATTTTTCTATTAAATCTACGTAGGCTTTTCTCAAGCAAAAAAAATCTCATCAATTATAAAATTTGTTAAACAAATCGACTACTTATATTAATAAATATACCCGATGCATAAGATGATCCAATTTATCCAGTTCACTACAATTTGCACTGATATACCGTGTGCCTGGGTGAAATGAAAAGCATTCCAGCAATTGAGATCCCAGCATTCCAACGCAAGTACATCCGCTTTCACCTTTCAGTTTTCTTTATGCGTGCCTTTATTATTTGTATTTTTTTTAAACATTCCGCACGCTAGGCATAGAGTCAGGCACAGTTACGTGTATCTACATTGTTAAGCAAAAATCTATATCAGGTGGGACGCCGCACCGCAATCGTATGCGAAACGTGGAAAATAGGAGACTGAAGAGAATCACAATGTTTGCATTTTCCAAGAGCAGGAAATGCAGGATACGTGTTCCGTTCGCTGAATATTCCACACATTCTGCGCTACTATTCACGAAATTCCTTTCATGCAAGTGTAACTCTCACGAGAAATTCGCATAAATTTCTGATAAAATTTGTTTGAAGTGAATTTTCTATTCTTTGTACACTTAATCATTAAATAATAATTTAAAACGTAAAAAGAAACGTAAAATTAAGATGGCGCCATTAGATAATAAAAATAGCCGCTGGTATAATTACTCACTTAGTTCGCGTTGTTGGATATGCTCGCAAGCTTCTTATTACTTTTATTGCTTGTAATTTATCACAATAAAACGTTTATGTTCTGCTTTTCGTTGAGAATTTTCATTAAAACCAAATTTTATTCGCGGGCAAAATACGAAAACTAAAATAAAAGCACTTTATGATTATATTCATATTTCAAGCACGACCGACGTAAGTACGCAATGAACGTTCGTATTTCCCAAAGGATAATATTGGAGAGTAAATATGCAGAGGATAAATAACAAAAATAAAAGTTGGCGTACCATTAAGAAACGAGAATTTTCAGTTACGAATAAGTTCACAATCCGACATTGATCGCAAGAATAAAAATTCTATAAAAATGTTTATACAATCTGACAACAATTCGGTGGAAATACAAAAAACCGAAACTTTTAATAGCATAAACAACAAACTGGAAATTGGTGGAAGTCGATGAAGTGCTTCAATATAAGCTTGGTAAAATAATTGAAGAAGCTACAAAAATGTTGTACAAATTAATTAATCGTAAAAAATCGTAAGAGTTAAGTAAAGATTGTTTGAATGAAAGACTAACAATTTGCAAAAAAATCAATATGCGCATTAGGATGACGATTGTTCTTAGATAAAGAGTTCAAGAATATTCGTTTTCCACTTCTACCTTTAAAACACAACGTTTTTCACGGTTTCGATATATGAAAAGTGGCACTTTAATCACGGACGTGACTAAAGTCGTGACTAAAGTACTTTACTCACATTTGCACGTTTTTTCTTTCAGTATTATTTTAATTTCCAAGAAAAGAACAAATTTTATAAAAATATAACCTCTAGAGAAAAAATACTACAAATTTAAATATAGAAATGGAGTTCCCTAACCACTATGATAAAATACACGTATTTTGTAAATCTGGGTTGAATTTATTCCACGTAAATCTAAGCCGTAGCCTAAACGATAAAATGATGAAGCACGAAGCGAAACTAAAATGCAAAATGCAAAATATGTAAAGATAGCCGCAGAATAATTGCGAATGCAAGTGTGGCAGTAAGTGAAAGGAACAGGACGAAATAAGCAAGGATAAAATCGCAATTACCTGCGCGCTGGCGGCGCGACGAGGAAATCGAGAAAATGGAAAATCGCGTTTTACGCCAGTCGCATGCAAATGCTGAAAATTTTTATTCGCCTGGAATATTCCATTAAATAATGTGTACATTGTGAAAATGATAATTGCGCACGGATCGTTGCAAAGAGAATAAATTTCGCTGAAATAAGAATCGTCATCGTCTGAGGTTAGATAAAAGTGCAATAATCGTAATTTTCGAGCTTTGTTCGACATAAAAGCAAATGAAAAAAAAAACGAAAAGAAAGAAAAACAAAACCATTATCGCCGATTACAGCTTTCCCTGGGTTTGATATAATGTACCATCTAATGTGTTTTCATTTTGACACAAAGACTACAAATTTTCATCGGAAAACAAAACAAACATTTTGGGTATTTTGACTTTGAACAATGGCAAGCACCAAATCAAGATGAAAATCGCCTGCCTGACAAGGTCAACCACAAGAGGGTTGGGCCATGACTGATGAACCACTACTGCCTAATGAATAGAAGCGTCGCTTCCAAGATTTACGACCCGATTCGTAATAAACCAAGAAAAGCAAATAAACCACAAAAGATTTTATGATAACGGAAGACTATAAGTATTCAACCGAAAGGATAATGATATTATAATAAAACTATGAATAATCCTTGGTGGGAGATATCTAGTTATGTCAGTAACCTCAACGAAAATAAAATCCAAGAGAGTGTACAGTGTAGAGGCACTCACGAAGAAGTCAAGGAAGTCACACCAAGGGCCGGAGGAGGGTTTGTCGGCACAGGAAGGGCCGCCAGGTTAAAATCAATAAAGCATGGCACGACCTCTTGACCTTAGACACGCGCTTCCACGTGCGTCGAGAGTAAAACACTCCAAAGGACGACTGAAAGCGAGACAAATTCAGGTGGAAATCTAATTGTAATTTCTACATCTTGGAGAGCAAATAGAACTATTGTCAACTAAGTGTGAAAAGTAAATTTTCATATCTACTAATCCAGAAATTAAAAAAAATTATCAGTAGATTTTGAATAATAACTTTTGTAGAGTTATTATTCCATAACTAGCTTTTGCCCGTAACTTCGTGCCAGTAGTGCTTAATAAAAAAGTAATTTGTTTTTACTTTCTTGTTCTAGACATAGTATGTGTGAATTCTATCAATAAGATTCGCAATTTTATTTTAAACAAATTAATTATATAAAGAATTGCTAATAACTTTTATCCTATAGAAAAGGGCTGTCTTTAGGGTTTTTCCGGCAACTATTCAAATTTTTCCCTTCGTAAAAACCATCCTAGGACTTTAACGAACATTTTAAAAAAAGAATTGGCCAAATTGGTCTAGGCGTTGTTATACACATGTCAACAATTCATTTGCATTAGTCACGGCATTCTAGTACTTTAGTCACGGCCTTATACCTTTACGTCCGTAATTAATGTAGTAAAAATAAATTCTTGAAGAAAAATTTTATTAAAAAAAAAATATTAGATTTTTTTGAAGCCAATTCAACAAAAATAGAAACTAGCATGAAAAAGATTTCCTAGTTTGGCGTGGTTGTTGAAATTGCAAGGAAATTTCCCACAATCCTCTAGCGACACTCACCAAGCAGACACTACGAGCGTCAGTCAACAGCCAGAGAACCAACACAGTAAACATTGAAAAGCGCCGCCCGGCTCGCACTGCGGCGAAAAGCCACAATGGGCAATTCACCTACCTACCCTCGGGAGGAACACCAGGACGTTCTTTGAGGCAGACCAACACGTCGCGTGCGCCACTCGAACAAACACTCCAACAATATATAGTCAAATCATCACATTTTCACATCTGCAAGTTGTCAGTGAGCACAACAGGCCAAAATACAACTCAACAAAACTCCAAGCAAAAAAATTAATTAAATCAAATGAAATTCCAGTGCAAACACATAAAAAATAAATTAAATGGTGAAAAATGTACAAAATAAGCGAAAAAGCAGAAAAGCAGAAAGAGAAACTCATTTTATTCGTGTTCACGTTTTTTTTGTTTGTTGTGTGTCGACGAGTTCTATTAACATGTCACACACATACTTGCATCATATGTTCCCTTCAACATTCCAGCAAAAAAAAATCTAACACAAGTTCCATTCAAGAAAAATATTTCTTTTATATTTTCTTATTTCCACAAATTTCGGTGATGACATTCCATAAAAATGTTACGCTTGTATTTTTATTAACTTTGATTAATGTGCACAAAATGGCGATATGCTTTTATTTTGAGGTTAGTTAATGCGACATTCACTTGACGTCGTAAAAAGCGCTCTAAAATGCTTGCTGCGCTAAAATTAAATGTGAAAATCGTTGGAGCATTGTCGCTGCGCTTCCAGCGAGGCAGAAAACCGCGCACAACACGCATCTAACACGATATCCGGTCGCTCTCCTAATCTTATACCGACTTTCGCGTAATGACATTACGAGTTTCCTTCGAGAGCGACCTCGAAAGACATTTCCAAGGATACGTCGGGCGCGGTTGACTTGAATTCAACGTTTAGTATGCGCGACACGCTAACAAACTTGCTGCAAAAGTTTACAATTTGAAATTTTATCTCACCTCGAGTTTCCTGCGAAATGTTGCAGCGCAAAGTGAAAGAAGAAGATAAAAAAGTTCAGGACAAAGCAGAGAAGAAAAAAAAAACGTTTTGCTATTAGAATTCGTTAGTCTCCTTGACTTTCCTGTAGTTTCATTCGCGAAAGTTTTTTTCATAAGCTGCTTTGGACTTGAAAGTCGAGCACTAGTTGAAACACGTTTTTCTCTTCAATGGAAAATCATTCTTCTTCATTTTATAAAGTGGAAAGTTTCGGTATAAAACCCTCGATATTTTTTATGTTTTCTTGATAAAATAATAATAATAAAAATAATAAAACAAGGAAATGCTTCTTACGAATTTTACGATTCGAGTTTGTATCTTAAATATTAATAAATGTTATTTTTTTTGCAGCACATGGCAAATATCCTTCTACTTTTGACAGCGAATGTCCTTGGCTTAACCGCGTACTTTGTCGAAGAAAAACAACAACGACGTGCGTTCCTCGAAACAAGACAATCGTTGGAAGTGAAACTCGTCATCGAAGAACAAAGCGCCGAGCAGGTAAGAAACAAACAAATTTCGCTATTTATCTCGTTTTCTTTTTATCATAAACAAAAATGGAATAAAATTAATGAGCTCCAACAGATGCACAAAAAAACGTAGTCACAATTGTCTTTTCTTTTTCTTTTTCTCTTCGTTTTACGCTTTCATCAATTCTGGATTCGAGTCAAAGTCAAAGAATACGTCTTACTAAGGAGTAATGAAGCGGAATATTTCGTTTTGTGGAAATCTTTAACAAAAAGCTCACAAAAACAATGGCGATGATTTGCAGATCCTGGCGAATTCACAGAACATAACAAAAGAAACCAAATTGGACGCAATACAAATAGATTTTCATTTTTTTGTAGGGAGTTTTGTGGAGAATAATGCGCTGCATAGTGCCACGATGCGACTAATTGCAGCAATCACAATTAAGAATCTTAGACAGTTTAATGAAGACAGAGTTTCAGCGCCAACTTCAGATGAAATCATGTTAATTGCTTATTATGAAGGAATAAATCACAGAATTCGACATTTTACTGTATAAATATACAAAATAAAATCGGGTTAGTTAAAACGTTTATAACTCAAGAACGGCGGCATTGATTTTGATGATTTATGATTTTTTGGATACATTTCCGCCTTGAATAGCAGAATAATTAATAAAACATAAAAAAATATAATTTACAGGGTGTTAAATAAGGGATAAAAATTAGTATAGAGATTCATTCATATTTATAGCTAAATAATTGAATCCGAGATGGCGCTAGATGTGATTTTTAGCAATTCACATTTCTTTAGAAGAAAATTAAATATCTTATTAATAGAAATCAGTAAAAAATCAGTATTTCACAAATGATATTCCAATAGATGGCGCTACATCAAATAACTCCCTATTGGTGTTTTTCCCAATTAAAATGTGTTTGCGCGTACTTGTAATAAATCAATTAGTTTGCATTTGCACTGAATGTAAGCGTAAATAAATTCCGATAAATTTATCGCAATTTGCGTAAAATTCGCAGCGTACGGATGTGGACGCGGATGCGCCATCGCGTCCCTTGGGAAATTTGCTCGACATTAACTCGCGGGCAGGTGGTGAGCTGGTATTTGCACGAAAGTCGAGTAGGTACGCAGTAAGCAATGAGTATTTATTGCTTGTTAGCGCGAATGGCGTTTTCGCAACACCAAAAAAAAAAACGAAAAAATAAACAAGTCGCGCCCTGCCTCTATGACGAGCCCAATGATAAACCCGCTCGGCGTGTCTGAGTCTCTGTGTGTGTGTGTGTGAACTTTAATTGAGCTCACACGATTCGATCGATTTGTTGTCTGTTTTTCTTTTCGCTTTGCGTCGCGTTTCATTTTCCGCGTTTGCTTGTTTTCCATTTGCATATGTTGAATGCGTTGATTGTATATGATGACATAAATTGTTTCAGGAGCGACTGCTGTTATCAGTGCTTCCGGAGCATGTCGCCGTGCAAATGCGACAGGATCTGGATAGCGCCGACAGCCAGTTTAAGAAGATCTACATGAGTCGACATGAGAATGTCAGGTAATAACAATGCAAACAACAAAATTTACAAAAATATAAATTAAAATTAATTAGGCAACTTATATTGCATCCCAACAGCGGCACCTGGTAAATAATAGTTTGTAATCTTCTGGAATTTACCTAGCTTTATGATTGTCACATTGGTAATGTAGTGTTTGCAATTTCCGTGAGTTTTCGTTTACCGCTCCGGGGCAGCACTATCGATTTATGTTTGGTTGATGTTTCCTGATGCGTTGACGCGCGCGCGCCTTGATTGAACGAATTAACGCGTGTCAGGGGGCGCAGAGATGTACAATTTCGCGCAAATGTACAAATCAACAATGTACACATATACATCACAGATCAATATGAGGCAAAGTGTAAATGTGAGATCGCCAGATGAAATGAGAAATCGCAGCGATAAATCATTTAGGCTAATGTTCTGTCACAAATACCACATACGTATACCATAAATCTAAAAATTAATTTTTAAATATTCAAAGCGTATAATATACTGTGACGTTGTCAATGTGAAATTTTGTTTCGTTTTCCTATCATTTCTTGTTTGTTTCAGTATACTTTACGCCGACATCGTCGGCTTTACGGCCATCTCGTCGACGTATTCGGCCCAGGAGCTTGTCAAGATGCTCAACGAGCTTTTCGCGCGCTTCGACAAGCTTTCAGACGTAAGTAAAATGCGAAACGTCATGACAACAAAAAATTACTTACATTGAAATGTAATCATTTATTCACGGCCACGCTGTGAAATATTTAAACTTCCATTCTGTTTATTATTTCCAGCAAAAGCCGAAAATCCTCTCAGATATAAATATACCTAGAAGAGATTAATTAATTTACGCATGACACGGCCTTGCTTCGAGAGGCTTTGTTTGATGTTTCACGCATAATTTAATTTAGCGCTGGAAAATTGCCACCGTCAAATATTCAAATTGGTATTAAATTGAATTAAATTTTATATGAAAATATTTATTATCTGCAACGGGTTGATATTTTATTCATTGATTAATTTATATTTTTTAAATAATTTGCAAATTGAGTGTTTTTTTTTTAATTTTTTTACAGAAATATCATCAACTAAGAATAAAAATCCTAGGGGATTGTTACTACTGCATTAGTGGCGCACCTCAAGAACGTCCTGACCATGCAGTTCTCTCCGTGCACATGGGATTATCCATGGTTAAAGCAATTAAGTAAGTAATGCATATTATTTGTTTAATGACAAGCCCAGTGATGAAGATATGAAATTTTAAAAATAAAATATAAATTACAAAGCAAAAAGTTGCCAATTTATTTCTTTAGTAAAAATTTCAAAAAAATTAATTAAGATTTTATATCAAAACGTTGACAAAATTATAGAAATTTGATTATAAAATACTATTTTATTAAAAAATGCGAAATTAGTGCAAATAAGTTTTTTCTAAAAAACTAAAAAAAATAAGCAGAAAACGTGATTTTTGCTAAATTACACTGGAAACGATAAATCTGTAAACAAAAACCTCAAAAATAGAACATTAATATTCTGCACCACAAAACTAATAAAAAAAAAATCATTAAAAAATATGTAATGAATCGTAGAATCGCTAATATCAATCATTGTCCGATTAACATTGTGTTGAATTTTGTTTTTCATCAACTGAATAAATCGCCCCTGCATAAAAACCCTATCAGAAAATTGAATGCATTGAAATTTATTTGAATGAGTTGAGTTCGATTCATTTTACATTCCGCAGCGAAACCCCGATAAATATATTTCGCAAAATTTTCAATACTGAATATTCCGCTTAGAATTTTATTTCGCGCGCTGTCTGAATTTGCGAGTGGCGGAAAAGCGGCGTAAAAAATATGGTAATTCACGCGGCGATATTCATGACAAGATATCCGCCAACGATTCGATTATTATTATGTCCGCCGAATGCCTGCGTTGAACGCAAAGGCAAAAAAAAAAAGATAGTCAACGAGCAAAAAAATGTATTTTAAATCCATGGTGAAGCGCTCGCGGCGTTCGCTGAACGAGTTTCAAACGAGCACAACGTACGTAAACAGATTTTCGATTTTATTTTTACGTGAGTGTGAATAAATGAAACTTTATCAAAAATTATATACACGATACTTGGAGCGTGTGAAGCAGAAATGTGTACAATATTTCATCAAGTAGAAAATTATATGCTAATAAATATAGTGCAGCGCATAGGTTTTGTTTTATTTATTGTATCACGGCGCAAGGGCCGTGGGTGCCAACTGCCAACCTCCCTTCACGTGGTGCGCCCTGATTTCGACAAACGAGGCTCTGGCGACCGAATATGAGGCGGTATAACCTCACTTTCACCACGTCAAGTGCGGGACATCAACAACATCGTCAAACATCCAGGTACACTGAGGCGGGTTTGGACGCTCCAGCTGGCAGCCCCAGCACCAAACTCGGGTGCAGAAGGCTAATAACCTACTCACCCTAAATCAAACCTATTACTGAAACTTCAACTAAGCAAACCCGGACGGATAATACGAGGACGACCCTGGCTAATACTAAACACAAGATACGTTTCGGCTGCTGGAACGTGCAAACGTTATACGAGAGCTCCAAATTGCAGCAGGTAACTAAGGAATTTCTCAAATATAATCTACATATTTTAGGTATATCAGAAGTACGTTGGTTGGGGAAAGGAGAACATCCCACACAAGGTGGAGAACGACTACTTTTTAGTGGTAATGAATCTGGAAAACACGAAAGCGGTGTAGGATTTCTACTCAGTAAACATGCTAAAAAGAGTCTAATCTCATGGACACCAATAAACGAAAGAGTAATAACAGCAAGATTCTACACCAGGTTCAGAAAAGTAACTTTTATCCAATGTTACGCCCCAACCAATAACGCTTCTAAAGAGGATAAAGATGAATTCTATGACATCCTCGAGAAAACTATAAAAGACGTAAACAGCGGTGACATAAAAATTCTCATGGGCGACCTTAATGCGAAAGTAGGCGCTCAAAACGAGAATTTGGAAGAAATTATGGGAAAAAAACGGCGTTGGGCAGATTAACGAAAACGGCACATACTTCACACAGTTCTGCTCCAACGCGAACCTGGTAATAGGGGGTACGCTGTTCCCCCACAAACAGATTCACAAGACAACGTGGGTCTCGCCAGACAAAAAAAACCCACAACCAAATCGATCATATCACAATCTCTAGGAAATGGAGATCGTCATTACTCGATGTGAGGAACAAGAGAGGTGCTGATGTAGCCAGTGACCACCACCTAATAGTTGGCACATTGAGAATAAAACTAGCAGTACCCAAGCAACCAGCCGATATGAAACGAATAAAACTAAATATAGAGAAGCTACGCATTCCACAAATAGCAAAATCCTTCAAGGAAAAAATGCAAGAGACAATAAACCAAAAATCAGCACAAAATGGGAAAATATGGCCGACAACATCATTGAAGTCGCCAAAACAACAATTGGAGTGAAAAGCAGGCAAAGGAAAGAATGGATCAGCGAAAACACGTGGTTGCTGATAGAAGACCGAAAGAGGAAAAAACACCTGCTACTCCAAAATCTTTCGCAAGAATATAGGGCAGCGGCACAGGTAGAGTACACAGGCCTTTGCCAAAAGGTCAAAAGGGAAGCCAGAAGAGACAAACGCAGGTGGATAGATGATATTTGCAGACAAGCAGAAGAAGCAATGCTCAACAACAACTCGAGAGAACTTTACAACCTCACAAAGAAACTGGCCAATAAGTACTCTACACGCACACACTTCATTAAGTCAAAAAACGGCCGCCTGTTAGTTGAGTCAGACAAGCAGCTCGAAAGATGGAGGGAACATTTCTCCGACATGCTCAGCGCAAACGAAACAATTAACTGGGAGCCAGAGAATAACCCAGGTAGACAACTGAACATTGACTCGAACCCGCCTTCAGTCGCGGAGATAACTGCAGCTATAAAGACGCTTAAGAACAACAAAGCAGCAGGAGCTGATAACGTTCCAGCGGAACTACTAAAAGTAAACGCCACATGGATGGCAAATGAACTATACCACTGTATTAAGGAAGCATGGAACAACAACAAGATTCCGACCAAGTGGAAAGAAGGGCTAATCATCAAGCTTCCCAAAAAAGGTAACTTGACCGAGTGTAACAACTGGCGTGGCATAACGCTATTAAACACAATTAATAAGATTATCGCGAAAATCGTCCAAACAAGATTAGCGGAAACTATAGAAAACACCCTGCGCCCGAACCAAGCAGGTTTTCGGCCGAATCGCTCATGCATCGATCATATCAATACCCTTCGTATAATTATCGAGCAATCAGTAGAATGGCGATCACCACTATTCATCGCCTTCATCGACTTTGAGAAAGCATTCGACAGCCTGAACCACGACGCTTTATGGAGGATCCTTAAGTCGCGAGGTGTACCAACAAAGATAATAAGCATCCTGCAAGAACTCTACACTGATGCAAACTGCAGTGTGTTACACAACGGTGAAAAAAGCGAAAGTTTTACGATACACAGAGGAGTAAAACAAGGATGTGTCATATCCCCATTACTATTTAACATCGCCTTAGACTACATACTAGCAAAGGTAGACCAGAACAGGGATGGGTTGCGCTGGACACTAACCTCGCACCTCAGCGACCTGGATTACGCCGACGACATCTGCCTGATGTCACATACGTTCGAAGGCGTGAGCCGACAGCTAACAACATTAGCAAGGGAGGCAAGTAAAATTGGCCTAAGAATAAATATTGCCAAAACAAAAGAAATGCGTATAAATACAAACAACACCTTAAAACTCCAAATAGATAATACGGAAATAGAAGAGGTCAAGGAATTCCTATATCTAGGAAGTATAATTGACATAAAAGGGGGGACCGACGCAGATATAAACAACAGAATAAAGAAAGCCCAGCAATCCTTCAGAATGCTGAGCACAGTATGGAAGTCAAGCGTCTATACACTAAGAACAAAACTGCGCATATTCCGCACAAATGTAAAATCCACCCTTTTATATGGATGCGAAACATGGAGGTCAACGAGCTCAAGCACACACAAACTCCAAACCTTCATAAACAAGTGCTTGAGAATGATCTTGCGCATATTCTGGCCAATGACAATCTCCAACGATGAGTTGCACCGTCGATGTGATGAAACTCCCATTATAAATCAAATACGCAAGAGAAAATGGGGGTGGATTGGGCACATCTTGAGAAGAGACGCCGGAGATATCGCCAGAAATGCGCTAGAATGGAACCCACAGGGGAAGAGAAGGGTTGGTAGACCGGCCAATACCTGGCGAAGATCCACAATAGAGGAGCTCCGAAACCAAAATATGGGCTGGAACGAAGCAAAGGCGGTTGCCCGAAACAGAGTCCGTTGGAGGGCGCTTAGTGAGGCTCTATGCTCCACATAGGAGCCAAGAACATTATATATATATATATATTGTATCTCAGGCAAATTTTATGGAAATGAAGATTCATGCATAAAACAAAGAACTTCAGGAATATTTTGGAATTTTCTATCATTCACAACAAATATCTTCACTTCTAACCAATTTTTAACCATAAATATAATAGTGTATTAAGAAAGAAGTTGCTAAACAAAGGTAGGGAAGGTAGCCTAAATTGGACCAGCGCCTAAGTTGGACCACCACGATATCCGCGAACTGTTGAAGTTTTTGCAAAAATAGACAGGCCCCTTGCTTCACTCGTATTTATAAACAATTGATGCAACTATTGCAATTAAAACTTGCCGCGTACTTTGGTCGTGACAACAACTTTGTGTATTCTTGATTATCAAATCTATTATAACGACGTAAGTGCATAAGCTGTCAAGCTGTTTAAACGTTAGTTTCACAATTATTATTATATCATCAGAAAGCTTATTTATTTATCTATAATTTATAGAATTAATTTGGAGAGGTTTTGTTATATTAAGATTGTTGTTGATCATTATATATAAATTCTTCAAGTTGCCCAAGTTGGACCGAAGACAGGCACCGGGGTTTTAACAGGAAAACGTATATCATTTTTCGACCTCCTAGAAAAGCTTGTGGACGAGCACAAATCTTCGAAATGATCCAGTGTATGAAATGCCGCACTTTGGTTTAAAACAAAATGTGCTTGTGTTAGTGCTAAAACTAAAATTTACTATTGTGTCAATTGCCGTTAAAAAGCATGGTCCAATTTAGGAAACCGCGCGGTCCAATTTAGGAAACCGGTTTCTTAATTTGGACCAAAATCACAATTTTTTTAAATTGAAATTTCAGGGGTATAAATATAATTTTTATTTAAATCAAAAATATCATTTTGTAGGTAAGCCTTGTGAGTTACTTTTCCGCTACTTAATTTTTATTGAGAGTTTATATGTGGCTCTATAAATCAAAAATATAAAATGGTCCAAATATGGCTACTTTCCCCTATTACACACGAGATTGATTGAGAGCGAGCCTAGCGAGTGTTTAACAACGTTTAGCCACGTGATGCTTACGCTATTTTTTCTACTTCCACTTTTGTTCCACGTTGAGGTTTGTGTATTTCAACTTTTTATTTTAAACCATCGAAATTTGCTCGCACACTTATACAAACTGTAAGGTTATAAGTGCCATGCCGCGCGCCGGCCCATGTGACGCTTCGGTTCATATCGTGTCCCTCCGATACGAGCAGCAGCAGCGCCTGCTTTGACGTGTTTGACTGACGTCGCATGGCATTTCATACCGCCTTGTGCTACTCGGTAGGCAAATGCGCAAGCGCAAACTCCGTCCCGTGCATAATGCGAGTACATAATGAATATTATGTACGGTTTGACCGTCCATATATAAAATACCACTTTTTGTGTCTAAAAACCGTGAAAAACTGAATGAAAAAAAAAAATTTCTTTCTACAAAATAATTTTTAACAAATTTGACAAATTTTTCCCACTCCAAGCGAAACTGAGTGACATTCACAAACACAATTTTAATTAATAACTTTAAAATTAATCACCATTATAATCATTAAAACAATAGCCCCATTAATATGTCAATCTCAATCATAATAGCATTAGTCTGGTCCTATCCAGACTATCACAACGTCAATATCATTTAGAATGATTGAACTAATGCAATTCGGCCTGCAGGGCGACGCTGACCTTATTAAAATTAAATTCGTATTTAAATTGTTCTGAAATTGTAGCTAACGTGATATGTAATCCTGTTAAGTGGATATCGTCAGCCAGCAATCCAATTCAACTGAAACTTCCACCATCGAGGTTAATATCATCCTAAAATCAGAATGATATCAGATTTAATGTCGCTAGCATAATATTCGCCAGAAATGGGCCTTAGGGTAGGTCATAACAGCGTCTAGTGGTATTAAATCGACCATAAGTTATTGTTCTTTAGGCTATGAAATTATGGACTGCGCTCTTGATATGGAATTTTGAATTAGATGTGGATCATTGATTCGTTGTATTTGGTTGTGAAAACGGGTGAAATCATATAATACAAATCATAAAATAAAATATACGAGTAACGTCATAAAACATATTTTTAAATGTGTAAAATTATAGAAATTAATTAATTACTCAAAAACTAATCAAGATATTTTGATATTTTTTTCAAAATTATATTCCCTAATAAATAGTGGATTTATTTATAGAAATATTTTACTGATAACAATTTGCTATCAAAAGATACAGGGCAATTTAGGTAATTTTTACTTTTTTTTGCAATTTTAAAGTTTATTAATTTATAACTATTAAATAAAATCATATATTAATCATACGATTATACCATCCCCTGCTGAATATTATTTTAAATTGATTTCTGAAAGAATTGTTATTCTAGAGACAATAGTTTTTGTATAACAAATAAAAAACAAAACTAAATAAAACACAGCTTAAACATATTTTGTCAATGAATGCCATCTATGAACGTAAAATGCAAAAATGTTCCTCTAAACATCTCAAAAACTTTTGAAGCTATAAGAAAAACAAAAGGCCAAACAACACTAAAAGAATTAGTTAACATAGAAAAACCCGTTGGTGGTAATAAACAACGTCGTTTGTTGATCGTTATCTACGACGTAATGTCTTTTAATACTACTCCAACCAACACCATCAACATCAACATCACCATCACAATCACAATCACAATTACCATTAAAGCTGGCAAGCTGGCCAGGCGCACAACAACCTTGAACTTGACCGAGTGAAAACTTTTCAACGTGCAACAATAAACAGTCTTAAAGCGCTTTTATTTCTTCGAGGTTATACATATATATATTCCTTGCTGGAATATTTTCAAGGACATCACAAGCTGGACAATCAATGAAATGAAATGAAACGAAACGCAGCGCAATTAATCGATAAACCAATAAGTTGAACTCAAGCGAAATAGTAATCGATTGCTTGAAATTGAAAACTGTTTCCACTTAATACAATTAAATTCCATTTCCATTTAATTAATTCATTGATGTTTGAGTTGTATTTTAAAATACAACTTTTCTGCTTTATTTTGAAATATAATGAGAAAAGTATGGATTTTTATTTTATATTATTTTATATTATACTAGTTTTTGCCGCGACTTCGTCCCGGTAGTGTTTAATAAAATGTAATTCGTTTTTACTCTCTTATTCTAGACATAGTATGTGTCAATTCTATCAATAAAATTCGCAATTTTATTTTAAAGAAATTAATTATATAAAGAATTGCTAATAATGCACTTCAGCGCGCCATCTCGGATTCAACTATTTAACTATAACTATGTTTGAATCTCAATGCCAACTTTTATCCCATAGAAAAAGGCTGTCTTTAGGGTTTTCCAGGCAATTATTCGATTTTTTCTCGCCGTAAAAATCCATCCTTGGTCTTTAACGAACATTTAAAACAAGAATTGGTCAAATTGGTGTAGGCATTGTTGAGTTATGTGCTTACCAACAGAATTTGCAGTTCATTTTTATATTATAGATTATTAAAGTCTATTTATAGAGTGAAACATATAAGAAACTCAATCACGCGTATAATCAGATTCGACTTAATTAGAATAATGTGCAATCATGATAAAGTCTATAAGAAAACGGTCGATATTGTGAAATTTAGAAGGAAATGCAAAGAAACTGTATTGAATCACTCGAGAAAACTCGAGAAAAGCTCAAAAAGCAATTTGAAAGGTTATATTAGCATAATAAATTTAATTACAATTGCAAATGAGTCTATAATGGAAATTAGACGTTTTGAAAGCGATTTAAATCAATAAAAATATGATTTTAATTTTAAAAAATGCCTGCAGTTCAATTCTGAATGTAAAAAGTAACCAATAATTAATACAGCGCCATCTAAGGTCAAATTACATAACTATAATTATGATTAATTCCCCATACAATTTTTCCGCCTCAATTTAAACCCTGCAAACTTTAATTTTCGCGATAAAAAGTATCCTATGTCTTTCTACAAGAACTAATCTAGAACTATACAAAAATTCATCGAAATTGCTTCAGCGGTTTCGGCGTAAAACGATAACAAACAAACAAAAAAATTAACATTTGTCTTGCAACTTTTATATATAATTCTTTTAATTTCCTTTGCAGATATGTGCAGCAAACAACAAACTCCCCCGTTGACATGCGAGTCGGTATTCACACCGGTGCCGTCCTAGCAGGAGTGCTTGGTCAACGCCAATGGCAATTCGACGTGTACTCCAAAGATGTCGAGCTTGCCAACAAAATGGAGAGCAGCGGAATGGCCGGGTAAGCAAACACGTGCACAATCATAACTTGTGACGCCACCAAACTAGGTATAAACTTATTCAGCTCTAATATACACTTAAAAGTTTGTTTAAGTTTGATAAAGTGTAAATACGCCATTATGCACTTCGGTTGGATTTATTTTACGGTTATTTGCAAGTCAAACGTAAACTTGCGCACGGTCCACGGTAGAGAATTGCAGGTTCGGGTAATTCTGCAGCGCACTGATTTGAAATTCATTTATTTCATTCGCAGTCGACGCAGTGGCTGAATTATTCAATTCGGCACAATAGACGCATCAAAGGTGCTAGAAATTTGATTTAATCTCAATTTGAAATTCAAAACCACAAAGGGCAGATTTAAATTTCAGATTGCACGAAAATTGAATTAAGAATACGAGTTATTAACAACAATAAAAAATAAATAAAAATCCGAATGACGAATATTTCAACGTTTTTGAAGGTAGTAAGATGAATAAGTTTCGTTTACTTTGTGGTAATGTCAGTTTATGACTTCGCCAGTGTGATTATGTACTTTAGTGACTCTGTTACGCAGTAATTACGTTGGCAGTCGATTAATTAAACGCCCCACCGGCCGCACGCGTACCGCTTGCATGTCTGATGCTATACGTTTCCGCCTCATCGATGTTTCATGCACACAAAGTCTACATAGGTACATGCACGCATGATACTAAACTTTGCACAGAGTATTTTTTAATGTCGAAATTAATTATCGACAATATATGCAAATATTCAAGTCCATTTATGTAAGTTAGAAAATTAAAAGTAAATTTATTTTGAAAAGCCAATTTTCATACAAATAAATTTATTTTAGCGGTTTGATAATTAAGATTCGCAATTTTATTTAAAAAAAATGAGAATTGCTAATAATGCACTTTAGCGCCATCTAGGGTTCAATTATTCAACTATAACTATAATTGAATCTCAATACCAACTTTTATTTTATAGAAAAGGGCTGTCTTTAGGGTTTTCCCGGTAATTATTCGAATTTTTCTCGCCGTAAAAACCATTCTTGGACTTTAAAGAACATTTAAAAAATGAATTGGCCAAATTGGTCTAGGCGTTGTTGAGTTACGCGCTTACCAACACATTTTGCGATTTATTTTTATATTATACATATAAAAATTCATCAAAATTCCTTGAATGCTTTACGGATAAAAAGAAAAAACAAGACAAAGTTAATCCTTTCTTACCTAACTAGTATTCAATAAATATTCCTATGTATTTATTGATCAAGCACTAAAATACAAACACTCCTCCCTATTATTTAAGGATTTTCTGTTTGACGTCCTTGAATACGCCCTCAAAATTAAATAATCGATTTTCAATATTTATGTACCTACAACCTGACGAAATAATAATTCATAATGATTTAATCTCAATACATTCACTGCTGCCTCGTTAAAACGATCAAACAACGAAATTTTATGCCGAACGCAAATTATACCCCTACGCTTTGATTTTGTTTGCGTTGCGTTGGTTGGTGATGAATTTTAATTATGAATGAAAGCCCAAACACATACAAATTCAGAGATAAATAACAACCCTCAAGCTGCAATCATTCAACAGCTGTGTTTGCGGTTAAATTAAATCAACGCACACAGATTCGTGCATCCGACTCGCACACGCGTCCAATTCGCAATATAATTCGCAATCCCGTGGCTGAGGCTTTAGCTTTGCGTTCATTAAATTCGCGCGTAGAACGCGGTTGTTTTGTGGTTTGCCAGCGGACTGGACCGTACGTTGAAAAACGCAAATAAACGAGGCATGCGCAATTTTCGTTTCATCAATGTCGCTGAAGGTCCTCACGAGTATAAGGGCGAGAGGTCCCGTGATAAGTGACTGTATCGCCGAGAGGGAATCAAATTAGGAACGGCTCTTAAGCATAAAGAGAGAAAATGACACAGGGGAGGCCGGAGTGTTTAGACAGGAAGGAAAAAGGACGAAATTAGTAAAAAGGACACTCGTGAACGAAAATACTACGCAGCAGGACGATGGGAAGATGGGGGATCAACTTGATTCGTAATTAATTTCACAATTTCCTCTCTAGATTATTATCACAGCGTAATTATTTTATCCTTAATAAATAATTTTTTTATTTCAACCTAAAGAATACTTTACATAGGTACTTGCTATTTAAATATATTAAAAGGGGATGTCTTTATGGTTTTCCCGGCAATTATTCGAATTTTTCTCGACGTAAAAACCATCCTTAGACTTCCACGAACATTTAAAAAAAGAATTAGCCAAATTGGTCTAGGCATTGTTGAGTTATGCGCTTACCAACAGATTTTGCGATTCATTTTTATATTATAAAGTAAAAAATATGAAAAAATCGAAAATGGAATGCCAAATCAATATCTAAACCCCTGGAAAATAGATAACTAAATATACAGTGAATAAAATTATTCAACATTTTTGTTTTCATCTTGATAATACAATATTGAACAAAGTTATACTTTACTCTTGAAAGTAAAAGTTTGGCAAATTCCGAAAGTTTCCAGAAAATATCGGTAATAAACACAATAGCCGCAATTGCTTTATATCGCCCCTGAAGGAAAGCCTCTACCACGCTAAGAAGCATGAAAACTCGCCCAACACGCGAATTTCGATAAAGCGCGATAAAGACCGATAAAATTCGTATAATAAAAGCAGCCTAAGAATGTGAAAAATGCCGACGAAAATGTTCCACCAACATTTCAAACTAAAACCCCAAAAGAAAATCATTCGATAACATAGAAAATTTATGATTTGTTGTTTAAATTCGTTACACAAACAATCATATTGTGTATATAGTATAATATAAAATCGGATTTATTGCAAAATCCTATTAAATAACTTTTATTACGATACTTTTTCATTTATTTATTATATTATACTCAATTTTTTGTGTGTTTTGCAGACGAGTACACATTTCAGCCACTACACTCTCTTTTCTCAACGGAGAATTTGAAGTGGAAGCGGCATTCGGCGAGAAACGTGAAGAAGCACTACGCATCGCCGGACTCAAGACTTATTTCATTGGGAAAGTATTAAAACCAGTGAGTATCTTAACTATACTTACGCATGCGCGCGTTAAAATATTTTCTAGGAAATTAAGCTCATAGAATGACGGAAAACAGTATTTAAACATTAAATTTAATTGCAAACGTAATTCCTTGACAAGCAGAGTGGAAAACAGTTAATTACACGCTCGTATCTATAAAAAAAACTTTTTTCCATTCATAGAGCTTCGTATTAGCTACCTAAATTTTAATAAAAAGTGTCTATATAATTTTATTTTTGTTTTTTGTAATTATAATGTAGTAGTTCTGTCAACAAAATTCTCGATTTTATTTTGAAGAAATGATAATTGCATATAATGCACTCTAGCGCCATCTAGGATTCAATTATATAGCTATAACTATGATTAAATCAAATACCAATTTTCATCCCTCATTTAACATACTTTAAATTATAGTTTTTAATATTTTAATAGTTATTCTGCTATTCCAAGTGGAAACGAATTTTGAAAAATTTAGATCATCAAAATCTGTCCAGACGTTTTTGAGTTATAAACGTTGTAACTAACACAACTTGATTTATAAGTTTCATCCCTAATATTCCATGCTTCCAATTATATTTTTGCGACAATAAACTCACATTTTCTTTTTTAATATTACTTAGAATGTAATATTACTATTACAAACATTATCAACGAAAAAACTTGTTTGTCCCGCGCGTTACGCTGTTATTTAATTAGAAAACCTTTGTTGAACAAAATGCCTATAGGCCACACCGAGTTTGAGTTAATTTTACAACGCCGCTAATCCATGTTTCATATTTTACGTTTTGTTTGGCAAACAGTCAACACGTCGAAGTCTCGACCAGTATGCATTGTGTGCGGATTAGATTTATAAAAGCATATTATGTCGGCGTGCGAGACGCGATTTTACAGCCCCGCAGCGCTACACAATTCCTCCCTCGCTGCCAGTCTCGCTGCTTTTTATTATATTCGATGCGTGCGGCCAGCTTAACGTGTGTACCGAGCAAATAATAATTGCCCATGGAAAATATCGTCAATATTCTTTAATACTTTAATACTTTAAGAGACATCTACATCAAAAATATAAAAATATTTTTCTCAGCGCATAAATCTATAATATAAAAATGAATCGCAAAATGTGTTGGTAAGCGCATAACTCAACAACTCCTAGACCAATTTGGCCAATTCTTTTTTTAAAATGTTCGTTAAAGTCTAAGGATGGTTTTTATGGCAAGAAAATTCGAATAATTGTCGGAAAAACCCTAAAAACAGCTTTTTTCTATAGGATAAAAGTTGGCATTGAGATTCAATCATAGTTATAGTTAAATAGTTGAATCCGAGATGGCGCGCTGAAGTGCATTATTAGCAATTCTTTACATAATTAATTTCTTTAAAATAAAATTGCGAATCTTATTGACAGAATTGACACATACTATATCTAGAACAAGAGAGTAAAAACGAATTACATTTTTATTAAACACTACCGGGACGAAGTCGCGGGCAAAATCTAGTTGACAAAAAAATGGATGAGATTGTATTGTCTATAAATTTCATCTCGTACACAATGAGATACATTCGCAGCATCGCATAGCAAAGTGAATTTATATTTATCCGAATCGACGATTTGTGCCGATTTCCACTTTCGCGTCGAAAGCGGTATAACACCCTGGAAGTTGACTCAGGCTGAAAGCCAGATGCGCCGCCGGGTGAAATTTAAGCGATTGCATATTACTTATGCACGAGCCGGCATGTGGCGGCGGCAGTGGCGTCGGCGGCGGCAATCTCACCCTTCGCCGCGCCCGCGAACTTGCACCAAATCGATATTTACTTGATACCCGACACTTTTTCGCCAGCGCAAAACGCACGAAAACTTAAAATCACCCAAGTTAAAGATTAAAACTCCTAATTCCAGTTCGAATCAAATGTGAAACAAGAAGTACAAAACGGTGCTGGAGTTATTCACGAAGAGGATGGAGTCATGACCGATTTAGGTTCGGATACTACAAAGGATGGCGATGTAGACTGCGATGACGGCGTGAGTAGCTATAAATCACAATAAGAAATAACCGGAAATGCATCAACGTCAAATCAATTTTTGATGTGAAACCAAACAAATGAAATATTTTCCCATTTTGAGCACTTCCGATTTTTCCACATTTTTTAATTTCCTGTTTTCCGCTTTTCCGGAAATTAATTTATTTTAATTTTAATGTCTCAAGGACGACAGCGCTGGTCCATTGCGGCAACGTCAGGATTCCGAAGACTTTAAAAAGCGCCTACGCAAGGAGCTGGTCAATCGCGACGGGCACAGGTAAGTAAAATTTGAACCCCCCTCATCATTTTCATCAGCGTCATAAAACTCAATTTATCGCTGGTCGACACTTGACGCCATCTTTTTTATACTGGCACGACGAATGTCGTAAACCGACACTGTAAAAAATCCCCACGGAGTTTCGTTTTTTTATTGACGCGCGTCGTGTTTTTACAGAGAACTGGCAAAAAGCACAAATTTCCTTAGTCTGGCCTTCGTTAAACCCGAACTTGAGAAGAGCTATCACCATCATACCGAGTCTTTTGGTAGTGTCATCCTGCAGACGTTTCTTGTCGTGCGGGTAGCTATCGGAATAGCTCAGTTTATTGTATTACCAAGGTAAATTTATTTTTGTAAAGAAAAAATATTTTCTCTACTTCCACCTTTAAAATGCTAGTTTTTCTTAAAAACGACGAAAGTCGTGACTAAAGTACTTTACTCACGGACTTTATTCACGAGGTGGAGTTTGTGCGTGCAAATACAAAAACTAAACGTGGAAGTAGAAAAAATGTCGTTTAGCTCACTTGATACTTAATATATTATTTTCAAATGATTTTTAGGCGCATAATGAATTTATTATCCATCGTGAGCGGAAGCTTAGCGTTAATGATAGTCTCAATGATATCTTTGGCCGAAATAGTACCGCAGGTATGTGTGCGCTATCGCGCATGCGCTGTGTATAACTGGTTACGTTCTATGTTTAGATGGTGTGCGCGTGTTTCAAGGCGTGTTTTAATTGCATCAACAAATCAATGTGGATGCGGCGCATTTTATCCACCCTGTGTATCGCCATCCTGACAGCTGCCAACATAGTCGACACGGTAAGTTTAGTCTGGATAATTCCCAGGTGATTTATTCACAAGTTTGGAATTTTAGAAGTTGCTACAGGGTTAGTCATATAAGATATGACATAAATCACTTCATTTTTGTCACTTTTTTATGAATAAGTTGAAAACTAATTACGACAGGATAATTATTTTCACAAATATAGATTCTGTATTAAATTCTCTATCATATAATAAAAGAAATATTAAAAAATATTAAAAATTAAAAAAGTTATTAACAATTAAAGTTAAAATAATAATATTTTGTATCTTTTTCAACTTCTATTGCTTGTAACTTTTAAAATAATTATTTTATCTCTAAGAAAATTAAACATATGATACAGAATTTAATACAGAATCGATTTCAGAAAGAATTATTACTTTATCATGGCGCATGTGTGAGTTATTAATTAATTTCCGCATAAAAATTTTGTCTCTGCAAAGTTTCCACCGCCCTTCGAAATCGCTTGTTTTAACGTCCAAACTTTAGCAATAAAACATAAATAAGAACTTGAATTATGAGAATAAACGCGATGACGATGACGAATTGAGGCAAACTTTAGCGTGAGAAACTTTTGCGCGTGTCTCTTGAAGATGAGTTTTCTTTTGTTTGTTCAGATCTCCTGCACAACGCCAAATGTGTCCGCGAACTGTACGCTCTTCGAAGACACGAACAATGCGTGCATGTACCCGTCGTACTTTTCCTACTTTGCCGTACTGATCCTGATCGCCGCCGCGCTGCCAGCTGCGTTGTCTTACACGTGCAAGACAATCCTGATGATTTTCATCACGTTGGGACACTGCGCCGTCAACGTGTTTGTGCTCGGACCGGCGTTGGACTGCGAGGAATCACGCAAACACTTCACCACGCTCACACAGGGAAAGTACACGCTTTCAGCGCTGCTATTGATTGCTACGATTGCTTTGGCGTTTTTAGCAAGACATGTAAGTATAAATTTTAAAAATATGTGTAAAATCATTGTGAAGGTTATGAAATTGAGCAAAACTGGTTGCATATAGTGTTACATGTTGCAATTCACACGTGTGACGCATTTTAAATAACTTTTGGTTTCATAGATGGAGCAAGTATCGCGAGTATTATTTTTATGGCGTAATGAAGTTGAAGAACAAAGAGAATGCGTGAGCGATATGCGCAGAAGAAACGAAGCATTGGTTTACAATATTCTACCGCCTCACGTGGCCGAACATTTCATGGGCAATCGAAAACGACAGCATGATGAATTATACTCACAGAGTTACGCGGAAGTTGGAGTGTTATTCGCTTCGATGCCTAATTTTTCAGGTAGGCTATTATTTAATACTTGTTTTAAATATATTTATACAACGTTTTTGGATGTTCTGCGCAGATTTTTACTCAGAAGAAACGGTGAACAATCAGGGCCTCGAGTGTTTGCGCTTTTTGAACGAAGTTATTTCGGATTTCGACGCAGTGAGTAGCACATACACCAAACGAAATATTTACTCAAGTACAAAGTTTTTCCCGTTCGATTCTGTTTGACTTTTGTAATGCTTATCGAATGTTCTGCGCAAGTTTACTTTTCCACTTTTCTACTTGACGAATTGTTTGAAACGCTCGCAGCCTTCAAGTGTCGAAAAATGTTTGTGTGTTTAGCTGTTGGAGCTCCCCCAGTTTCAAGACATCATTAAAATCAAGACAATCGGCTCGACCTATATGGCGGCGAGCGGCCTAAACCCCACCAAACATGTCAAAGTAAGTAAAATGATTCAAACTACTCACCGGCAAATATTGACACGCAAATGTTTAGCCTGATGATCCGACCCCGGTGCGGTGGGCGCACCTCGCGCTTCTTGTGGAGTTTGCACTTGAATTGAAGAAGGCACTTCAGTGTATCAACGAGCAGAGTTTCAATCACTTTGTGCTCAAATTGGGCATCAATCATGGGCCGATAACGGCTGGCGTCATCGGCGCGCGCAAGCCACACTACGACATCTGGGGGAATACTGTCAATGTGGCGAGTCGGATGGAGAGCACGGGTAAAGCTGGTTGCATACAGGTACTTAACCCTAAAACCTAAAACATTTAAAAAACAACGTTTTAATATGTTCTATTTATAGGTAACTGAAGAAACATGTCAAATTTTACAATGTTTCGGTTATCAATTCGAACAACGCGGGCTGGTCGCAGTGAAAGGCAAAGGCAATCTGATGACGTATTATTTGCTTGGCAAAGCCGGCAAAATCACGCCGCCAACTGCGCCGGTCTCACCTGCTGTAAGTGTTGCGAATGGTGGCACACCAGCTCTCACCGCCTCCGCCTCCGAGTCAGCCACCACCGCCGGAGATGAAAGTTCCCAAACCACTTCGACGTCGAAGTCAGATGATCGCACTGATAAAACTGTTATTGAGTGTGCAGACGCACGAAGTGATGTTTTCAACGATGATGGCGCCACTAGTCGGGACATGACCGAGAACACGCTGCTGCTGAGCGATACATAAACAGTAAACATCAACAAAAGTACAGAATCATAACATAATCATGTTGAGGTGTCGACGGATCATTAATAGGTATATCTTAGAGGCTCTATTTAATTTAGGTATTAAGTAATAAACGATGATGTATAGATGATATTAATAGAGATGATGCTACACTACACTACAAGGAAATAATGAAGAAGAAAAGAAAAACTGCTTTCGGGACTTTTAGAGAGAAGTATTGTATATACATGTGTATTGGTCATAATGATGACTATAAGAAAGCGTTTCGTTTTATGAAATTCTTGTATTCTCAAAAAACTACGAATTGTTTGTATTTGTATACTATCAACATGATTTATTTCTCATATTTGTTCGAAATGCGCACAGGAAAACATAAACTATGTTTAGGTTAGGACACAAGATGGCGCTAGACTGACTCTGAACCATTGGAAACATTAAACCAACTCTCATTAACTGTAAAACTCAACATTCAACAAAAATATAGTAAATGTATGTATAGAGTAATAAATGAAAAACACTTGTAAACATAATAATATCGCTAGATGATGAAACGGTGGGTGTGCACTAACTTTTTAGGTTAGCCGCAAAACCTAATGTGACGATTAGCAGGAATTTAGCATGAGAAACACATCGTAGATGATGAGAAAAGTAACATAACCTAGATGGAAAGCAACTTCTGTGATTTTCAGTTAAGATTATTCACATTTAACCTCAAAATACTTCATATAAACTTCATATATAAACATAAAAGGCAAAAAACTGAATGGAATTTATGGGAACAATCATTTCATAGGTCCACTAAGTCTAAAAAGAATTTATAAACTATTGAACTATTGCAATGTGTCATCAACTTCCATTTAATTTATTTTTACTACACTTAATACTCGAAAAGCGTCAAACGATGAAATTTCAAATGGAAAACATGCAAATGTAATGTGATCAGGACTAATATTGAATAATCACTAAAGAAATCTTTAAATAGATGAAAATTTAAATCTTGTTGAATGTCCTATGTACAATATACTTTAAACAAAGATCTGTTGAGCTAAACACACGGTGTTAATCTAAAATGAATTACTGTTTAAAATAAAAACAAAAAGTAAATTTAAACATGTTTGTTAATAAAGATCAACAAACTGTGAATTCTATCATCTGCTAGCATGTATGATATTAAACTTTATTTTGCAGTGTAAATTATTGCGTTTTATTTCCAAACCTAGTTTGTTTTTTATAAAATTTTTGAAAAAGAACAAAAATTTGTGTTATTTACATGGAACGTACTTAGAAAGCTGAATTTTAATAAAAAACTTTGCTTGTTTATAAAATATAATACAAAATTAAGTGGAAATAGATATTATAAAGCTTTAAACTTAGTTTCTGATTAATTTCATTACTGTTTTGTTAATAATAATTAATATAATTAATAAATTAACAGTAAGACAACCCTGTACATGTGCAAACAAGCAAACAGTAGGGTGCGCCACTTGCTGGATGAATTTAACCTCACAATGTGTTTTATTATTTTCCTTGAAAGCTTTCCCCAATGTTTTGGCATTTTACACTGACGAAATTGTCTCGGACCGTTTCTCACTACTAAAAACCCTCGATAAATGTGATTTTCGTGCCCAAAATGTCACTCACCATCAGTGATCCTGTATAAAAAAGGCCAAAATAGCGCGAGTGAAAACTATTTCTTCATCAACATGGAAAAAGTGTGCAGATCATGCCTCAAAGTCGACAAACAAATGAAGAACATCTTCGAGGAGGCGGAGAACCGCCTCCCGGAGATGATCAAAGAATGCACCTCAATTAAAGTAAGCCGTGCACGCAAATGCATCAATTTGTTGTTATGCGAATATATTTCTAGGTTATGCCTGACGACGGTTTACCCGACTCCCTATGTACAGATTGCGAAGAGAAGCTCACCGCCGCATTCGAGTTTCGCAAGTTTTTCAAAAACAACGATCAAGCTCTACGGGCTCACCTGAATATGGCTGTTAAGGAAGACCATGAAGATGAGGACTACTACTTAGGAGATATGACTCAAGTTGACAATGCACCTGCAGACTCAGAAACAAATGATTCCGAGCTTGATGACAAACTGAAATTCAAATGTGACAAGTGCTCGAGGTCTTTTACTTCACCCAGGGCTTTGAACTCGCATAAAACAAAGATGCATGAAGCTGAAGATCCCGATTTTGATCCGGAGCTCTTAATACAAAAAAACAAAAGCTACAAGTGCTCACATTGTGACATGAAGTTCTCCAGACAGCATTTGCTATTGAAGCATCAGAGAGAACTCCACTTGGAAGTATTACTGCAAGAAAACAGTGAGATCAAGATGGAAGTACCAGATGATGAAGAAGATGAAGATGATGAAGAGTTTGAAGAGGATGAACTGGAAGAAGATGAAGATGGTCTCAAACAGAATACGAAAAAAGAATATCCATGTGATTATTGTGAGAAGGTGCTTATCACCTCACTGGGATTGAAAATTCATCGGAGAAAACACACCGGAAAGAATTTATATGAGTGCACAGAGTGTGATAAGAGTTTTTCAAAGTGTAGACATATGAAAAATCATCTTAAGATGGTACATGGACCTGGAGCACCACAACAGGATAAACAAATGGGTCATAAAAGAGTAATTTGATAGAAATATGTGTAAATTGAATATAAAATTAAAATATTTCTGTATTTTAGGAAATGCAATGTGAATTTTGTGATAGAAAATTCAAATATAAGAAGAGTTTCACACAGCACATGTCAATCGAGCATGGAATTGATGTGGATGAAGAAGATCTCATAGTGGAACCAGTTGTTAAACGTAAACGACGGCAGGTTAATGATGTTAAAGAAGATTCAAGTAAGTTGTTTCACTTTTTTTTGTAAATTTACAAAATAAACAGTTAATTTTCCTATTTAGACACTGATAGTGATTCAAACGACGATAAGAAACCTCCAGGCGTATACAAATGCATCGTGTGCAACGACGAGTTCCCTCGCTCGAATCATCTCGCTCGTCACATGCTCATCCACAGAGACATAATGGCACACAAATGCGATAAATGTGAATACGCGTTCATGACCGAGCCGGAGCTGCAGAAACACATCGCGAGGCACGCGGATAAACCGTACGGTTGCTTCGCATGCACGAAGGCGTTCTCCCGAGGCGAGCACTACATTCGACACATTAAAACCCATCACATGCCCGCGGAAGGCCAAGCTTTACAATGCCCCATATGTCCGGAGCAGCACGATAATATTGAGAATCTGGCCGAGCATGTGAAGATTCATCTTGCGAGCGATAAGAGGCACGTGTGTAAGACGTGTGGGAAGGCGTTCAACCGCGCGGATAATCTCAAGACGCATATTAAGTCGCACAAGGGGGAGCCGCAGGTGCCCAAGCTGCATTTGTGTATTTATTGCGGGAAGGAATTTAATAACTCTAGTAATATGGTAGGTTTTTTGATTTTTTTTTGATTTTTGGGTTGTTTTTCATTGGATTTATGTTTGTTTAGATTGTGCACATGCGGAGACATACTGGTGAACGTCCCTACAAGTGTAAGCAATGCGGGAAGGGTTTTCCGCGTTCGCATGATCTCAAATGCCACGAGAGGACTCATTCGGGTGAAAAACCCTATTTGTGTACTTTGTGTGGGAAATCGTTTAATAAAAGCAACAAATTGGTAAGTAAATGATTCATTTTACCTGGGAATAGTATTTTTAACTTAATTTTCATGTAATTTTGATGATTTTTTTATGTTTTTTTTTTTAAGTTGCGACACACGCGTGTACACACCGGTGAACGTCCGTACGTTTGTTCAATCTGTGGCCGTGCATTCACACAATCCAATGATTTGGCACTGCATATGCGCCGCCATACAGGCGCTCGTCCCTATGCCTGCGGCGTATGCCCCGCCAGATTCATCCAGTCCGGACAACTCAAAGCACATCAGCGCTCGAAAGGACACTGGGTTGAAACCGCACCGGATCTAAAAGGCAGTTATCGCGTTGAGCCTGTAATTAGCACCGGCGAAGCGAAACCAATTCGGTTTCGACGTACCGCCTCCGGTCATAAATACGAACCGCCTGATTTTACCGATAAACCACCGCCGTTGTTAGAACAACAGCAACAAAATGAGCAGCCACAACAGTCATCACAAATCTTACTAAAACAGGAACAACATGCCGGTATTGATAAGCAATTGACTCCTGCGAATAATGTGCATTTGGTGCAGACGACGCAAGGACAGACCATACACATGGAATACACGCGACCGGCACAAGTCTACGAAGAGGTGGCGACTGAGGAGACGATAATCGTGATGCCCGTACACAGCCACACACCGACGTCTACCTCGACGCAACAATCAACCCAATTGCAAACGTTGTTAAAGCAGGAATTGGTTGTGATTGATAAGAAACTAACGCCGACGGCGAATAATGTGCATTTGGTGCAGACGACGCAAGGGCAGACGGTGCATATGGAGTATAGTCATGCGCCGCACGCACAAGTGACGCGAGTCTACGAAGAGTATAAAGTACAGCCGGAGACGATAGTCGTGGTGCCCGTGCATAGTCATACGCCGACGTCGACGACGGGCACGTTCCAAGAGGATCCAATTGCGTGCAGTGAGAGCAGTAATGCTTTTTCGCCCGCTGATGCGTCGTACGAATGCAGGAGTTATAGTTAGGCACACACTCAACTCCAAAATACTTGATAAGTTTTCAAATAGGTAAGTTCAAGTCTAAGTTTACGACATTTTCTAATTATCATGTGAATATAATGTGTGAGTCGATCTAAGGATTATATTATCAATAAATTTGATTTAAATTAGCTGTGAAATTGGTTGCATAACCAGATACATTTCAGATCTTCGACTATTTGGGGTGCAAATAAATCGAAAATCGCAAAAATTCAGTTGTTCTTGAGTAGTACATAGCATAACACTGCCAACTTTGTTATTTAAATATATATAGATTTAAGATTTACTGATAATGAGGCTTACATATTTTATCACATTCAAAATGGCGACTTGCGAATCACTAAAATGTAGGCAACCAAACATATACTTATACTTTTCATAAGACAAATGCTAAACATTTTTCATTTTTTAACAAAAGGCACGATGCACATTCCTATACACATCTAAATATTCAAGATAAGTAACTTTATAATAGTTCATTTCATCCGTAACACGTTTATAAACATCTAAAGAGTTTTAAAAAACACTTATAAATGTAATATACGCTTTGGTCAAGTTTTAAACATTCAGTAGTATCTCACTCTGTCAAAAATAATGGATAAAATCAGTCGGAACTTAGATTAATTGAGATTTTCCCTTGTTTCTCATGACTAGAATCGCGAGCTAAAGTTAACCTAATTGGAGTAGTAAACATAACCTAATGTGATTAAACAGACGTTGGAGGTTTTATTATACCTGAGTTGTCAACGGGCGTTAAATTCTCGTGCATCATAAGGTCAAATTCGGCCTCCGTGAGTGATTTACTTACAAATCTATCCCATTGTGCTTGCGAGGATGGGCAGGACTTTAGAATTGTTGCGCGTTCTTTCCTCAAGACTAAAAAATCACATTTTTATACAATAAACTCATAGAAGTGGAGATTTCTTACCACTATCACCACTTTGCGCACGTAAAGTCTCCTGTTTAATAATAATCTCGTTCGTGATGAAAACTTCCCTTCGTATTTGCGCTCGTAGGTCCTTCGGGACATCCGGAATACACCAACGTACCATAATCATTACAATTGCGACCACGTTCTAAAAGATTAAATATTAGGGCTGGTGTAAGAGCACCAGAAGTTTGGCAATCTCATTCTGTTGTAATTGAAAGCATTGTTGAGTAAGCAACATAAAGAAAGCAATAAAGTTCTACAAAAATGAAAAACAAAGAAATGAAAATTTTGCTGCAGCAGAAAAAATATTACCTCAAAAACAACAACAAATGCCAATCGCGCAGCTAGGATATGCCAGAACATTGCATTCAAATCATAGCTATGTTCATGTCCAGGTGGTTCTCTGTAATCAGGATATCTGCAGATTGTTTCGTTGAATACTGAATGCCTAGGCACTGACGCCACTTGGAAGTCCGACGTATTAAAGTATGATAACGTGTTGTTTAAATATCCGTTCAAGGAGTAATCATCGCTTACTGCGAGACGATAAACCAAACGAGGGATGAAATCCGATGTGAATGCTATGATGAATCCCTTTAAACATAAATATAACAATTAAATAACATTATATCATAATCATAAAAGTATCAACCTACATTTGTAACCACTGATAGTTTACCAATCGAATCGAGTATGCGATACCAAACACCTATATCACGCACACGTTGTGTAACAGGACGTCGGTGAAAAGTCAAAATTTTCTGCGCATCTAACCTCATTTCTAAGATGTTATTCAGAAGTGCAAAAAATGGCGCCAGGGGGAATGCAGCTACGAAAATGGTAACGAATCCATACTGTAACACTATTATAAACAAGATAATGTTAAGTTTTGATAATATTATTAACATTTTGATGTTACATACCCATTTCTAAGTATTCCGGGAATAAACTCCGTGGTCCCCATTCGACCAATTTGAAATCCCTCACCCATTGAGGCTGTGTGCCCTTTTTCGAGCTCTCATCCTTCTGCAAGCCGGTTTTTACCTTGACAGTGTTCAGCCATTTGTAAAACAGCGGAAATAACATTTCTAGGACAGTATTCATCGCTTGTTTGCCAATCATTATAATTGCAAGTTGAATACACAACTCCATTAAACATCCACCCGGACCACACTAAACAAATTAAATAGATTTTTTAATAGTAAACTTTTAGTATTTGAGGTTATGTATCTTACTTCTTCTTGTCGATATCCGAATAGTCGATTATACCTCCTCGGCGAACCAATCAACTTCCCTTTGAAGAATGCAATGTAAAAAATCGACGCGTAATAATTAACAAATTGCAATAAATATATCTTTAAGGTTAGAGAATCGTCAAACTCAGTTTGCGTGCGTAGCAATTCCAATTCCGTTAAATATTCCGCAACATAAGTGTACAGCCAATTGAAGACAATGATACAACACAAGTTGATGCTGGCTGCGGTTGAGGTAGTAAACAAAATGGCGGAGCTAGTGGTCACGCGGTCACCATAAACTCTCAACGCTGTAAGTACCGACATGCGATACAATACCACAGCCACCACAGTCGCCAAAGCCATCGCAACCAATAATATCACAACGGAAAAACTTAGAATAGTCGCCGGGAACTTCATCCGCCAGAAAGGTACATATGGCTCCATTGTGTTGGTAACAACATTCATTTGCCTCCGCTTTACATGAGACAATCTTGCTAAATATTGTGGACGTGGATGTTCCTCCTGAATATCAAAGCCAGTCAAATCCCACCTGTGCGTTATTTCTGCTGAGTAACGCTTCCAAAGTTCAAGAAACAACGTCGCCCAAAAGGACATAAATATGGCGAAGAAGACCGTTGTGGAATTATCAAACAAATAGGTAATTCTAGCATGAACGCACGTCTCTTTGAGATCCCAGTAGTCACACCAGTGGTCACACAGTGGACACATTTTGATCGTAGAGTTACAGATGTCCTCGGATGGCTTGTTGCTGTAGAGTGTGGCCCAAGAGTAGACAAAACAGGCGAGACCAACAACGGCGGCTGGGATAAGCATATGCGTGTAGAATCCAAGCCAGGCGAAATACAACGCTATTTTAACACCGAAATATTCGCGGACGTAATCCAGGGGTTGGTAGCGGTACCATTTGCGAATTGCGGCCCATTCGGTGTAGAGTAGGTTACGCATTGATCCTGGTAGACGATAATCACCCTATGTAAATAATACAATATAATAGTTTTATACTTTTGAGGTTATATTGGATACATACGTCGTGTAGTGGATAAACAGCAGTGTAAGTGTTTTCGTTTAACAGTCTTTCGATGCCGAATGCAAAATCGTCGTTTGTTTTGCTGAACATTTGACGATCCAGGATAAACTGCACAATTCGCGAGTGTATGGCTGGTGTGAAGAAACATGGCGAGTCAACATCAAATCTATAAATTTCCAAGGAGAAACCAATCAAAAACATAACCTAACATGTTTGCTTTTTAACAAGAAGAAAAAACTTACAGATATTCTCTATCACGACTGTAAATGGCAGTAAATCGATGTCCTTTTTCGGGAAAGTGCTCTTTATCAACAAGCACCCAATCTTTCACTTTTTCCCATTGGGTACGAAAGCCATCAATGATAAAATTACCGCGATGCGTTAACTCTTGCCCCAAAATCTACAATTTCAATAATTACATTATAATAACTTATTTGTTACTGAAATAAGTGTTAGTAACATTAGATACATTTATCATGCAATTAAATTATTAAGTAATTACACTTATAGCAATTAACAACAAGAGGATACATAGGATGAAGTATAATTAAGCGTTCAGGGCGATGATTTTGTTTGTTAGCTGTTATGATTTGTTTGTTTTGCTAATGATGTTTGCACAAGGAAACAGGGAAAATCGATTTTTATGAGGCAGAGGACAAGAAACACTCAACACGCACACATGAAAACCAAAATAAATAATACTTGTGTGGCAATAATACTACCTTTGTGCGCAAATAATTGGCTGCATTATAAAACCTTCTATTTCGAAACTCCCTTGGTAACATGCACAACTCCTGTTGAAAATATTATAAATACAAAAAATATAAAACATTTAAAAACTGTCAAAGGTTAGTAAAATTGTGTATAATACCAGTAAACATTAAAGACGCCACTGCTAAGTGCTACAAGTGCATTAAAACATTAAACTAGCTTATTTTAGGTTATGATTGATTTTTGACGACTATTCGACAATACTACTACAATATAACCTCTAAAATCTGTCTGTTTTCAAAATACTAACCTCTTTCATCGGCATTCGAAGTTTTAAAATTTCGCTGTACCTTCGCAGTACTTCTCTAGGTGCGTGAACCTTGATGAAACACAATCCACTCTTTTCGGGCGGCTCATACTCTAATTCTAACCCCTCTTTGATCAAATTGGCTTCGAAACAACTTCGACGCGCGAAAGCCGCCTGTGATATGGCTTGAATTTCCTGTTGGTCCCATACCAATATAAAATCAACCGAACGAATACCGTCATTGAAGTAAATCGACGGTTTCGGACACTTCGCTTGTGCAATGCACCCACATTCACTGTCATCTCTATCCAGAGATTTACCAGGCGATGAATGTGAGAGAGATTCTTGAACATTATCCACTAATTCATGCATTTTGATGTTTTGCACTGGTACTGGAACACTGGGAGATTCAAAGTCCCTAAAAAATATAGGTTATATTAATATATCGCTATTACAATACAGATGGCAGGTATAAAGTGAGCAAATAGATAATTATTGCTCATAACGTGCTCATAATTTAATGCAAACAATTCAATAAACACTAATTAGTTCCTGGCGTGTTGGCTTCTCAATGTTAATTTATACATTTCAAGGTTACGAAAGTAATTACACGAAACTTATAACTTTAACAATTGACTAAACATTAAACATACTCTACTGACCGTCCTTGACCTTCAGTGAAACACTTTCATGCAAATAATTATGTTACTTACTGATTTGTATCCATCTTGTTTTCCAAATCGTCCTCTTTCTCTACAAGACTTAAAACCGACATGGCGGCTATGTCCGGGTTCAGGTACTGTTTCCGGTTGTAAAACAACGCCTCCTGCACGACATCGCTGTCATTGGAATGATTACCATTGACAAACACAACGTTGGCGTCTTCTTTGTCCAAACGTTTATCGAAATCATCGATTTCTTCAAGAATTTCGTTTTCTGGATACGTGAGTAGATGTGGAGCGACATTATGCATTTCATTAACATAACCTATAGCGTTTAAGTCGTGTTTGCCCTGCATTACCAGTGGGCGCTGCATTTTCGTTTTTTGTTTTTGAATTTGGTTTGACGTGGACGCAAGAAATGGAGTTTCACATTCGTCGTGTGAATTTGGTGAGTTCGTAGAATTTTCTCTTGCATTATTAAACTCTTCAGAAGCGTCGGATAATTTTGACATAGAAATCTGAAATTAATATTGTAAGTGCACACAGTACATAAACGTGTATAATTGGTTGCATACATTTAAATTTACGAACACTTTTAATTAAATTAAATTACACTGTAAAATGATAATGGGTGTGCTACAACTCTCCAGACACTAACAGTAAACCAGAAAACTAGGTCACACAGTATTTCAATTAAAAAGAAAACACTTTACATACATGGAGTAAAAAATTACTTTAATAAAAAGATAACCTCACTTTAGACTTTTTGCGGAGTATTTTCTAAGTAATCAACTTAAATGTGTTTCGTCGGGGGGAATTAACACAAGAAGAACGTAAATCACTAGCAAAATAACAGTTTCAAACATTACTCATCGAAATAAATTAAAAGTTGATGCGATAATTTGCGGTTTTCGCTAATTTCAATGTTACGAATGCGTTACTTTTATGATTTCTGCGCGAACTGCGAAGAACGAAACAAATTTAAAGCATTGCACGCACACAGCATCCATGGAAATGTGCCAGGAATTATTTCGGGACCGCTGAGTGAAAATTCGTTCGCTATTTAGCGAATTATTATGTATAAATGCGAATAATACCGGTTTATATTTTTTACTTTATAAGAGAATTATATTTACTTGTTCACCCTATAGTAAACAATGGAAAAACACGATGTCTTAATTTTCTAGACTGGTCCTACCTGGTTTTAATTAATATATTCTTCTAATTGTTGCGCACGCGCTAAATTTCGGCTTCTGCGCGCACTTTTATATGAATAACTCGGCTGTTTCTTGTAACTCGGGCTTTTCCCATGAATACCGGCTGATCAAATGAACATTGTACTCTAAACACATTGACATCGAGTTAACATTGCAAGCACTCGCGGATTCGTTCAATCGCGAACCGTAGCGCTCGTCGCTGCATGACGATTCACCCAGCTGACACGCGTATGTTATAAATACTACATAAACATTTGACGCTAATTTATTTCATGATTATCGGAGTGCGCGAGGAGACGCGCCGCAACGCTGTTGACCCCGGCGCGGTCGTCGCTCAACTACCGCTGAACGAGCCGAATTTTTGTTTATTTCTTGCGCGTGAGTGAGATTCCTACTGGTGCGTCGCTTCCGCGCGCAGCAGGTCGCACACTCTACATCAACCAGCTGATTTTGTATCCTGCTGGGTTACGTGCTGTTGCTTGTATAGTTGTGGTTGAATTTGAATTTAGCGCGAATCTCGCGCAAGCGCCAAAGAACGGCTTTGGAACTTTAATCCTTGAAGCATTCTCGAAACGATGGCGTGTTTAGTTTAGTTTTTTCTATTATCGTAAAAGTGAGAAGAGCATTTCCGAAATCCGATTTTTTCTGGCCCTTTAACCTTCTGACACAATCGCAATTTAAACTTTCAGATGTTGGTGACACAAATTAGAAAAAACGCGTGCCGTTTTACTAATTTTTATTTAAATATTGCAGCTCTGCCATTTGATGGAAATAAATTTTTAAATGCTAATTCGACAGTTTTTTGATCAAAATTTGCGGATATCAATAGTTTGGCGATGGGAATTTTTGAAAGGTTTGAGGGTTGAAAACTTACAGAAAGCCTAAATTGCTTGGTGAATTTAGGGGATACAGGCCACATCGACTGCTAGTTTTGAAAGTTTAGAAAAAAATATCATTTTTGACGAGCGTTTTATGGAGTTAATTGTTTTTTTTTTCTTATTCCGTAGGTGGTGCCAGCTCCAACTATGTTTTTTAAGATCCGTGGACAATATTTGTCACAAACCGATCGCTGGATTTGAATTAAATTTATAGTATATTAATTACATTAACTATTGTAATACTATTTTTTATTTGTATGATTTCACGCGAACTGATGGTCCAGCATTAATTAAAAATACTTGTTTTTTCGTCCCTCTTAGTTAATGTTATTTACAAAATTGTTTTGCGGTTGCATATAACATAGAAGTGATGATGGCAACTGTTCTTGATCTGAATTGATTATATATTTAAAACAAATTTCTCTGCAATGCTTCCCTCAAATACTTGTAAAACAACAAGATAAATGTGGTTTATGCAGTTGATTAACGTGGTATGGTGGTGTTTCAGTATTTTATCCTCTTCATTGTAGTTTGCAATTTTTTCAACAATTTGAAGGTGTACTTGTGATGACACCGTTGATAACATGGTATAGCCTGTTGTATTAACTGTTTCAATATTTATCGAATTTTGTAACAATTCATTCATAAAATCAAGATAGTTTCTTAATGATGTCCATTCAAATAATATTCTGCCCTCTTGGGAAACTTTACTGCAATTAACATACTTTTTTACCATACGCTCATGTAGATCATCAAATCCTTTTTTAATTGATTCCATTACAACACATATATTACCACCATCGACATCTACCTTCAGATTGGCAATACATGTGAAAAGTTCCTGAACAACACTTGGCGAATTTTTTAACGATGCGATGTCAGACCCACCGTGTTTTAATAATTCCTCAATCATTGCAAGATGCACACAAAGTGTTGCACATATCAGTGATGTACAGTTATGTATTTTAACTAAGTTGGTTTTATCATTTTTCTTAAGGAAATTTAGTACAATTCCATGAAGTTCATTACCTGAAGCCCAAATCAGCTCTGTATAATTTTGAAATGATTCTCTGATATTGTCCCCATATTTTAGCAATCTTTCTACCATTTCCACATAATTATTTAGTGACGTGACTATGAGAGATGGTATATTAGCATGATTAACCAAGCTGGCATTATCAAAGTGTTTTTGCAGTTCTTGAACAATTTTGAGATGTCCTTGCATTGATGCCAACATTAATGCTGTGTTGCCATCTTTATTAACTACATTAACATCTGCATTATTCCGTAACAGTTCTTGAACAATTTTGAGATGTCCTTCCATCGATGCCCTCATTAATGCTGTGTTGCCATCTCTATCAACTATATTCACATCTGCATTATTCTTGATCAGTTCTTGAACAATTTTGAGATGTCCTTGCATCGATGCCCTCATTAATGCTGTGTTGCCATCTCTATCAACTACATTAATATCTGCATTATTCTTGATCAGTTCTTGTACGATGTCAAGATGTCCTTCTATCGATGCCCTCATCAATGCTGTGTTACCATTTTTACCAACTACATTTACATCTTCATTATTCTTGATCAGTTCTTGAACAACATCATGATGTCCTTTCATTGATGCCGTCATTAATGCTGTGCTGCCATATTCATTAACTACATTAACATCTGCATTATTCCTTAGCAGTTCTTGAACAATTTTGAGATGTCCTCTCAATGATGCCATCGTTAATGCTGTCTCACCATACAAATAAGTTGCATTAATATTAACTCCATCTTTTAATAATAATTGTACTTTTTGTATACTTCCACTTCGTACTGCATGCATGAACTCATCAGCCATATTTGACTGCAACAAAATCCTGAAACCAATAATTATTAAAAGTCTGAATAAATGCTGTATCCTCACAAGTTATCAATGTTAAACAATACTTTAATAAAACAATTGCAAACCAATGCAAGTGTTTGTCAAATCTGATGTGCATTGATTTGCAATAGTTTTAATAAAGTATCATTTAACAATTTTTCAAATAATAATTAGTTTAACATATTTTGGCAATCCAGGATAATAACAATTTAATCAAACTTTATAATAATAAGACTCACCTAATTCGTCAGCAGCAATACACAATTTGGAATGTTTTTGATGCTACCTGCCAATGTACATTTATCTCAATTTATTATCTTTGTTCAAATAGATCAGTTGCTATCACGAAGTGTTTGTATGATAATTTAATTTCGAAATGTATTTTGAAATATTTTTTGATTTTTAGCAATTTTCCACTACGATAAAATACAATAGTATATTAAATATCAAATGGTTAAATGGAAGTTATTCGAGTTATAACGTTTAGGCACGACACGACATTTATAACCTCACATTTTGCATATACAGGACGTTCGCGCCGTAATTGATATAAGCAGGGTCGGCTTTATTTTGAAGTGTCAGTTACCAGAGTGGTACTTTTAAATGGGATTAATTTTTAAAAATTCAATTATTTCTGACATTCTGATTGTGTCAAGGTACGTGCCCTAACGTAAGCATCACTTAGAGTGAAGTCCCCGTTTAGCATCTTGATACTTAATATATTATTATATACTGAACAATTTAATTAGGCTACGAAAAATTCAAGTAGGAATTCAAATCTTTTAAATATAAGATTTTCGCATTTGCGGAATTGTACATACATGATCTGTGCGAAAAACAGTATCCATGTAGATGTGGATAATCCGTTCGTAAACTGAAGAATCCATAGAAAAATTTAAAGAGGAATTAGCAAGCTGCAATATATTTCGTAACGCAAGTTATATTGAAAGTTGTGTACCGACAAGTGCCGGCAGTGTACGAGGCTAGCGGTAGAAGTGACTCGTGTTCAGGGCACCCTACGAAGGTAGCGGCAGATGATATTTCATCGTAACATGTATGATTCGCGCGAAATACGCGCACGTCAATCTCGGTTTCGGTGTACTTAAGTTTTCACAACTTTTATGGTTACTGCTACACTCTCCTCAATCCAGAGGGTATACAAAACTGTAATCCTTGCAACCACACACTTTCATTGATTCAAAATGAGATGGCGCTTGCAACTACAACTGAAGCTCAATCTGGATTTAAAAACGAAATCATATTTACGCTAACTACTACCAATTCTACTGATAAGCCTACACTATGCAAAAATGTGAAATATTTTGCATGTGCGCAACTGTAACGATAAAAATACTTCCAATATCAACACAATACTGAATGTGGTTGACGTAAAATAGCGGAAAGTTGTGAAAAGCGTCACACCACTACAATTAACCTGATTGTTTAGTTTTATTTTTATTTAAAGTGCGTAGATAGTTGTGATGATACTATGTGGTTGCAGGAACTTCGAGCAGTTTCCTGCGTTTCGACAGTGCGCACATGCGAGAACTGTCATCGGAAACATCTGTTCGCTTTTCCTGCGCGATGATCAGTCGCTCGCCAGACGAACGGGAGCGTGCGCCAGCAGGAACTGTCTGTGGCTTCCAATAGGCCAGCGGGACTAGTAGAGATCGAGCCTGAGCGCAGAGAGCGGACCGAGCGGGGACCGAGGCGGCCACTCATCGCATCGCGTTTTGTTGTCGCTGGATGTTGCGGGCTTTGCGGTCGCGCATTGTGTGTCGACGATTGCAGGAACCGAGTCACCATTGACGCAAATAGCGACGATCACCAATTAGCAGCGCGTGCTGGCCTGCTTCAACTTAAAAACGGCGACGCTCGGCGTGCAACTAACACTTCGCGACCAACAAAAGGCAAACGAACAAAAAAGTTTTTTTATGCATGTTTGCTACAGGTGCAAGCTGTGATACGCTACACGCGATTACAGATTTGCGTAGTAGTTGTGCATTCCGACGTAAATGAAAACTTGTGCGCGATATAAACAATGACATCATGAGCATAATCGCGTTGACGTGACGTCACACGTTGGTATCATCTAAAAAAAATATCAAATTAATAGTTTAAATAAATAAAAAAACATGGGTGGCTCAGTGAGCCAGGCCTTTCAATCGGGCACCAGCGCATTGCTATCAACCAGCCATGGGCATAAAGTATCCGAAGCGACCAAACAAAAAGTCCAAACTGTTTTCGACGCCCTGCGGGCAAACCCTAAAGTCAGCGTGCAACGTCTAGAAGGCTTACTTCAACAAATACCCAAGGTAAATAACCATAACCTCAATTAATAACCTCTAACGTGGTATTTTCAACTATAGAATGAAAACATCCTTGCGATTCACGATGAATTGGGCTATAATTTGCTGCAAAAATGCGTTGGGGCTAATAATGTCGACTTAGTAAGATGGTTATTACTCAGACATACCTCCGACGTGAATCGATGCCCATGCAGTTTACCCCTGCACATCGCCTGCCTCAAAGGGTGAGTTAAACGCTTTTAGGTTTTCTTCACGAGTGGTGTACATAATACGATTACATGTTTTCAAACTGCAGGCACGATGAATGCGTGGACTTGCTGTTGAAACACGGCGCAAAGGTGGACGTCGAGGCGAGAATGTGTTGGCCAAGTCCTCATAGCAGCAACTGTGAAGAGCGAGGAAAATATAGTAAGTTTTTGTCTTCGACGAATAATAACCTATAAATTTATTTCGTCGTATGATGGCAGCACCTGTCCAACAAGAGGAACCCTGCACACTGGCGAACGAACGTGATCGTGAACGAATGCCCTCGAATAAACTGCAATCAGCAATGTACTATGCATTGGACGGTGATCAAGTGAATATACTCACGATGCTCGCACAGAAATGCGAAGATTTCTGGGTAACAATACGCATTTACATACCTAACCTATTTTTATACGATTTTTTATTTCGTTCCTAGAATGTGGTATTCCGTTCGAGGAAACCTCTCCTGCACGCAGCGTGTGAACGCGGCGCATGGAAATGCACCCAGTTTCTAGTAACCGAACGTTCTGAAGAGATCCACATCCTCAAGGACGAGTACTACCCCATTCACTACGCGGTGTGCAACGATCATAAATTTTTGGAACTGCTGATCAACGCCGGAGCTGACACAACAGTCCGCACCAGTACACAACAGATGACGCTCTTGCACGTTGTGTTTTTGGTTGCGCACAAATCCGCCGAGGACACCATTTCTACAATAAGACTACTATTGGATAACGGATGTAAAGAATTGCTGAACATACCGGATACGCTAGGAAATACACCGCTGCATGCGCTGATAGTGCGATATGCGCTCGAGGAAGCGCGGTATGGTTACGATAAATGGAACAAGTGGGACATCCTACATCTGGTTAGATACATGCTGCAATCGGGGGCGAAGCAATCCATCAATCAACCGGGGAACTCGGCGTTGGCGTGCGTGTTGCGACATGTCAGAGACTGGGAGATTTGTTATGAACTGCTGAACATGTTGCTGAAAGAGGACGGCTTGCCGAATCTAGTAGGCAGGGATGGTTCAGCCCCAATTATGATCTGTTTGGTGCCACTGATCAATAAGGATCCTTTGCATCACTTCACACACAGTATGAAAGTGTGTTACTTGAACTGTATCCGTATTCTACTGAAACATCGCGCCAACCCGAACTGCAGCTATCGCTCGAATCTCACCCCTTTGCACGTGCTGGTCTTTACCGTCTCGGAGAACATCACGCTCAACTGCGACCAACAGAAACGCACCAACTTCGAATTCATCAAGAATCTACTTATTCTATTACTCACGCACGGATTGGACCCGAACGTGCGCGCCTCCAGCACCAAACAACACATTCTACAGTCCTGCATGGATATGATTCAGAATGTGCGCGACTGTCGAGACATTCACTACGTCTACGACCTAACCTTAACTCTGATCCAATATGGTGCCAATCCTGATTTGAGGTTAAACATCTCGGACACAATCAGCAAGCAACCCACAGTGCCACAACCGCACATCTTCTGGAAAAGCAAGAATTATATACTCTATTATTACATAATGCTGGTGTCGCGCAAGGAGAACATCGTCATGGATCCGCATCTGTCGTTCGCTAAGATAATTCACTTGTTTTACATGGTAATGGAACACAAGCCGCTCTTTGAGTGTCTGCACGTGCTGTACACGCAACTGCTGAGCATTGTGCCCGGCAGGATGACCGAACCGATGACGTATATCATTCGTGATTTGTATAGGAAGCCGCGCAGTTTGAAGCAGATGTGTCGGGTGAGGATACACAACTGCATCGGGCGCAAGCCGGGCGTGCACATCAACAAGCTCAACTTGCCGAATCAGTTGAAGGATTACCTGTTGAACTTTGAGCCTTAAAGCAAACAGAAGGAAGAGACAAACATTCACAACACTGTTATAAACTGATTCAAGTGTTTTGTTATATGCGTTTAATGCGATATATAAAAGTGTGACTTAAAATGGCATGTGTTAAGTATTCAGAAGTGGAAGAAAGGTAAGTGAGTTTGAAATAGTGGTGAATATGTGTAGTCTTATATCGAAATAAACGCAGAACTCATTATATTCCCTCTAATTGTATTAAAAATTCCCTGCAGTCGAAAGAAAGTGATTCAAGTAGGCTGTCAATCATTGATATTTTGATTGCAACGTCAAAAAACTAATCCCCCTCGTCGCAGCAATAGTCGAGCACTCATTTTACAATTTTTACCCTCTCAAAATTTCGCCCTATCGTAGGATCCCCGCCACGAATTCAAAATACAAGTTATTAAAACCACAGCTTTTTAAAATGAGGCACAAAACTTACAAGAACCGCGGCTACAAAGAGATCGTTTCCTCCGAAACTCCCTACCTGAACATCTTCACCGGTCAGCGCATCTTTATCGATCCGGACGTCGTTGAGCCGAAGGCACTCTTCTACGTCGAAGATCTCAATCCGTACCAGCGCACCATCTCCATTGTGATGGACACCCGCCAGCGTCGGATCATCCGACGCGAGAAGGAGAAACGCGCCTCGAATTTATGCAGCCTAATCGGCACGTGCTTCGACCACATCAAGCTGCAGTCGAATTTCGGCTATCCGGGATTCGAGTATCCGATGTGGTTCGAAGCGCTGGTGGATATTATGTATTACGACGTCTTCGCTTACTCGCCGCGCGTCTAGCACTTCTACAAACACAACATCAACAAGCATGTGTGATACAATTGCATAAAACAAAACCCCATTGACATGATGTGATTTGCGCTTTTATAGGAAACACGTACAAGTTGTACACGACCATCAAGTGTCACAAACACCCGTATTTTATTATAAATATATCAGTTTTTTGCATTAGTTGCATTGATGTTGCATTCTGTGTTTTTATACTGGTTGAATACCATTGTGTCGATGCGGAAGAAGGAAAGAATCTTAAATTATCGCAACTATTGCCCGAAGATCTTAAAAACTATTAAGAACAACATTTAATTTAACAGGGAAACAAGAAGTGTGTTGTAGAAATCACAAGAATGCAATTCTTTGGTACCTCAGCTAAATTAATAAATTGAACGGTTCATCCTACCACATCGACGCGGTATCTCATCGTGTTTGTATACAATATAAGTCATCAAAAAGTTCTTGTTGAATGTTGAATAAAACCCACACCATCTTAATCTTAACTAGTTCTTTAGCACTTTTCTTTTCTTAATAAAAATCTCTCCCGCACGCTTCGCGCCTGGTTAGCATCAAAGAGTTTATAGTAATTTAGTTTAAAAGTTAGGTAAAAATTAATTCTGGCCATGCATAGAAAACGCTCTTTGATGCTAACCTAACCTAACCATACCATTCCTCGGCCTGCCGCAGGTGAACACATTGCTGTTCAGAACAATGCGCATTTAAAATCTAAGAGTCATCTTCGGGCAGATCCTCATCAGTGGCGTACTCAGACTCGTGGCCGTCATCTTCGACCTGCTCTTCGTTTTCTGAATTCTCAAAGTCCCACTGCGGATGTTCGGTGATTTCAGCCGGCGCTTCCTTGACGTCGAGTTTGATGTCTTTCTGCTGATCGAAACCAACGTACGAATCCGAACGCAGCCATACCGTAAAAGTATACACACCTTTCCATCGTGGAGCGGTAAACTACAAAAAACAATAAAACATAACCTTGAATATAAAAAATGGCGGTGGAAATATTTGAAAAAAATTTCACTAACCTTTAATTGATATTCCTCACTATCCACTAAACTAGTAATGTGACATGGTGCAGTCAGTAACGTCCGCGACTTGCGGTCGCAAATATACGTCCACCAGTACTCTTGTTTATCACCCGGAAAGTACGGACAGTGCACAACTGAATGCGACTGCTTTGATCTGCCCTCCAACACCTTATCTCTACGATTTAATTTCTGCTGTATGCGATCCCACTGCTCGTCATCATCGTCCTCATGATGCGCATTGTTCTTTTCGTCCTCCGACACGTTCTCATCCTCCGAAGCGTCGGTATCATCCGTCTCATCGTTATCCTTGGCTTCTTTCTCCTTCGGCTGTTTCTTTTTCTCTGTGGGTGTTGCCTCGCCATCTTTGCTAGCGGCTGGGCTAGGTTGTGCAGGCAGTCCTTGCGCTTGCGCAGGCGAATCTTCGACTTTCGCCTTTCGTGGCTTCTTTGTTTGTTTCTTGGGCTTTTTACCGGCGGATTTCTTCTGTTTCATCCATGCCGGCCGCTTCTCCACATCACCACCACCATCTTTATCCTCTTTGTCTTTATCTTTATCATCTTTAGAATTATTGCGCGGTTCGCCATCTTCGTCGCATACAACTTCCGGAACAGTGTCGTCACCGAAAAGAGAGCTCATATCTTTACGGTCTAGTGTAACCGTAACGGTTACGATTGCACCGGCAGTGACTTCTGTAGGATTTTCATCGTCCATGACCCTCACATCCACTTGGAAGTCAATGTATGGCATGCTTCCCAGCGATTTCATTATATCGTTGTATTGATCATCATTGAAACATCGCAGCAGCTGTCGTCGGTCCTCGCTCTTCATCTGTGCGAGTTGTTGGAGGCTTTTGATGGGCCACTTCTTCGTCATAAAGATTCGCAGATTGTCTTCGTTTATATACGGCAGCTGCCAAAACGGCGACATGTACAGCCACATGCCTTGTGTCATCATCGGACTTAGCTTCATGCAGTTTTCAATGGTTTCAATATTCGGCAGGGTTTTCACTCGTCTTGCATACGCCAATAAAATCAATTGATTCACGCAATTCACTTGCTCCTGAATCAAGTACGGGCATTTCGAGACGATGTACTGTCTATCTTTCTCGAGAGTTTCGGGATTTAACGGAATGCGTGATAAATGCGCGTGAATCAAAGCGCGCGCTTTGATACTGTATGCGAAACACAGCGGGCGCTCTTTGTTTTTCTCATTGAGTTTGTCGAGTTTCTTCAATAGAGCCGGCACTTCTTCGTCGTCCGATGGTCTGGTTACGATTTCGGAGTTGTACTTCTTGTCGAATTCTAAACTCGCGCCGAGAATCATGATCACCCGCTTGAGGACCATATTCGGTGTGCGGTGGAAGTAGAAATAGTACATTTGCGTTGTGTCGAGGAGGACCTGATCGCCGGAGAAGCGTATACTGCGATACCACCAAGTGCCCACGACAATGGGCATTGCTACCATAAAGACCAAGGCGTAGAGACCTAGCACCCACACGGAATTTTCTTTCTCTACTATCCAAGATGGCAGCGCAATGCCGAAACTCATCGCGCCCGGCCCGTCTGGATTACCGTACTTCTCCCAGTTTTTTCGGGCTTCTTCATCTGTCAATGCCTATTTAAATAAGTAATAAATAAATATCATTTATATTTTTTGCAGCAATACTCAAAGCAAACAAAAAATAGGTGTAAATAGGGTACCTGGACACCACCATGAATGGAAACAATTCCCAATCATTTAGAAAAACCATGCGAAGAGGATTTGAAGATCAATGAAGTTTTGATGTGGCAAATAAGTAATGAAAGAGAAGTAATTCTGATAACCAAGCATAAGTAACTGTTAGAATTATGAGGAAAGACTTGTAATCAATGATTACAAGTCAAATTAAACAAGACAACTTAAACCAAACCAAAATGAAATCAAATGTTAACCAAAATAATGAACAGAGCACCTAAAGAATGCACTAGTTGAATGTTTACCTGATAAGCTTTGGATAACTTCATGAATTCCTTCTCATTGCCAGTTTCCTTATCAGGATGCAGAATCAAGGACAATTTCCTATAACTCTTTTTGATCTCGGATTGTGAGGCACCAGGAGAGACCTTGAGAATCTCATACGGATCAAAGTTGGCCATCTCATAATCAAACTGGCTGACTTTGTATGCAATGAAAACCAAAGCCACCCAGCCGAGGATGATCGTGAATTGTATGGCAAAGTTCTTCGGCTTTTGCCATGGCTGCGCATTTCGCATTATCCGGCGTTTTCGTACGCATAACTCGCAGCAGCATTGCTTCCGTAATTTTTCTGGATCTATAAGTTAGAATAAGTTAGTATGGAAATTCAACTTACGTGGGTATTGCGGTGTCATGAGTTGACTGCGTGGAATGCAATGATAATGAATTTAATTTACCTTCGACTCGTTTACGTGGCCAGTAGTAAAACGTGGCCGGAATAAGGATGAGGGCTAGAAACGAGAGCAGAAAATAGAAGAATGTCCCGCCGCTGTCGTCGTACTGAAACTTTTGACCGCCCATCGCAGCCGGCTCATAGAGCTGCGCTTAATTAGATGGTTTATTTAGAAACGGCAATTTATTTTGATCGAGTTATAACCATATAAGCATAGCAGCGTGCAATTCAGTGATAACTGTTTGACTGAGGCACAACTCCGGCCAACTGAGGGAGAACGGACACGTTACCGAATTACAACACGATGATACTCGGTGGACCTTCGTTCAAGGTCGGAATTACTTCAAAAATGTCATTAAATGAATCAAAATTTTGGGTTATCATATTTAAAATGTAAATTTTATATTTATTTAAAATTCATGCATACGAATCACTTAAAAATCGCGGAAAATTGTGTGTTTTAAATTAAGTTTAGTTTGCTTATTGATACTGGTGCTGACTGAAGGCTGCGCATGCGCAATTATTTTTATTTTGACAGACACATGGTGGGGATGCGATCGCAGCGCTCCCGTCTCCCAACACTTGATCCGTCGCCTCCACACTGCGAATGACTCGCATCGCATCGCCGTACGCGCACGCCATATTGGTGCTCCATTAGCGGCGATACAGCGCAAGCGACGAGTGATCGGTGCAAACATATCCAACCCCCAGACTGATAAAACCCTCCGTGAAGTGGTGTATCGCATCTGTGGACTTTGCAGCCCGTAGCGAAGCCGTGAGTGTCAGTGCGGTGTGGTTAGTGTGACAGCAGTGCGAAACAAACATGGCGTGCGCAACGTTGAAGCGCTCGTTGGACTGGGAGCCAGTGTTGGGCGCACGGCCGGCGAAGCGGCGACGGTGCATCCCGTTCTGCGGCACGCCGAGCCCCAGCAAGGAGCGCGTCGGGACACCCACAGCAGGCACCAGCGGCGCATCGGGCTCGGCCTTTCCCGATGTTGTCGGCAGGAAGCTCACGCCAGGTAAGATGTCTTCAGCGCGTGTTAATTAATTATGGCTGAGACGGGTCGGCCCCTTGAGGCGTCCAGGCACGCGAACCGACAGCGGGTGGGCGCGTGCATGCCCAGTGAAAGCCCCGAGCGGTGCAATTCAGGGTTATTTGGCACAGGGCGAGCGCACGCGGAGAACAATTAGCGTGGCGGACAGCGCATTGTTGACATTTTTGCGTGGTGTGATTGACATCAGCTGATTGGGACGACGGATGCGTTGTGTTGCATATGTGCGCGCCACGCTGTGCGCTAAACACCTATGCATAATTTATTTTCATTTCAAACTTTTATTCATATTCATTCGTGCTGAAATTTTACCACGTTATTTATAACCATTGCATTATTTCCAAACAAAAATAAACCAAATAATTAATGCGTTTATTTTCTTTCTTTTTTTCAATATAAAATCAATATTAATATTGATTCGAGTTGATTGATGAAAAATAAATTTAATCTTTTTTTTTTTGTAATTTGTAGAAGTGATGGCAGCAAACATCCGCGCCGAATTACGACGATTCCAAAGGCGCAAGCAATTGCAGTACGGCTCGAATTCGGACAACGACAGCGGCTCGGGCGGCGAGCAGTCCGAATCGCCGGCGCGGTCCGAGAAACCAGTTTTCACGTTTAAGCAGGTGAGGAAAATGCGGCGCACTTATGTAAATTTATTGGGACATTAAACGCGCCGACGCTTTTCTGCGTGCGACGCCGGGAAGACCAGCCGTAACGGTTTCTTCCCAGCGCGGGAAGTCACATCATCACATACTATCGATATCTGCGTTTTTATCACTGCCACTCGTTTGATAGTAATAATAAATTATGTTTTCATTGAGGCTTAACGGTTTTTAACTCTCCTCATTTAATTTTACATGAAATTTTGCTTAAAATATATTGATTTAGATGTATTATTTGATAACGGGCTGTGAATATTAATTATATTTGGAGATTTATTGCTTTTGTATGTATTGACTGACGGAAAACTTGCGAAACATAAAAATTTGATTTTAATGTATTTATTTGCAGGTTGGCCTAATCTGCGAACGAATGCTCAGGGAAAAAGAGTCAGAGATACGAGAGGAATATGATAATGTTCTCACCAACAAGTTGGCCGAACAATATGATGCCTTCGTCAAGTTTACCTATGACCAGATTCAGAAAAATTACTCTTCCGTACCTAGTTGTAAGTAATCCACGCGTATTACAAAACTTCATCGATAATAATGCATTATTACTTGTTCACAGATTTATCGTAAGGTTGCAGTAGGCATGTTTATATATTATATCGAAAAATAACAAAAAAAGAAGAAGAGAACACACACATACACAAAATAATCGGTCTGCATATAGTAGTTTTGCATAATTATACACTCGTCTTTACAGTAAAATCGAAAAAAACCAACCGAAATTAACAATGTACGCGTAAAGATACACACAAAACCGAAATCATTACGATTACGAATGCGTTGCGATTATTACGTGAGCGTAGTGGACATTTGTCGTCGAGGGATGAGCAACATCTTCACTACAACCTCCTCCTGCGCAGCGAGAACCGCCGGACAACAAAGCGAACACTCTACGACAGCACGAGCCTTACGACGATTGTACATAACTTATATATACATTACATTCAGCACATGTGAACGTGTCTAATTATTGGAATTGAAGCATCCGGTTTTTGTTTCCGCGATTGTACATATTATCTATGATTGGACAAACAAACAAGCAAAAAGACCGCACAGATTTTATATGACAGATTTTTGTATGCATTCAATGTAATAATTAATGGAACACCAAGGAGGCGAGAATCTAACTGCGGAGACGATGAGATTTTCATCCGAAACGCATGCTTCTACGAGTACAAAACCAACACACACACAATTACGGAATTATTTGCTTGTATGTCTCTTGTGAAACAATGTTTGCCTTAAATTTTCGAACTCTCGACCGACCGACGAAATGCCGTTTTGATTTCGTTTGGATGTCCATCACATTTGTACACACTCATCGGTATCATTTCGCAAATTGTAATTGTAAACCACGGAAGATGAAAAAAAGAAAAATGAACACAACTCTAAAATAAGCTGTATGAAGTTACTTTGTAAGAGATGAGGATTAGGAGGTAAGAGATTATGATACAAACTGTTCATTAGGTTAGGTGATAGATTTGTAGTTATCTACCATGCAGGCGAAATGAAATAACGCAATTTTTCATCGGCGACAAATTGAAGCATTGAGATTTCGAGTTTTAATGATGGAAGATTTGTTATTGCTAAGAGTTTTAGAATAATCGTAAACGCTAATATGAAACAAGCATAATTAAGGCGAAGAGAGTGTAAGATGTGTCTGAGAGTGAACGCGCCGCGTGATTGTTGGTTGTTTGATAAAGTGCGAAATGAGTTTGTTTAGGTTTCTTCTTTTTTTTAGTAGCGTTTAATTAGTTTTACGTTATCGAGTCGCCCGCACACCGAAATTCATTACTATTTATATCTCAATCGAATCATCAACACAACTGTTGGAAATTTCTAAAAATAGTCAAAAAACTGATAAAATGATTGCGTAAAACAGTAAGTTTACAATGAAAGTATTGTTCAAATTATGTTTTATTTGCATCTTTGTTTTTTTTTTTGCTGTTGATGAGGAAGTAAATTTGTCTGTTTGATGCGAGACAAGCCGAAAATAAAACAACAAACTACTATAAAATACATAAAATACCGCAAACAAATGCCATAAATGTGATTTTCCTTAAACATAGTTTAAATAGCGTATGAATTTTATAATAGTATGTAAGTAGCGCATAAGTTTAATTAAATTACTTATTGATTTCATGTTTAATTCGATTGTATTGTACTTGTAAGTTGATTTACAATAGCGCCGACAGACGTGATGCGAGATGAGATGGGAAAACAATGCAAAACTAAATGCAATCAAATATCGAATTAGTTAATTATGTTATTTATATGCATACATATTGTATTATCATTAACGCTTAGTTGTAATGCGTCGCAGGCGGCGATTGTGTATTTGGGATGTACATTTCCAAAGAATGGGCGTCGATATGCGGCGCCGCACGTGGCGGATGAGTTGTTTTTTACATTTCTTATTTCTGCGATGTTTCGCATTCTAGATTGTTTAGAATTGAATTTTTTTAATGCGGCGATTTAAATTAGTTTTCGTTATAAAATGCACGGCGTCCCAATGCGTTTCTTTGGCGTGATGAAGGCGAAAAGATTTGTATGCACGTGAAATGAGCGATTTGAGATGGAGACGCAACATCAGAATAAACTAAACAACTAATAATACGACTTGCGTGTTTATGCAACCTTTTTATATTATAATATGCCTTTTTTCTCTTCCAATCATCGAGAAACTAAAATTTTAATTAATTTTTATTTTATTTGCGATTTTGGTGCACAATCTGGGAAGGTTTTAATGAATCTGTAATATAAAAATGAATCGCAAAATGTGTTGGTAAGCGCATAATTCAACAACGCCTAGATCAATTTGACTAATTCTTTTTGTAAAATGTTTGTTAACGTCCAAGGATGGTTTTTACGGCCAGAAAAATTTGAATAATTGCCGGGAAAACCCTAAATACAGTCCTTTTCTATAGGATAAAAGTTGGCATTGAGATTCAATCATAGTTATAGTTAAATAGTTGAATCCGAGATGGCGCGCTGAAGTGCATTATTAGCAATTCGTTATATAATTAATTTCTTTAAAATAAAATTGCGAATCTTATTGATAGAATTGACACATACTATGTCTAGAACAAGAGAGAAAAAACGAATTTCATTTTAATTAAACACTACCAGGACGACGTCGCGGGCAAAAGCTAGTAATTAATAAATATCGTTTATTATTAAAAAAATGTCATTTAACTTTGGTCACATTGACATTTTTGTAAAGCAAGTATTAACTGTTGAATCGTTATTTTTTTCTTTATTTATTTAACAACAATAACAACATTTTGCGTCTCTGCGACCGCTGAATTCTTGAAATCGGAAAATTAACATTGCGGATAAGACATGCTTCTATTGCAATATCGTTGGTAGAATTAATGCAGATAATAACACTATTATTGCCCAGTATTGGTTGTATTTTGATTGTAGGTATAATTTATGCAAATCCTCTGGCTAAACCTATGTTGGGAAGAACACAGCGTAAAATACAGATCCAACAGATCTAAAATTCTCATCAAACATGTTGTAAATCCCAAATCCCCAGCACAACTTTTACCCTATCATAAATACATAACAATAAATCAACTTAATGCAATACTATAAATACGAAAAACATGAATGCGCTTTCATCAGTCAGTCAGATAACTTACCTTAGTAAACAACACAACTCTATACTAAACGCACACTTTGAATATTAAAAATGAAGCTGTGTATTGTTTTAATCGCATTTGCTCTTTTCGCCTGCAGTTTTGCTTCTCCAGTGGAACAAGACCATGAAGGTACATTGATGGGAAGTTATTGAAATAAATGTTTTAATACGAGTATGTGATCTATTTCCAGGTAATTTGGTTCTGTCCCGTGTGCGTCGTGTTACTTGTGATCTGTTGAGCTTCTCCACAAAGTTTGGTTCCTTGAATCATGCTGCTTGCGCCGCTAACTGTTTGCGATTAAACAAAGGTTTCCGCGGGGGGCGATGCAGGGATGGTGTTTGTCACTGCCGCCGTTAAATGGCAGGATTTATGATTGGGAAAGGCCATTACGAATCAACTCAGTCATTGAAAGCTTTATTTTTATATGAAATATTTAATTATATTATATCTACGCTCTATTGCAATATACAATTGAATAAAACATGACTTAATGTTTTGATTACTATTTAGATACTAGCTTTTGTCTGTGACTTTGTCCCGGTAGTGTTTAATAATAATGTAATTCGTTTTTATTCTCTTGTTCTAGACATAGTACAGTAGAGTCCGGTTATAATGACATCGAAGGGAATTGACAAACACGTCATAATAAGCGGACGTCATACAAAGCGTTTTGTGAAATGAAAACCGTTTTTTGTGTAAATATGTACATATACATACATATTAAATCAGAATCAAAATTGCACGTAATCAGCACATTATAACACATTCAAGGGTATTTTTTACTGCAAGTAATCTGTAATTTTTGTCTGCTTTTGTTTTTTCATTTAATTAATTTTCTTGTGATTTTCGAAGCCTCTTCGGTTTCAAAACATTTGAATTGAACGATTGCTTAATGCGGTTCTTGTTTTTTAAAAAGCATTGAGATTGTCGAATGACCCACGCCAAATTCGGATTAATGGAAAATACGGATTAAGTCGTGGTCAAGGTGCTGCTGCCCGAATGCTTATATTTATTATTTAAGCATTTGGTCTTTCCGATAGTAAATACATAAAAGTAATTTGACAATCATAAAAGAAATGTAGCAATAAATATAAAAAGTTCGCCACGTGTCGAACGTCGTCGGGTATCAACGAACATTACCGGAGGTGTAAAGAATCATGTTGGTCAATATAACCGGACATAATCTGTTAAAATGGGTCATAATAAGCGACATGTCACTGTAAGCGAAGTCATTATATCCGACTTTTTATACAGAATTTTATATGAAAACCAAACTTGGTAGTGTAGGTACGTCATAATAACCGGTTGGTCAATATAAGCGGAGTCATAATAAACGGATTCTACTGTATGTGTCAATTCTATCAATAAGATTCGCAATTTTATTTTAAAGAAATTAATTATATAAAGAACTAGCTTTAACCCGCGGCTTCGCTCGCGTTGAATCCATCAAATAAATATTAGAAATCATTATACATAGTTGAAACGGATTGATAGAAAGAATGTAGGTATATTTCACTGATTATCTATGTGAAAAAATTACTACATGCAATAAAGTTTTAAATTTTAGATGGAATGCTAGATGGCGTTAAAGTAGTCAATTAGCCAGATGCAGAGGTATTATTGGCTAAACAATTTCTTTATTTTATTTTAAAAAATATTTTTTTTTATTAAATAAAAAAGTAGCCTATAACCATTCCGGGACCATCGGGGACCACTAAGAATATGTGTACGGATTTGATGTTGACGTAGCTGTCGGTAATGCAGTGTGATGGTACTATAGTACTTAGGTGTGAGCTTCATTGCTGGAATGCTAGATGGCGTTAAAGTACTCAAATAACCAGATGCAGAGGTGTTAGTGACTAAACAATTTCTTCATTTTATTAAAAAAATAATTATTGTTATTAAATAAAAAATAGCCTATAACCTATCGGGGACCACTAAGAATATGTGTACAAATTTTCATGATGGTCTGTTAACGCGCGCCATCTCGGATTCAACTATTTAACTATAACTCTGATTGAATCTCAATGCTAACTTTTATCATATAGGGCTGTCTTTAGGGTTTTCCCGGCAATTATTCGAATTTTTCTAGCCGTAAAAACCAACCTTGGACTTTAACGAACATTTTAAAAAGGAATTGGCCAAATTGGTCTAGGCGTTGTTGAGTTATGCGCTGACCAACAGATTTTGCGATTTATGTTTATATTATAGATTGTTTTATTGCTAAAAGATATAAGGGACTCAAATACATCTTGTTTAAAAATCGCTTTAAATGATAAACATTTCGGAACATAAAGGGCGTAACGCGATATAAATGTTTTTGGTGTCAAGGAGCGACATCTGCCGTACGTTAGCGTTGGATTGAAGTGGATTTCCATTTTATAAAGCATTGAACTATAGATTCTTAACGTTAAAGTAAACAGGATCTTTATAAGTAAGCAACAAATTATCAGTTATTGGATTAAACACAAACGGCTCCTTGGTTTTGCGCTTGGCAAGATTTCAAAATGACTAACCAACTTCGCAATTGTTAACTTAACTTGCAAAATCCCAAAACGCATTCCTAAAAATTATTTAATCCAAAATTATCCAAACAAATATCTATATTGATTTATTTCATTACTTACCTATACAATTTCTAGGTCCATCTCCAAATGGGTAATAAGTCAACGGGTCAACCTTTTTATAAACACTTTTTTCTTCATCGAATCTCATCGGATCAAAGACATCCGGTTCGGGAAAATATTCCGCATCCTTATGTATAGCATAAATTGGCATTAACAATACCTGCCCTTTTTCTAAAGTTGTATCCGGAGACACTTTATATGGTTTCGAACATTCTCGATGCAAAAACACAACCGTCGGGTGTTTTCGTAAACTTTCCTTAAAAATCATATCCAATAATTTATTCTGCATGATTTCTTCGTAGGAAAAGTTTTTAATATTCGTCTTAATTTCTTCTCGTAACTGTTGCTGAAGTGGTAAATTTTAGAGAGCTCATACATCGTAAAATCGGCCGCTTTGGACGAAGTCTCAAACGCAGCAATGAAGAAAATAAAAGTTTGAGCTGCTATTTGCTCAATCGAAATTTCATGCTTTTCGTGAAGATCTAAAAGCAGTTGTAGAAAGTCTTTCGGTGGTGCGCCATTTTGTGTTTTTCGATGTTCGATTGTTTCCTTTATGAGCGACATAAAGAACCCGGTCATTTCTTTATCATAAGTTGTAAGTGCAATAACATTCCCCGGATTGGAAACACCTCCAAAAAGCAGAAATTTTGTGAGGTTAGAAAAAGTGGGATGAAAGATTCGTTTCACCATGGCGTAGAAATTTGCATTCTGTCCGTTTAATGTATTAATATCCAAGCCAAATGCAACCTGGCCGATAATATCAATTCCTAACCTGTAAAAATAATAAATAACTCAATAATTAAAAAATTATTCAAGTTTTACCACTTACTGTTCGAAGTAATTATTCAAAACCATTTCTTCCTGTCCCATTTTTAGGTTATCTTGTACTTTGGTTATTAGATGACCAACATGCAGATGCAAAGCATCCATCATCCCTTTGAGCTTCCCGCTAGTAAACGTAGATGTCAGCTTCTGTCTCATTGTCCTCCATTCATTGCCTCTGAGATTAAACAAATTAGCAGCAAGTTGATCTTTTTCGAAATCAATATGAATGCCACGATCGACAAAGTAGTCGAAGTCTTTCACCATAATGTCTCGTATCATCTGCGGGTCTATCGGGACAAAAATCGGCGTTCTCATAAAATATAAACCGAAATATTTGACGCCCTGTGGTTTGAATACCGAATATGCACGTTGCATTGTGGCAGCGAGATTTTCACGACCAAAAAGCACTTGTTTAATATCTCCGAAAAGGTAATGTGAGTTGGGAAGTGATTCAACATGGCGGCGCTTCCAATAATTTAAGCGATTCGCACGTAAATAAATTAACACCGCTACAATA